AGTTTTTTGAATGGAGAAAGAGTAAGAACAATTTTGTTTTTTAATTTGATCAGTAATTTTAGAGCAAGTGAATTAATTGTTTTTGGTTTAATTAGAATTGAGGAAATTAATGCAAGTGAAAATTTTAAATATAGTCCTGGAAGAACTCAAATTACCGTTCAAAACGATTTGTGAAAATTGTTTTTGGGGCTGAATGGAGAGAGAATTCTATTTAAATGAGGTGAATGTTGAATTTCAATTTAAATAATTTTAATAATATTTTTGTCCTAAAATATTTGATGGCACTGACTTTGATTTGAAGGGAAATTCATCAAGATTGTAAAGCGTCCATAAAAAAGTTTAAGGAAATTCTTAGGAAATTTAGTTAAATCTCAAAATTTATTTTGCTTTCTGTGAGAAAAATTCAGAGAAAATCGTTATTAAGCTGATATTAAACGTCAATTTGAATCATAATTGGCATTCATGTTTAAAATTTCACTTATATAGATGAATTTAGAGATAAAAAAGACAAAATGTTGGGCAATTTTTTTCTCAGATTATGAGACACGTTTCCTCTTTTTTTATCAGAAGATTGGCTCTCATCGATCTCGTCGTAAGAAAAGGAAGCACAAAAGAATCTATTAAGCTAGATCGCGCCACACCAATCTGCTGCCGAGTGAATTTGATCAAAAAGTCAATTTACAGAGTCCCACGCGCGGCGCGGCGCAAAATATGGCCGAGGATGCGGCGAAGAAGATAAATCATCGCAAGTTAGGCTCTCCTTGAAATTAATGACTTTTCGCCCCTGCGCGCCTTCAAGAGGAATAAAAAAAAATAAAATAAACTGCTGCAGCTGGAGAAACCTTGACTCGCTCTCTGCGGCCGACAGAGAAGAAAATTGCGGAAATTTGATCGTCTCCTCTGCAAAAGTACCAATTTTCCCAAAGCATTCGGCGCGGATCAATGTCTACAAGGCTGGGTGGATATTGTGCGTGGGCGTCCAACAACGGACGTAGGCAGTTAATCAAGGGTATGATTTCCTGATGTTTCACCGCACTCGAGAAACACGAATTTGATTTGATCTTAAACATTCACGGAATTGCAATTCGAGCTGGTTTTGTCAATTTAATTCATAAACAGTTTGATTTAATATTCAATTTTCTTTCCAATGAATTGCAACTATGAAACTTTCAAATTTTAAATTGTGTCATTCTTACATAAATTATACAAGTTATCCAAGATATCAAAAATTTTATGGTATCTTTCATTACTTTTTAAAAGCTTCATCTCAATAAATTAATCTTTTACAGTGATAAAATACTTTAATTATTAAGTTTAAATAAATTATACTTAAAATTGGCAAACTATTTAAATAAACATTTCATCTTTTTCAAATAAATTTTTTTCATCAAAAGTTATGAAACAAATCTTGTTATCAAGAAAAGCATTAAAAAATTATTGTGAAATCATTTAATAAGCTCATCGTCGCCTGGGCTTTGTGACGCCTCCGCAGCTTATAAATGTTTTGTATAAAACAATATAAGCTTATCCAGTTCACTTGTTTCGTTTAGCGAAAAAGGTTTGCGACGCTGCGTAAAAGTGAAACAACTTTGAAAGCAGAAAGTCCATTGACTTGAAAGGTCGCTGCACAATCACATTTGCGTTGGCCGCGGCTCAAAGGCTGCTGCACAACAATCCGATTGCGCAAGTGAAAACATTTATTTGCCTCGGACGCATCATTCGTTTTCAAAGTCCCGCTGCTTCCTTTGGTTCGCGTACGTTTTATTAAATTTGCGCGCGCCTCCCTTGTTTTGATTAACGCGCCACGCTGCTTTTGATTTGTTGCGCCGGCGAAACAATTTTATTATTGCCGCCTGGATTTAATTTCGCGGGCGGTGTCGTCACGCCCGCCGCGACAACACCAATTCCATTCCAGCGACATTAAAAGCAGAAAGCGCTTTTTGTTCCCAATAAAAATGCAATCAAATCTCTGCACGGCTTTTATAATTTAATTTCTCTCTGGTTTTAATATCGCTTGTTTCATTATTCATATTAAAATCGATTAATTTCTCTTACAATTTGTTGGGAAAATTCATTTTGAAAAGAAAATGAGAAAACAAAAATTAAATCGATTCTCTTTTAATTAAATTATAAAAATCAGTATATTTTGAAGATCCTTCGTTTTTGACCTTCAACTATAATTTACTGTGCGCTCTTAAGTTTTACTCTTCAATGTGCTTAATTTAATTAATGCACTTTTAAAACTAAATTAAGTGGAAAAGTTTGACTCTTCAATTTATCCGAACAAAGAGAGGCTTAAGAAATTAATAACTAATTTTCTTTTCAAGAAACAACTTTGAGACGAGTTTGCAACTTCAACCCAACAAAAACATTACAAATTAACCTGAATGAATATTTGATTTCAAATCCTGGTGAGCGACGAAAAACAAACTTTCATATCTGGAGGCCGTGCCGAATTTCCAGCTACTTGTGGATTCAGAGCCTTGATTAATGCATCGATTCGATCTGCGGTGGAGCCACAAGTAGTCGGCCGAACAATAAATCATCCGCTCGGCCTCCAAACAAATAAACTGCCAGCGCCAGATCAAAACGGCCGCACAATCACTTTTGCTGTTGGCGCAGCTGGAAATCTTGCCAAATATTGCCGTCTTTGTGCGGCCGGCGCGAAAACAGCAGCCATTTTCGCCGAATCGATTTCGACACAATGGAGGCAGAAAAGAGTGGCTCAATTGTGGGTGGAAAGCGTGGCGGCTGAAATTGGTCATTTTGATTGATTGCCTCTTTTTTTCCGTCGTCGATCACTCAAAAGTTATTGCAATTAATTTCGACTTGGAAACTTTTGGATTTTCGGCCTCCGTGCCAAATGAAATCATCAAAAAGTACCAGTTTTGTGGTAGAATTTCACGATCAAGGTTGATTCATGGTGATTTGAATTTAAAATCGGCTTTTCCTCATGAATTATGGCTGCAGCCGAAACATGTAGAGCAGGATATTGTTTTTTCTTAAACAATAAAAAACTCACAAAAACCCGTCGAGGAAAAGCCGATTTTAAATTCAAATCACCAAAAAGTATCAGATTTACAAAAAATTTTATCATATCAAAATTGCAAATTATCATAAAAAACGTTTAAAGCCTTAAAATTTTTGTATTAGTTTTCAATATTCTTTCAATTTCAGATTTTTTCCCCACGCGGGATCTTAGAATGCACGAGAAGAGGCAGAGCAATTTTCTTTGATTTATTTTCCACTCCATCGCACTTTATTTCCGCTTTGTCGAGGACAGTCATCGCGCTATGCAATCCGCCGAGCACCTTTGACGAGCCGGTTGCATACATTGCATCATCGCAGGGGCTCACTTATTGCAAAAAGTGCAACGTTATAAAAAAATTGTGTTATTGGAACAAGAATTTATTCCTTAACATTATTTTCCTGGGCCAAAGAATAGAAAATAATATTGAATGAAATTTCCACGGCCCCATCGTCACTCGATTACGCGAAATTGGCTCTCGATTAAAAATCAATTGGCGCGCAGCTAATTGGCCGCGACGCGCCAGGAATTGAGCCGTGCATGCGAGTGGGTTTTGAAGGCAAATTCGATTCAGCGCAAAGCCCGGATTTAATCGAGAGTGGCACTTCGGAAGCCGACAAAGCAAAATATAATTGACCAAAAGGAAGATTTGTGTTGGCTTTTATCATGAATGTGACGCGTTTCACAACTTTATTTCGCGTCACCTCAATTTTATTCAAGTAAATTTCAATCATTCAGTATTGCAGAGGTTTTTTGCAATAATTTATGCTAAAGGGAAAAAAAGACGAAATGCGCAAACAAGGACAAAAGATTAAAATTGTAAAAGCAGTTACCAAAATTCTCTTAAATTAATTTATATTTTGAAGAAGAGGAAAAAAACAGACTTGCTATAGCATTATTGTTTTACTTTTAAAATTGTTTTATAATCACAGATAGAGAGAAAATCAATTTTAATTTTAATTATAAAAATTAAGGATATGCAGAGTTTCAAAAAATGATTTTCACGCAATAAATTTTGATTAGCCATCAATGCAGTTAAAAGGAAAAATATGCTTTGATTTTATAAAACAATTATCTTTTATATAGAATTTTAAACAAGTTTAATATTTTGTCTTGAATAAATTAAATTTCTAATTACTTGATTTAATTAAGCAAATGAAGGTAATTTCCGCAATTTCTGGAACTATAGGAGTTCTTAAGCATTCAGTTCTCATCCCTTCGTTAACCAAAGATTTTTACAGCTGATTAGAATTACGATAATGCTAATTAAATTTATATTAATAAATGTAAAACTTTGAAATATTTTTATACAAATTTTAGATATAACATAATTGTATGAAATAATATTTATCTTTAATTCAGTTCCAAATATCGAGATTAATATAATAAAATTAACAGGATATTCTCAACTGTCCTATAAAACCATTTGACAATGTTTCAATTATTTAATAATTTTTGGTATTTTTTTGTTGCATCGAATAAGCTCACTCTTGCCATGAAGAAAAACTAACTAAATTCATTTACATATTATCTACATTCTTGAAGTAAAGAATAAAATCTGCTTTAATAATAAAGATCAGAGAAAAAACAAACCGTTTTTAAATCGGGGAAGTAAAAATTTCAATTAAAATTAAATATTTACAAATTGAGTAAAAGAAATGAATCTTAATTAGTAATATATATTGTAGAGACTTAAGAACAATGGTGCGGTTAAAATTTCAAATTGTCTACAAATAACTGAAAAAATTCCTATTATTGTCAAAACGGGTGTTGATTATTGAAATTTAATTCTTTGGTGTTTTAATTTAATTTTTTTTAGTTTAAATAAATTAATTTTTAACTGGCAACAATTTGTAATAGTAGAAATTTAAAAAAAGGCAGTGAATTATTAATTAGTTAAAAAAAAATTAGCATAATCTCTTTGGCAAAATTGCAATTTGAACGAATTTGAGCGAATTTTGTGGGGACTAACCTGAGAGCGGTCGGTGTTGGCGGGAAGTGGCTGGCCGGGGGTTGAGAGTGAGTGAGTGTGGCTGTGTGTGTGTGTGTCGGTGGAGCAGGCAGGCGGCTGGCTAGTCCATGTTAGGCCGATTGTGTGGGCGAAGCGATGTCGGTCGGGGGTGCAGCTCGGGACGCCACCTGCTGGTGCCTGGAGCGCGGCCTCCACCAAGCCTAGTTTTATATGCGCGGCGGTGGCGCTGCCTCGCGGCCGCCCCATTGGCCCGCCCCGGCCCTGCCCCCGCCGCCCACGCGCCCCCGGCCGACGATCAATGCCTCCAGCCGCCCCCCGCCCGCCCTGCCGCCCCCTCCAACAGCCGCGCATTTTTCATTCATCAGCGCGGCCCATTCATGCGACCCATTCACCTCCTCGGCCGAGTCCAGAGCCGCCCCCGCCGCCTCCCCGGGGGCTGCGAGATTGAAACCAAGGCCCCTCGTCCCAGCTGCACGTGGCCGACACCAATTTATTTAATTTTTCGAACGAACAAAAAAAAATGATGTTCAAATTGCGAAATGATTTTGAAGTAACGGATTTTATGAAATACTCGGTCATTGACTGAGACTGTTGTTGTTGTTGTTGCTCTCTTATTTCATCAATTAGAGATTTATGGAGAAATTAAGTTTTATTTTCCAACCATCATCATTGGTTTGTTCTTTCTCAAGAGCCCTTGATTACTTTATCAGAGTGAATTTTTGGTAGCAAAATTAATAATGACATAGATCCCTTGGTCATAAATTCATCAATGTGCTTCCTTTTTTTATTGAGAGATCATTGAAAAAACTATTTCAAAAAAATTAAATTTTCGTTGTAGAAAATCCCAACAAAGTCGTGTGCTTGAAGTTTTAATGAAATGTTTTATACATTAATTAAGTTGATTAGTAAAATAATTAATGCAAAGGTCTAAATATAGTAAAAAAAAAAAAAAAATGTATTAATTTTGCATGCACAAAAGTTGTTTCCAGTTACAAATATTTTCAATTAGAAGGAGCAAAAGTTGCTAAAATTCAATGTCAAAATTAATTTTGAGTAAATTTATAAGACTTTTTACTAATTTACTCAACCAGTTAAAAACACCAGTTTAAATTGACCTCAATTTTGTCGTCCTTGGATTTTTTCAATATTTTCTGCATCAGACCCAATACAATTTTACTATCAAAGAGATTTTGAAGAATGTAACAAAATCTTTTCCTCCTACGCATATTAACTCCTCCCTTTGCCTCTCCTTTATAAGCCTTCGGTACATTTCACAAGATGAAAAAATTTGTTGCCTTTTTTCAATACAAGGTTTCCTTGAACCAATAAAATGCTTTAAGAAATGGTCTGTAGAATTCACAAAGTTTTCATTTCCAATATAAAAAAATGAAGCATGATGGAGAAAATTAATTTGTATAGTTTCAAATTTGAATTTTTTAACAGAAATTTATTTTAAAAAGAATTTATTCACGATTAAGGGCAAAATAATTTTTATTTACTTTTCAATTAGTGTTTCAAAAAGCTCATTCTTTTATTTCAATTGAATATACAAAAATGACAGAAAAAAAATTATTAACTTAACCGTCACCGACATTTGAGTGTCTTCAGCAATATGAAACACGCCTTTCCACGTTTTATGCAATTTTTCTCTTGACCTCAATTTTTATCTGAAAAGAAGGCGCAACAAGGAAAGTGGATGTAATAAGCACTAATTAATAGTTTAGCAAAGTGTTCTTTCATTATTTTTACAAAAGCTTTTATTTGATTAACCTAGAATTTATTTTCCTGGTAAAATAGTATTTGTGGAATTATCTTGCAGCCTTTCTGGTTCGGTGAAAAAATTTCATTAACGGAAATTTCGTTTCGCATTCCAAAGCCTTTGGCATCTGCAAATGGGTCGAAATTTCAAATTGGAAATCAAATGTTATCGCGATTATACTCGGAATGCGCCCAGGGCTGCTCGTCATTTTCCACCTGAGCGGATCTTCGATAATTTGGCATCTGCCCCGAATGTTTCTCTCTCTCCCCGGCTCTGCAATATAAAGTCGGCCGGCGCTGCCAAACGCACCAATAAATTGACAGAGAATTCCTGCTTCCGAAGTGGAGGACGTGATTTGCCGAGCGTTTTCCTTTCCTGACTTTGTTGTGCCCACCGAAGAAAGGCAGACGCGTAAACACACACGAAAGGGCGACATAAAGAAAGGCAAACTCTCAATTTTTCCAGTTTTTCCACGAGCCACGTGTGCTGTGTGCGTGCTCAGACTTCTTTCGCCAAAAAAACGATCCACCTCGAGAAAATTGAGATTCTTTTCTTGGAATGTTGAAAAAAATTGTTTGCTTCAAGTGCGCAGCAAACATTTTATTCCCAATTGAAACACGACTGAACGACTAATTGAGCAAAAATCGCATTTAAATTATAAAAAATTTGTTTTTCCCCTTCACTTATCAAGGGCCAATTTCTTAATTTAAATTCAACTCAAATGCCTTACATTTAATCTAGAATGTCAATTTTCGTTATTAAAATTTTATTTTTTGTTAAACTTATTTAATGGTATTTGATTATTTTTAACTCTTAAGAGATTTGAAGAACAAATCAGTAACTAAAAATTTAATCAATTTATTTTCTACTTCATCTTTGATTGCGACAAATGATGAAAATCTCAAATAATTAGATCTTTTAATACTGACGCAAATCTATGCGATCCTAGATTTTAACGTATAAAATTTATTGTGAAATTTAATTACGATTGAGGAAATCGGCCCACGCAAGTTGCAAGCAGAGAAAAATTTGACAAAAGCGAGGCTGGCAGGAATTTCCACTCGGTTGAATGCAAACTGCTTTTGCCGGAGGAAAACGAAACGTCTGCTCGCGTGTTGCAGTTTAGCGAGCGACGTACGCATCTGGCCTAATCCGCGCCCCGAACATGGTGTCAGCAGGGTTGAAAGGTGACGAAGGGCGAGAGCGGGTTATTGGAGTGCCAGGGGCACCCTAGCAATCGATTCGGATTTAAATGTCTCGTCACGACGCAAGTCGTGCTGAAACGCCACTTCAGCTAGGTTGAATTTGCGCCAGCGAGTTCGCACGTCCCAGAGTGGAAAGGTGTTAGCAATTTTTTTTTGTCACGTGCACTTTAACACTTTGTTGAAAGCTTTCTGATCTTGAGCAGTACGTTATTGAAGATTATCAAAGTAGAACAAAATATGAATTGTTGGTTTGTCAAATTTCATTTAATTCACTGTAAAACGAATCAATCAAACATTTCCATTGAAGTGATCTTTAAAAATCTGTTTAGTCGTCAATTTTAGGGGTCCATGATATTGTTATTTATTTATTTAACTTATCTACAGAATGTGAAGAAAAATTATCTCATGATGACCCTTTAAAAGACTTTTTTCAAATAATGTGGCATATTTAACTTGAATTAATTCTAGTTCGAACTTAAAATTGCCTTAAAAAATGCAGCCTGAATATTTTCCATATTTTAAAATGGTAGATCTCAATAAAAGTAAAATATTTTTTGCACAGCAATAAAACAATATTAAATTATGCATTATTAGTTCCCTTCTTTTACTTTTTGTAAATATGAGCTTGAAAAACTGCGGAGATGACGACTGAGATGTTATTTTTTTTATATAATAAAGCATTAATTATTGTGAAAGTTGGAAGAAGTCGTGGAGATTTTGAGCGCAGCCTTAAAGTGATACACATGAATTGCTCTTCTCGAATTGCCTGGCGAAGTAAACTTTGACGTTTAGTCTGAATTTGGTCTCTCCGAGCTAATTGATGAAATGTAATACATGTGGAAGTTTTGTTGATGTTTCCAGGAACAATCGAATCACGTAATTAATCATCCTACGCACCTGGTTGCAAAAGATAGACTGCGATTGCATTTCTAGTAAAGTTGTTCCCGAGAGGACATAGACGCAGATTTTGTACGAACGATTTCAACGAACGTTGACCCTTGGATCGATCAAAGTGTTATTGCAGGCGAGACTGTTGACAAACCTCTAGAGAAGACAGAGAGAAATCAACCTCTAATCAAAAGTGATTGAGAAAAAGTACTAAAAATCGATAAAAATAAATTGAATTTTTTTTATTTAAATCTTCAAAAATATAAAAAAAACAGCTTTTAATTAATTAATATTCCTTATAAATTAATCTCAAAATGTACCAATGATTAAAAGGTGATATTAAAATAAATTTATTTTCTCTTTCACTTTAATTTCTTTAATAGTAAAACCGATTTATTGATTTTTCCAGGCACCAACGGGACGACAAGCACAGAACCCGCTAATTACCACACATCAACCTTATCTGTTGCAAAATCGATCCGCCCACTCGCAGCCGGCAGACGTGACAAAATACCAAAGTGTCAAAAGCCAGAAATTCGCTTCGTCACCTCTTTTCTGGCAAAATAAATTCAAAGTTCACCAGCTTTGATTTTTTTCAATATATTGATTTTCATCTTTTTGCAGAAGGTATCTCTAAAATCACAAAAAAAAACTGGCTACGGACAGATCAAAGCCTGTTTTCCTCAACGAATCTTTTTCCGAGAGGTGGTCAAAGGGATTTATAAGGAAACGCTGTCGGCGCATTTTCAACGCAAAGAGCAGAAAACAAACTTCCTCGCCGCCGTCTCTGAAAAGCAAACTGATAAGCATTTCTGCAAAGCCTCTCTGATTTTGGTCGCTGATTATTTGATTTGCTAAAAGTTTTTGCAAATATTTATCCATTGGATGGGAAAAATGCACCTTGCAATTCAGTTCAATAAACTTTGAAATAAGCAAAATTCTGGGAGAAATCATCTCACTAGGTATTTTATATTTTTGTTGCAAAAAAACAAATATAAATAAAAGAGACTAAAATTACGTTCAATTAAGGCCAAAATATATAATTTTTGTTCTACAGCTTCACCTAAAATATGTTGAATCGTCACTTTCTCAAATAAATAAACAAAAATAAGTTTCCTTGCAAGTTCTTTATATTGATACATTTTATTTGTTCTTGTGCCTTGCAGGGTCTTAGCCGAATATCAGAGAAGACGCTCCTGCAAACATTCTTTTTTTTTTTTGCTTTCGTCGTCGAACACAAGATATTTGCCCATATTATATGTTTCAGAGTCGGAAATATTGAATTTGGAAGCTCGGCCTGCGGTAAACGGCTGCGATTTTTATGAATGGCGAGGGCCATGACATGGGGATGACAAGCGAGTGCTCAATCATGAGTGTTTCAGTCGCGTGCGGTGACGTCAGCAGGCCGAACAAACTCTAGCAGGGCAATAACTTCGCCCCGGCCCGAGGGAGACAAACGTGAGCGGATTATTATTTTATGTCAAAATGTGCGCAAAATCTGCGTGTTATTCCACGTGCCAGGTGTCGATTGAGCCACGCGGAATGAAATCCTGAGTTTGATTTCCCCCAGGAAATAAAACCAGCCCCACGAGGATTAAACTTCGATTTGTAAAATTATGAATTTTAATTTATCGCTTTTCATTAATTACTTTTAAGAGATTTTCTTAAATATTGAATCAATTATCGGTATTTTGTGAACCTTTTAAATAGGAATGATTTAATTGGACAGTAATTGCAACTGAATTTACATGAAAATGGCCCCAATCTTTGAACATCAAGATTCCAGATTAATATTTTAGTAGCTATAATTTTTAGATTATTAAAAGATCGATTTTTTTAAATAATTCATGCTGACAATTGATCTTTACAAATTGTTTCAATCTTATTAAAAATAATAGGGTTTAAATTGCTTTCAATTCCAGGGCTCCTATTTATACAATAAATTATAAACAAATGAATTCCTCACAACAATGGTCATTAAAATTTCAAATTGATTACAAATAATTGCGAAAAACTGCTCCTATTTTTACATAGACTTGATCAGAAAATGCCAATAAGCAGTTGCTGATCATTATTTTGTTATAAGTTTTATTTGAAAGTTAACAGAACTTTCATTTTTATTATTAATTGCCAAAACTTACTACAATTTTAATTACCAACTTGAAACATTTTTAAAAGGAAAATTTCATAATTTATTTTTGAAAAAAAAAAAAATATTAGTAGTATAATTATCTTTTCAAGTAGTTTTGATTAATTATAAATTATACTAAAGGTTAACAAATTAACCAACAAATAGAACAGATCTGTTGTGCCTCTTACAATTTACAATCACCTGTGCGATTTTTCGCTCATTCTTTCTAATTAAATTTCTTTCTAAAATATTCTCTGCAAAATTGCACCGAGTTGGAATTCGCCAGTTTTTCTTAAAGTGTCCCTTTTAATTGAAGCTCTCTTGTCTGTTGGAGGAGCACGTAGGAGGGCCTCTGTGTCGCATTCCGATGGCTCCTCGGTTCGAAACCGGGGCAAACTTGTGGATCAATGATGCAACAAGCGAGGCGAGCAGCGCGTCACATTATCGCGCGGCTCGGCGGCGGCGGCGGCGGCGGTGAATGAATGAATGGGGCTGCCGTTGAATGGGGCGCAACCCTTTTCCTCGTCTCCACGTCATCAATTGTTCCCTCATAGAATGTGGCGTTTTTGCAAGCCCGTGGGGGTGCAGGATGGGGTGGAGCGCCATCCCTGTTAACTGCTCTTACGATTCGCATTTAATTACTCCGGCGATAATTAGGACTCCCGTTGCTTACTTACTTTTTTCCTTTTGTTTTTATCCTTATGGAATTGCAAGTTTGAATTCAAATCATTTTAAAGGAAAAGTATAAAATAAAGTTGATTATTTTTGCATTTAAAAGACTGCAAATGAAATTTTTTTAATTAAAAACAATTAATTATTAATATCATCATTCTGGCCTTTCCTTAGCTTTTAATGTTACGAAATGTTTATCCTGAGAAATTATAAATACGTGATAATTTTAGTAACAAAAAAGAGCTTGTTTTTATGTTAACAATGTTTTCTGTGTAACAAGATTATTTGACCTTTTCTCTCAAAGGCTTCTCTTTGAAAATTTTAATTAAATAAAATTTAAATTTAGCAACACAGCGACAGAGTTGGAGATTCTTCCTGCCATAATTGTTGTCTCTCTTGAAATATAATATTAGTCTGTCTATTTTAAGGTTTCCTGTGCTGTTTTAAAGCGCTTTGTTGCACCGGCAGCTCGTGATTATTGAACAATCAAGGCAAATTTGCACACATCAGCTGGTGTGTGTGTGCGCCTGAAAGGAAATTCAACTTTGACTTTTACGGCGCGTTTAGATTAGCGAACAATCAACCGGCATTGAGCGCTGAAAAGGCACCTGTCGTGAATCACCGACCAAACACAAAAGCCACCTTTCGTTCCTGATTAATTGCTCGCCTGAATTTCAAGTCTGCTAATCAGAAACGAAAAGTTTGAACTTATCGGAATATTTACTTAATTAATTATTAATTTTAAAAACAATTTTACAACACATTGGAGGTTTTTTAATTTACGATACTTTTAATCATTCCAATTATTGAATTTAAACAATGTGCCGGATGAATGCACTACAATAATTCACGTGAATACTAAAATAAATTTTGGTTATATTGGCAGAAAAATGTTTTGAAACGATGCAATTTAAAAAGTTTTTGATCAGTAATTCTTAATAAAAATTTGCAACTTACTTGATTAAATTAAATATAAATCTAAATACGCACTTTTTCTCCGTATTTTGATGGGAAACATACAGAGGGGTTTTTTGTTATGATGACGCGAGTTAACCGGATATCATTTTATGCTGAAAGTCGGCACGCCGTGTTGAAAAACAGAATAGAGAGCGAGCACCATGGAGACTGTAAAGGTTTGCTGGAAATTTTTGCAAAGAATGCTTTCAATTTTTTTTTTTAGCGGAACAATTTTTAAACTTTGAATATCAAAATATTTGAATTTTTTAATATAAATATCTTTATTATGGCATAGAATTTAAAAATTTTGGCTCCTTTTTAAATAAGGGATTAAATTTTAATTTAAATAGTTTTTTCTTCTTCTTCTGTATTTAAGCGAAAATAGCTTGAATAAGTTTTATGGTGAATATAATTTCACTTTCAGACTCGGTGGATCCTGCTGCTCTCTTTACTCGTTTTGGCCGCAAATAGCCATGGGTTGATTGCCGGTCGAAAAGTTTCCTCTCCCACACAGAAGAAACAAATTGAAACGGAAAATTCCAAAACGACAAAAATGACTAACCCAATTCAAAATAAAATAGAGTCTCGGTTTGAAAAAGTGAAATTCGTGCCCACAACAAGGAAATCGAGACGTGTGGAGACAACCACGGTGAATATGAAAGAAAAACAAAGTGGAAAGTTGACCAGCGAATCTGCTAACTCGACTTCAGTGCAAAGAAAGAGAAAGCGCAGGACGACGACACCGTTGATTTCAAGAAGGAGGAAAACCACCACTCCAAATTACTACGACGAATTTTACCAAGAAGTGGACTTGCCCAAGAAGCGGCGGAAGAAACGTCCACCCATGATGATCTACGTTGTAAGGCCGACGCCACCAGCAAATGGAAACAATTATTTCAACTCGTCCTTTTACATAAATCCTTCGCCCTCCTACTATGATATTTTCAGCACTTACTATCCGAATTATAACTGGAGTAATTTTTACACCCAAAATTATAGTCAAGAATATGGAAATTATTCAAATTTCTACGGTTCAACGCCGTCGTACAATCGGTCTTATTATTATGGCGGTGAGAATTATTCCCAAATTTACAATTACAACTTTTCGACATTGCAAGACTACTTCCCGAATCACAACTGGAGCTACTTTTCCGGAAATTACGCTCAAAATAATTGGACAGATCAGCCTCGTTTAATGACGCATGTGTTCATGCCCAGCAATTTCTCTAATAATAATTTCGTGGCCAACAACTGGACTTGGTCCCAAATGCCTACCAATTGGTCTACGTATAATCCAAACGGTTGGAATTCCAGCATTGGGTCTTACAAGCCCAGTACCTGGACGTATGTGGCCAGCAACTGGACTTGGACGAAAATGCCAATGAATGCGACTACGTATAAGGCTCCAAATTGAAAATAAAGTGGGATGAATAAAAACTAAAAGCTAAAGAGCATTTTGATTTTTAATATATGCTTGAAAGTACAGCATTTTCAACAATATCAAAAATTCTGAAATAAAAGATCAATTTGGGATAAAATTCTGTAAAAATTTGCTCAATCGGCCATTTTTTTAATTTTTTCAGGTGGTCAATAAACAATAAAGTTATAAAACTATTAAGCAAATAGCAGCTGTATCAATATAATGTGTCAAAATTTAAAATAATACCCTTTTAATTCATAAAAAAAGGTTTGAGTAACAAATCATTTTAAAATAAGTTTAATATTTCATGTGCTAGGCAAAATCATATGATTTTGCATCTTGGCGATGATTCCCTAATTTAGATTATTATTTGCCTTAAAGTAATTGCACAAAATTGTGGATTTTAAAACTTTTCGTGTGCCTTGGAAACTAAAAAAAATTCCTGATTGAGCTTAAAAATATTGTAACAAAATAATTGAATCAAAAAATTGAATTAAATTTAAACAAGCAAAATGTTGTAAAAAAAATAGTTCGTAAAATAGCATGTTTGCATATCAGATTGAACGATTTTTCAAGCTTTCAGAAAGCTCTCAAAAACCAAAATAATGATTCATTGTATTGTGTAATCCTTGAATTTTTCAATTAATTTGGAAAAATCATTTCACGGTAAAAATCTATCGGTATTTTACTGAGAGGCAATTAAAAATCGCATCGGTTTGAGTTTTGAAGGACACAACTTCCACCAGTTTGCGGAAACTGCATCCTGCCGGCCATGCCATGTTTAGTGGTCGGTGTTGCTTGCTGGCGAAAGTAACAACATGATGGGATCTTTTAAGGCAATAAATTTTTCATTTAGTTTTTTTTTTTTTAAATAATTAATTAGTCTTTTTTAGATCCTGGGCTACATTTTCTTACTTTTGGCCACTGTGCAGGCGGGCCAGTCCAAGAAAAAACCAGATCAATCCAGCGGAAGAGTCAAAGCATCGCAAAAGGTTGGTCCTGAAACAGGAGTCAGGTCGGCGGGGGAAGTTCGAAGGCCCAACTCACGAAGATTAATCGACCAAGGGGAAGATTTTGTTGATCCTGGCGAGCGGAGGGCTTCAATGAAGGGTCGAAGACCTCCACCGCGATACTTCTCTGCAGACCAGTATTACTCTGAAGATGACGACTGCGTTTGCGTTCAAAACAGATATTACGACGAGTACGCCGGCGTCCCAGTTTACGCGTTCATGTTCATCGGAAGACCTTCTAGACTGCCCCCACCCAGGTACTTTGGCTATTATGGTGGCGTAATGGGACCTCCGAGGAAGAGGAGGCCGATGAGAACCACCTCGCCTCGCTACACCAACTCGTCGTCAACGGCCATGGCTTGGAACTTGACAAGCAGCACTGGAGGAGCTTCAACCATGTCCTCGGGTGGACAAATGACGAACAGCGTCGGATCCACCCTCAGCAACGCAACCACGACTTCAATTGGTGTCACTTCTACTACAACTTCAACCGGCAGCTCTACCACAACTGCATCTGCGACAACCGGTTCAACTACAGCAACATCAGGGACCACCATTTCTGTAACCAGCTCCTAAAAACACCAAAGATTGAGACAAAATTTGGTGCTGATTTTAGGAATGAAATATATTTCAATTTTAAAAGAATGATTAAAATATTGTCAATCTCTACTTTTGCGCAAAATATTTTATTGTATGGGTGATTTTTTTAGGCACAATTTACTAATTTTTGATGAAATTTTACATAAACGTGAAAATCGGTGATAACAAGAGAAAAATCTTGAAATATGAGTTCTTTTCGCTAAAAGTAGGTTTGCTATTTGATCAATTAGGTGTGATTCTAAATGCTCATTTTGAACATGGAATTTGTATAATATATTTTATCTGGACTAATTAGAAATAGTTTCTAAAAAAAGCAATATAAAAATTTAAACTGTTCATTTTCCGGATTATCTTATTAATGAGCTTTTTGTTGCAAGTGTGCCTAATTTGTAGAAATAAAAAGGAAAGATGAAGTTGTTACAAGGTTCTCGAGTTGAGACCAAGCGATCAAACGTGGGCCGCGTTATAATTTATAAGATCATTAGGTGGAATATGATCTTCATATTATTTAACAGGCAGCACGAATAATTAACTCGACACATCAAACGGCAAATCCGGCGCTTTGGTGCACCTGCTCTGTTGGTTTGCACGGAATTCTCCTTAGAAATTAATTCCAGAGGCGAGCATAAAGACGATTGTTGCCATAAATGCCTGCGCGGACCGTTTTAGCAAGGCAGCTTTGAATGCGGAGCTTAAAACAGTTACCTTTGCTGCTAGGTACGGCACGTTCAAAGTTCAAAACAAAAGCCGTGAAAGCTGCATCACCAGATTATTTTGAGCAGATGAAATTTTAATGCCCCTGCTACTGAAATAAACTTCTTTGAATATTATTAAGTAATTAATTGTGCAAATAGAAGTGCCATTAAAGAGACTGAATTTACTTTTAACATTATTAATTGAAGCCGAAAATTTGGTCAAAGTTTTAAATATGATTACAGCAACAAATATTATTTAATAAAATCGGAAATGTTTTTGTTTTTTTGAATTAACGTGAAAATTTTTTTAAGGGACATAATTGTTTTTGACAATTCGAGCCAACTTCGTTTAAAACAATCAAAAATTATGCCATTGTGAAAAATGTTTTTTTTTTTGCAGGGCAATCACAATTTTTTAAGTAAATTATTCAATTTTTTTTTTTTAATTCTTTATAATCAAAATTTTGCCCGTTTAGAGTTGAAAATACTTCACAGGATTTTTATAAAGATAACTTTTTTTTATCAGAGTTTCTTGTGTTATTAACAAAATGTCGTAAATTTTTTTTCGAGGAGATGTGAAATTAAACAAAACACTGAATTTTCCTCTATTAAAAATAACTTTTTACAGCGTGAAATTTGTCACAATTCCACTTGTTATAATTTCAGACCGCGTCGCGAGAAACATTCCACTTTGTTAGAGAGCAACAGCGTCTTTAAAAGTGACGAGGGAAAGGAGCTGAGGAGCGATTACAGCAAGCGGGCGTGAAATTGCAGAGTTTACTTGTCACAAGTTGCGGAAAAGCGTCCTTTCACGCGAACAGCAAAAGGTAGAAGGAATTTTCCTCTCGACGAGCTTCAGCCGACAGTTGTGGCGCCGGCAGAATATTTACGAGTGCAGGTGGCGCCTAAGCCGGGAGGGAAAACGCGGAAAAGGGAAAAAGAGAGAGAGAGAGCAGAGGCGCGTTGATCTGTGCCGCTTTTTCGCTCTCTTTGTGCGCAATTTCGCCTTCAACAAACGCTGATTGTTCTCGGCAACTCTTCTCTTTAATCAAGCCTTCGGCGGAGCGAATTAATGCGAGCGAGCGAGCGCGCGCGTTGCGAATAAACGATTCTCTTTTTCGCACCCACTCGGCGCTTTGTTAAATTCGGCCGAGACGCGCGCCTGCCTTTCAAGTGCGTTGACGGAACATCTCTGATGATTGGACGCACTTGCATCGATTTTGTTCCTCAAAAGAAGTTTTCTTTCAACAATTGCAACAGTCAAAATAATGATAATGAATCCAGCACTTTTTAAACAATTTCAGCTTCAAAATAAGCAAAACTTTGAAGGAAAAAGCCAAAAATACATTCGACAAAACACAAAGACAAAACATTTTTATTTCTTCTTAAGAAGGATTAATTATATTCTGCTATTTTTGTCTTTGTTGTTGACTTTGTATTTGGAAAAAAAATTAATTTGAATTAATTCAAGGAAGATATCTCCGTTAATTCATTATAATGTGTCAAAATTGGAAAAAATAATATTCACAATAATTCTGTAAAATTGCTTCTCAAAAACGTTTCATTATCTCTCACATTTCAGGTCATCCTAACGTTTTTTCTTTATTTTTTTAGATTTTAAATAATAATAAACATAAATTTTCAATTTAATTTTTTCCTCTTCACTCAACAATTAAAATCACTGAAAATATTTTAAAGGAAATTCATCTTCAAAGCTCATTTTGGGGAAAATTGTTTCTTAGTTGGAAAGACAGGTTGAAATTGATCTTCTCTTTTCCTAGCACCAGTCGTGAGGAATGGGCTTGAAATAAATTGGCTGTCTGGGTGGAGAAAAGAGAGACACGTGCTGAATGTAGACCAATTAATTCCTGCTCTCTAATGATATGCGACACGCGTAATGCAGCCACTTTTGAAAAACGTCTCTTGTGTGCTTTTGCAAATAATTAGTTTCGAAGCATTGAAATATTTCAGACTTCAGCTAAGAAGATGACTTTTTTTGTTTTCAAATTGAAGACTGCTTGCTAACAAAATCATTATTTTAAATGTTTTCATAATTTAATTTTTCAAATTTTACATTTTCTGTGTAGATGATACTGTTTGAATATGTTGTCAGAATGTTATAAGAAAAATATATAAAATTATTCATAATAAAATTAAAGTTTTTTTCACCCTAGCTCAAATAATTTTTTATCACTCGGCTAAATGTTTTTACCTCAACGAACACAATTCTGATGACTAGAAGCGCGGACATAACTTAGAAATAAAAAAATTATAATTGCTTTTCTCCCAGGCTTCTTAATCCCGTGGTTGGGATACTTTTTTATCACTCGTTTCAACGCTTTTAGCCTCAGGGAACAGCATTCAGGCAGCTATAAACTCAGAAATTCGTTTGGAAATTAAAAGTTTTAAATAATTATTCTAATAAATTCTTCTTTTTTTTCTCCCCTTTGCTCGCAAACCGCTAATTTTTAGCACTCGGATAAATTTTTGACTTTCAGCGAACACTATTAAAAGGCAGATGGAAACCAAACCACCTTGTGAACAACCTTTGAGTCAAGACCGACAAATGCAAGTTTCGAGGTTTCCCTCTCTGCCCACATGTGATTTTAATTAAGACCATTTTAGGAGGCTTTGACGGCGGTTTTGGCAAATTTTGACGGCTGTCAGTGCGTGTTTGCGAGGCGGAGAGAAACAAAGGGCTGAAGATTCTCAAACAAGCACGTGTCACTCTGGACCCTCCGTTTCCACCACCCACGCTCCCTACTTTGGGGGATGAAAATCGTGACATGAACGTGCCGTTGAATATTCATCGGGCCGGTTTTCAAGACACGAGGATTTTCCAGCAGCTGGAAAAGGGAAAGGTCATAGGAGGACTAGAGAGAAAAAATGAGAGCAACTTCGGCAGCTCCACTCGGACGATTTTCCACATTTTTTCAACTCGACTTTTTCCAGTGGAAAGAAAACTTGATTCGTCAACGTAATATATATTTCAACTTTATAAAATTTTTTAAAATATCCTGCGTAATTGTTTTGTAATAATATTCAAATTTTTGCGATAGATATTATTATTTTGTAGAGTAAGAATTGCTCAGGCTGGATTTCATGATAAAATTTATCACCATTCTCACAATTTGTATAAGATTTACCGCAATTATGTTAAATTATGCACGATAAGGAATTTTAAGTACAAAATTTAGCATAATAAGACACATGGTCACAGAATTAAACAAATTTGAGTGTGTACTTTACCCGCGATTCATGCAGTTCCAGCTGCGACATCCCTGTGCGTTTTGTCTCTTCCACGTTAACTGTCCGAAATCACCGTTGCGAAACGCACAAGATGATCATAATAACGTAGATTTGTGTCGTTGTTTTCACTCCGCACCATAAACTGAGACTATTTGATCATCTGATTCAACATTCAACCCTGAGAGTAAACAAAAGAGTAAGAATAGGAGGAGAGAGGAGGGTTTATTTAGGTGGGGATAAATTTGAATTTTTATGATAATTTTGCTCTTCTCATTATATACACATTGCTAGCTTCTTGCTGAACGTAGCAATATGCGAGAGTAATGAAAATAATGGGAAATTTATTTAAATCCAGATAGTTGCAGTTTTGGCAGTAAATTTATAATTTAAATTGTTTGGACTATCAATAAAATGATGCCTGAATTGTTAATAATTTAAAAATCTTGTGTGTATTGTCATGTGCAAATAAATTTACATATTTTTTTTTTCAAAGTTAAACCCTCTTTGCTTGTCTCATTGTCCAACAATGCAATGTCTCTATCTTAACAATTTTTTTTTGTTAGGAAAACTTGAATTGGTTTTACTTTCTTTAATAACATATATTCTATGTCTTTGCTTCAGCATCAGAGATTCATGCTTATCTATATTGTATTTCTTTTTTTAGTCTACCATTTTACGAAAAATTATCAATAATTATCAGAATAAATTATCACTCTTTATTTTGTAATTGCGTAACCTCCAAATGTTTTATTGATCTGGTCAAGTCTCATAATTATGGAATACATTATTACTTCAAAAATCTACTCAATACATAAAAAGATCTCAATAAGTGCCAACAGACTACGGCAGAATAAAGTAGAGATTATTCAAATCACATTTTAACCAGATTGAATTGAAATAAAATCACATTTTGTGCTCTTTGATCCACTTTGAAACAATGTCGGCCATCGGTCGGCTGTAGTTGAGGACAAAGGCATGCCTGTAGCCGTTGGTGCAGGCGTGGGCTCGTGCGTCCGGCACATTTTCCTTCAGATTGTCGTAGTACGTCAGCGGACACCAGCCGTCGATCTGGCCGTAGTAAAAGCGCAACTTGTCCTTGTGCTGGTCCACGGTTTCCACGTCCAACTCCAAAATGCTTTCCATCTCGTCGGCGGCAAGTGAGAAAATGTTTTTGAGTATTTGCGGACGCAGCAGTTGCATGGTGGCAGTGACGTTCTTTGGATGTGTCCCGTCGATCAAGAACCAGCCTCGGACGAGCCCTCGCCCAATTGGAGTGGGCAGCATCGTGACGAAACTGGCGAGGAGAACGATTATCCAGTGGAAATAATTGTTCATGAAGCTGCAAATTAAAATTTAAATGATAAATTTGTTCTATTTCGGATAAAAATAATTAATAAACAGTAAAAAAAATTAATTTCATTTGCAGTAATTTTAATTACAGAGCATTTGTTTCATTTTTAATTTGTTCTCTGCAGATTTAATGCTCTGTAAACAGGCTTACGTGAAAAATTTCCCATTTGGTGAAGCTCCAATCCTCTCAATGGCAGGGAATAATAAATAGTTCATGTGCACGTGGTGACTGAGCATTTTGTTCTTGAGCATTTTCAAAATGATGTAAGACCCAACCGAGTGCCCGATCAGATGAATCTTCACCTCGGGAGGAACGTATCTTTTGATAAACTCCACCTTGTGCTCGATTTGGCCTTCCAAGTTGTACAAATCGGGGTTTGCTATAATTGAATTGCATAAAAAAATTATCAATTCAGTGATACTAATTTTCAAACCTTTCGGGCAAGGAATTTTGTCTTCGAACTCGTGTCCAGCGTGGCAAACAGCCCAGACTGGCATTTTCACATCGTTGTGCAGCATTTCGATGAACTCCTCATAATAGGCTGTCAGACCAGGATTTCCTGACAAGAAAATTTATTAATATTTTTTTTTTAAATTTAGGAATTTTCACCTGTGATAATTAGCACCAAGTCCTTCTGATCTACGAAGGCCTCCTGCATCCACCCTCCGCAGGTGACCACCCTCGTCGGCACACTCCGAACTTCAACGTATCCAGTTTGCACCATTTTTATCAATGATTAGCAGCTGCTGAAGAAGAATTGAAGATAACTAGAAAAAAATTAATCTGGCTTGCACAAAATTTATTAATCTTTTTACCCTTCAGTTGCCCTTCAAATTTTAGTTGATAAATTATCACAGGGACTACGATTGGACGAGAAAATTATTCCATCGGCTGCACTGCTGGTCAAAGAATAAGTGTTTGCACAAAAAAGGCATCAAATTTCACTTTTAACATTAGAAATCAAGACCAAAGTCAACGCCTGCATGTTGTTATGGCATGTTTTTGCAGCTGACTGCTGCATGTCCCAGCAGCCAATCACAGAGCTGGTGAAATTCATCTCGACCAATCAGAAGCTATTTGATTGATCTTGAGTTTTAAATTATAGGCGCGAATACTGAATGAACAGAAACTTGAGAGATGATCAAAGATTAAAGTCTCAAGTCTCTTAACTGACTCAGGGGTTATAGGTGATTTTAAAATTATATTAAACACGATTCAATTTATTACATGCTTCTTATATTTTGTTTTATTTTTCCATTCAACAAATCACATAAGAGGTTGAGAGATATTTTTTTTACCAGTTACAGTTAAATATTTTTCAACTAAAACAATAAGTTCTATATTTAAAACACAAGAATATTGAGTGGCATTTAATTATAAGTGTGTATGGAATAAACTGTGACCAAAGTATCACCACAACTGGATAAAACGAAAACTTTTACTTAATAATCAATTATCAAATTAGCAAAGGTGGTTTCATTTCGTGTTAATTTCTAAAAACTAAATCACAAATATAACACACTTGATTAAAATCAATTTTCTTAGTTAAAAGACTTGACTATAGTAAAAACGTACATAATTCACAGCTGCCCAGCAGCATATAATGCTTCTTCAAATACAAGTTTAATGAGAATTGCAGATATTTTTGTGGACGCTTTATCAATTGGAGTTTTGTACAAGCTTTGACGATCGTTTCGACAGATTGAGCTCGTTTAGTACAAAAATTGCAAAACTTTGGAAGCAGCGGATGGGTCAAAATAAATGCTGTGATTCATCTTGATCTTGTACACATTTACATATTTATGAGCCTCCGAATAGTGAGAAGTTTGATTGTGATAAAATTTTACAAAAATTCAAACCATTTGGCTAAATTTAAGAATAAAATACACTTGAAACCCATCTCCGGTAAATGTACAAAGGGTAACAATACACGGTTTTTATAATTGCTCCTATTAGCTATATTGAACAAGAAACACAAAAATTTGTTCTAAACTTTGCTTAATGCGTTCTATGGATCGGCCATCGATGGAATGTTCAACTGAATTTATGGAAGTTTTGATGGATAGACGTATATTTCTGTCAAAGTTTGTACTCTGCCGTTGCTGAGGTTTTACGTATGCTCTACTCCCTATTAAAAGTTTTCAGCTTTCGAAAATATAACCATGCTGTATAAAAATTCTACTACAGCTTGCCTGGACCCTCTAGAAAAATGTTTAAACTCCATAATAATTAAATCCTAATTGTACAAATTAATCTGAAAAGCGATTAACCTGGATGGCCTACAAAAGCAGAGTATTATTATGTCTATCTGGACGCAGTGGATGAAGTGCTCGGCGCAGTTTGGTGACTGTGGCTTGACTGGAGACTCGATAAAGAACCTCTAAAATTTTAATCTCAATAAAAGACTTGAAAATGTTAACCAATTGCAAACCTATAATTTGCTGAGCTGAGGTAATCAGTGTAATACATGATGTGGGCCTTCTGAGATTCCGATACGCCTTGGCCGGTGGACTTGTGTGGGGCGATGTGGAACTTCCACTGCAGAATGTAGCAGCCTGCGTGTGCAGATACGTGACTTCCCTGGACACTTTCTCCGTCGTGGCAAACCAGCTGACTCTCGACAAATTCGTACTCGGCCCCCTCATTGCCCAGTTGCTCGATTACAGAAGAACCTGCAAGACAAAACATTTTTACTTGTCCTCGTTTTAGGATAGAAAATTCCAACCTCCAGTGTTTGACGAGGATGACTCAATTGTTGTCTGGGTGTAGATGACCCTGAAGCTGATGTCGTGCTTCAAAACGTCAAAGTCCCAGGTAATTACACTGCCCGCTTCTTCATTGGACAAAACCACCTCGTGCACCTTGAAAGGAAAGATTATTTAATCTCAAAGAGAAAGAATGAGGATTGAAAATACCTGGCCCTTGGTAAGGGTGACACAATGATAAATGCTGTCCTCCTTCAAAGGCCTGTCCCAATCTGCGTCGTCCGACAAATACAACGACTTAGGAACCAATCCACCCTCCACAACTCGGCTCTGATAATTTAATTTCTTTAATACTATTGATTTTTCTTATTCTAAACACAAAGTTATACAGAGCAAGTTCCGCCCAGAAAATTTGGCAGAATCTCCTCAGGAATGTGAGTCATCAAACCTCCCTCGTCTTGGTAGTCGTTGCCCCCATAGAAGAGAAATTTGCTTCTCGTGTTCACATCTATGTATTGAGAAAATTAATAAAATTCCTTTTTTTAATTTATACAAAATTTTACGTATGAAGGGGCTGACGAGAGTCCACAAAATGGGAAACACCCGCGGAGCTCTGACAATAAAAACTCTTCCCATTGTCTCAGGGTAGTTAGCCTCGACGATTTCAATCACTCTCAAAAGAGCCTAAAATTTTTCAATCATAATTTTGCGTTTAAAAATTACTGACAAGGTACCTTGATTCCAGGCCTCCATAGGTGCCTCATGTTCAAACCTTCAAGGTCGAGCAGCAGTGACCAGCTGGAAATTGGTCGGCCTTCCTTGCGAGTTGCTTCTTCCAGCAATTGCAGACCTTCCTCGCAGATATGCAGGGTCTATGGGTTTTCTATTAAAATTTGACTAGTTTCCAAATCAAATGACTCACCAAAGTGAGCAATCCATCTTCTCCAATGGTTTTGATCAATCCTTTGACATCCATTTGGCCCAATCTCATGACGTAAAGAGGACGACCCTCTGAATTTCACAAAAAAATTAATTATGAAGAGATTTATTGATTTAATTTTACCTCGGTCGTGATGGTGCCAACCTCCTGGGAAGTAGGTGGTTATCACCTCGGGATATGAATATTCACTGAGAATCTTGTCCACCTGGTATTTCTTGCGCCACTGCAAACTCTGGCAAAGATTCTCTCTTGCTTTGTCCAGATTATATTCTGTTGAGCGAAGGAATCTCAAAAGTGTGCTGTCTGGTAGGGCCTGTTAATTTGTAAAAAAAAAAAAAAAAAAAAAATAGTGATCAGCTTTAATTCATCTTGATTCATTTCACCTTTCCCTTTTGAAGTTCTGCCATGCACTCTCGCAACTGGACAAGTTTTGACTCCTGCATCATTGTCAGTTTGCCGAGGTACCTCTGAATGTAGTCGTGGTCTAATTGAAATGACTTATGGTCTCCTAAAGAAGTTTAAAATTAAACTTTAGTTCTGCAATAACATCAGGAATTTACCACTCCCGAGACTCTGGGAAACGCTGTGTCTGCGCAGGAGATCAGAGGCCGAAGCCCCCAAGGTCAGCTCTTCGGCCAACATTTCTCGAACTTCTTTCTCGTCTGGCGATTGCCTAAGGAAATTCATTTTAATTTAGTAAAGCGAATAGCAACAGAAAATGAGTTTTTATTACATTTCACCATTTGCCTGCTCATTTTCTTCATCACTTCCGGCCTGGCTTTTGTCAGAAGCCGCGTCTTCTTGCCAGATTGGAATTTCAGTAATTCCTTGTTTTGCCATCTCTTCAATAAAATAATCAATGATCTCTTTACCCTGAAATTAATATTTCAGTTTAAATTTTTATAAAACAAAAACTGCACCAAACCTTTGCAATATTGGAAGAATACTGCTTCATGGCCACTTTTTCAATCGCGTTTTCAAATCCAAGGAACGACTTGATCTCGAAATTGGCCACTTGCTCGAAACACGTCCAGCCCAAATTTTCAGGGTGAACCTGCAGAAATTTTTTAGTAATTTCATCAATTAGCAAGAGTTAATAATTACAAAGTATTCGCAGGTTTCAAAAATCTCGACTCGGTTTGCGAAACTTTCGTTCCAGGCCTCGATCAGCAGGCGCCTCTTCCTCCGGTTCAGGGTGTTTCTTTGAATGAAGTAGACGACGTCGACGCCGATTATCTGCAAAGTTGATGGGTGAGCGGCCCGAGTTGTTCAAATGAACAAAGGAAGGGTTACCTTTTTCAATAGATAGGGCACGTCAACGTTGAGTTTGCAACGACGCTCGATTACGGTTTCCGAGCCGTCGGGGGTTGTTTCGTCCCTCACGATTTCGCACGACAGGAAAATGGGAATTTGCGGACACGTTGGAAATCGCTTTTCATACGCCTGCAAGCAATTTAAAAAAAAGTTAATAATTGATGCATTTTATTTGTTGTATTAGTGTGGAAGGTCAGAGTTGGCGTGTTTCTTTATTATAATTTTATACTTTTCATGCTGCCGAGCGAGAGATTGGATCGAGATCAACATCAGTAGAAAGCAAGCTTAATGCTTTCGTGAGCAGAGTAAATCGAGGCAAGTAGTGCGCATTGCCGCATTTTAATATAACCTAAAATACGTTTTTATTTTCAGCAAGCTCTATTTCAAGAAGCCCTGCTGTTTCCTATTTTGCTATTTCTCCAGGGGGTGGAAAAGGTTCCTAATATTAAGCCCGCCGCCTCTGCAGTGTCTCGAGCGGTGAGCCAATAATTTCTAATTAAACTTCTCTGCTCATTCAGGCGCGCTTTTGGCGCCGGAGCCACCAAGGTAATCAATACTGCGAGGGACTTGGTAATATGAGAGCATTAAAGTTTGTTTGTTGGCTCCGATAGGGTTGCGTGACGAAAATTGGTCAACATTTACCTTTGCTGCGGTGTAATTTTGACACATTTTCCCTTGCTTCTTTCAAAACTATCAAAGGTGAAAAAAGTTTTCGGTTTAATATTTATTTATTTAAAAAAAAAACTATCCATCATTAAATCAAAAATTTCAATTTTAAATCTTGTTATCAGGAATTTGAAATTGTTTTGCAGCAACAAGTTCAACAAACGGCTGAGGAATTAAACGATGTTGATCGCAGATTGTTGTTTGATTCAAGATCAGCTGCAAGACCGGCTCCCAATAGCTTATTTGTTTGGGAAAAAAAGCGGAGAGCACGTGCAAGGCCTTCTCGTTGCCGGCAGCAAGGTCGGCTGCCTGCGTTTTGTTTTACCAGAGAAAAATAAATCATTACATAAATATAAAGTCTTCATTTTCCTTCCTCGCGCATTTTCCACTTTGCTAATTTCTATTTAAAAATTAAAAACTACGCAAAAGTTTCATGTCTTTCGAGTTCAAGGAACCCCTTGAAGAATTTTTATCAATTATTCAAACGACGTTGTTGTTGACCTGCAACATTTGCCTGCTGGGTCAGTGCCATCGATTTTTCAAGGCCAATAGTGTAAATAATTGTAAATTATTCAAGAAACTTTCAGCACTTTTGTGTGGTCTTGTATGTATTAAAATTAATAATGTAATGAATGCAGAAGCAGTACGAGTGTCCGTCTGCGGTCGCTGACCTACTTTTTCCTCGTCGCAGATGAAAAATTGAATTATAAATAGAAACTAAATATTAACGTTTTCGCCGAGCTGGACTGGACAAAAGTTTCCAATTTGCGTGTTGGAATGACGATGCGACCTTCAGTGCGTTGTCCTATTTTGCAACAATTCGAGTCGGGAAATTTACAAAAAAAAGTCGCCACACGTTTTCATGCCACGGCCACTTGCATGGAAAACAACGCAATTTCCTGGCAGCGAAAAAATTTTCACTCTAAAATGTGAAAACTTTTTTAAAATAAAAATTATTTTATTCAACGGAAACTTCGCGACTTTCTGTTGTTAAAGGTCAAGGATGGAATGGCACCTCGTGATAAGCTACGCGTCGGAAAACAATGGTGATTGACAAATAAATAGAAATGAAGTCCATTTGCGGAAAAGAAAATAAAATTAAACGCAATTTGATGCAAAAGTGTGAGGAAAATTAATCGATTGCAAATCAGCACCTAGTTTTCAATGAATATTATATTGAATTGAGAGTTGAGAAATTCTTTGATTTATATTCAGTATGAATAATTAAGTATTTCTGTTGAAATATATTTCTCTTTGAATAATCAAGTTTTACTCAAAAGAAAACTGCAGAATAAATAAGTGTCCAAAAGGAATGAAGAATACAATTAATTTTCAGACAAGGCTTATAAATTATAACAATTTTGATTTTAATAAAATAAAATTTCTAAAAATTCATTTTGGAAATAATTTCATTTTATTTATTGAAAAATTAATTGAAAATTTTTTTAAACCAGCATTTTGTTCTTTTACTAAAAATAAAATATCTCTCAAGGCTTAATTTAAAATTTAACAATGCACTAAAAAACTAAAATAAGAGCGTTTCGAATTTCGAATTGTTAGGACACCTTTCAAGCCAAAGCACAGGTCGGTTGGCAAGGGGTCGTGGATTTATTTGCAAAAAATCAGGTGAAAAGAACACAAAATTTGACGGATTTTGGCGTGGAAAAAACTCGGAAAAGTCAAAAACTTTCCCGGAAAAACGCTACTGTAGTTTCAACTTAAAAATGGAATATCTCGGGTTCTAATTGAGATACAGAAATGCGGCTAGCACAAAAAATTTTCTTTTTACCTCCTCTTCAATCCTGAGGGGTCAAATAATCCAGAGGTCAAAGGTCAAGGTCATTTTTCAGGGGTCACACGTACAAAAAAAATTCTAGCAAAAATATGCCACCTTCGATTGGGCTGAAATTTTTTTCTAAGATAGACCTAACATGTAGGAACAACATATTAAAAATTCAGAATGGCATATTTTTTAGATTTTTTATAAAAAAATCTCAAAGGTAAAAAACGTGAATTTTTTGCATTTTGCTCATGATCAAAAATTTATTTTGAGAAAGTACGTATCTAAAATGGGTAAATTTATTTATTTATTGACAAAAAATTCCTAAATTTTCAAAAAATCTCTTACAAATTCTAAAACTCAATTTCCGACCATTGGCAAAATGCGAAAAATTCACGTTTTTTTACCTTTGTGATTTTTCTATAAAAAATCTAAAAAATATGCCATTCTGAATTTTTAATATGTTGTTCCTACATGTTAGGACTATCTTAGAAAAAAATTTCAGCCCAATCGAAGGTGGCATATTTTTGCTAGAATTTTTTTTGTACGTGTGACCCCTGAAAAATGACCTTGACCTTTGACCTCTGGATTATTTGACCCCTCAGGATTGAAGAGGAAGTAAAAAGAAAATTTTTTGTGCTAGCCGCATTTCTGTATCTCAATTAGAACCCGAGATATTCCATTTTAAAGTTGAAACTACAGTAGCGTTTTTCCGGGAAAGTTTTTGACTTTTCCGAGTTTTTTCCACGCCAAAATCCGTCAAATTTTGTGTTCTTTTCACCTGATTTTTTGTAAATAAATCCACGACCCCTTGCCAACCGACCTGTGCTTTGGCTTGAAAGGTGTCTTAGGCAAATTAATATCTCTAAAAAAAAAATTGAATTTCCTTAAAAAAGAATAAAAAAACAAGAGATTTTGTGCCTTTGAACATAAGCAACGAACTATTTTAATTAATCAAGAGTGAACCAAGAGCTGCAGATAGGCAAAAGTGACCGCGACGCTGGTGGTCAGAAACAGGCACCAGGCCGCAAATCTCATTTTGGTGCACGAACACTTCTCGGCCTCATCCTCTGACTCGGTCTCAAACCACTCTTCCGGCGCCCCTTCATCCTTCTTTGCCTCATCTTCAGCGCCAAATATATTTTGACCAAAAACGAGGTCCACGAGCGAGTTCATTTGGAAAATCCAAGCTCAACAATGAAGAATTTTTTTTAATTTTTCTATTGTCGACTTTTAACTTAATTCTCAAATATCGTCGCTTTATTTAATTATTGATTAAGTAATTATTAATGCTGCAGTTGTTTTTTTTTTCGAGTGCTTTAAAAGTTTTCTTGCTCCGAATATTTATCATCTCAAATTTACTCTCATTTTTCTTCTCGACGATTTAAAGAGTCAATCAGAGTTCAGGTCAACAATCGTCTGACCTGACAATTGACGCAAATTGCATGATCGCGAGCGAGCTGCGAATTAAAACTGCAGCTGGGTCCGATGAAGCGGTCTCTCGATTATTATCTAATCCAGCCGCCGCTATTAATTAACTCTAGTGCGCCGCGCAACTGTTTCTCCATCGCAACTTTCTCTTGACTTGCATTTTATTCCTGCGCCGATTTATAATATTAAAGCCACGCGCGTTTGTTGATCTCGCACACGGAATTCCGACCTTTCCTTCTCTAACTTTTTCAATTTTTCAAAATATTTTTTAAATTATTTTTATTTTTTAATTAATAAATAAAAAAAATTAAATGTTATATAATTGAAAAATGGCAAACTTACCGCCATGACCAGCTCGAAGGGGTATTTGTACACTCTGAGGGGTGAGTGGTACTTTTGAACCATGGCTATCTAAGAGGATAGCAGACTTGAAGGCCAAAAATTCAGCGGATTGAGTTGGGGTTGTGTGTAATTATTCAACTGGTGGATGTTTTCTTCTCATCTTGCACTAGTCTGTAAATAATAATATGCGAAAGTTAGATATCAGTTTACTATTCATATCGCCTCCTTATTAAATTAAATTCAACAAATACATAAATACGTCTCACAATTAATATTTATGTATTAAATTTTTTAAATAAAACTATTTCTTTCAGGAGATTTTTGACAAAAAATTTCTTTAAATAATAAATTATTGTAATTTCACTAAAAGATCTGTAAGAATGTACTCAAGTTTCCGGATATTTGTCAGAATATTGCAGATTTTCCACCAAAAACATGCAAATTCCCCACCCACATAATCTCAAGGGCGGACAAAAAGCCGTCGTGTTTTCAACTCAATTAACTCACCTCAGTGTATGTTTTGTTCAATCAGCGACTTAAGTTGAAAGGTGCGAGGCGACGACAGGTCGGAGCAGAAAGGTGGAGAGTCGGATCGAGGAAAAATCGCAAAATCAGCACGAAAAACAGAATCTATCAAACACAAAATCGGGACTGACAGGAATTGGAGGGGCGAGGATGAGCAACGGCAGCGCCACTGACGCCTCCGATTGAAATCAAACGAGGTCACGTGATTCATTGAATTCTGACGTCATCCCATTAAGGCGCAATAATAAGCAAGGCCGCCGCTGCAGACAAGTGGCGCTGCTTTCCACGGTAGAATTTTTGAAGAAGAAAAAACACATGAAATTAAACAAATAAAGTACATAAAAGACTAAAAGAGACAGGGTTTGACCTCCGGTTCTATAGCTTGGGTGACCTTTGATCGTGAGTTTTATCATGTTAGCATTGAATTATTGAAATATTTATCAATTTTAAACGGTTTTTCGGTCAGGGTTTGCTGTCATCGTGAGAAAAATTAAGACAAAAATATGAGAGGGATGCTGAGGGCGGACAGGCTGATGTCCACGATTGCAGCCACAAACCGGACAGTCAAATCGTTGAAAGATGTTCCAGGTCCGATGACCCTGCCTTTAATCGGGAACCTTCATTTATATAAATTAGGTAATATGTAATTAAAAATGTCTATCACCTTTTTTAAATATAATTAATTACTAAAAAATATATGAATCATATTTATCTCAATTTATCTCTTAACTTTTCAGTTTAATTTAAAAAAAAAATATGTTTACACTTCTTTTTTTTTAATATACTAATTTTCTTTCAGGCATTTTCAAGGTTGACAGGTACCACAAAGTTTTGAACCAACTTCGGCAAAAGTACGGACCCATTGTTCAACAGAAAATTGGATCTGAGAGGGTGGTGCATGTTTTCGATCCGGACGATGTCAGAAGAGTTTATCAAACCGAGGGAAAGTGGCCGTACGTGGCGCCCCTGCAAGAAACTGTCCAACTCTACAGAGAAAAGCGAGGTCTTTCGCTGGGGCTAGGCAATCAGTAAGTGGCCCGCTTTCTACTTATATAAATTTTAATTATGTTGATTAAAGAAACGGCGAAGACTGGTATCGTCTGAGGGCAGCCACCCAGCAGGCCATGCTTCGTCCGTCTTCGGTTGAGCAGTACTTGCCCTTGGTAAACGAAGCAGCCCTCGCTTTAGTTTCAAGAGTTAAAAAATGTGTTGGGCCTGATGGAGCTGAAGTTGACCATCTACGAGATCTGATTGGAAAATGGTCGCTAGAATGTATTCAAATGAAACTATCTTTTCATATTTTTGCTAGATAATTAAACTTTTACAGCTGCCGGGGCAGTTTGTTTTGAGCGAAAACTTGGTTGTCTCGATGAAGGGAGGGGAGAAGATCGAGCCCAGCAGATGGTGGACGCAAACAAAAGAATCTTCAAACTATCTGGAGAACTAAAATTTTCGCTTCCAATTTACAAGTACATCAGCACGCCCAAGTGGAAAGAACTGGTCAAAGCTGAGGACCTTTTCTTTAGGTTTGTTTTTAATAATTTTATGATATTTTTCTTACAAATTTATTTTAGTTTGGCATCCAGCATAGTAAAGGAAACAATTCAAGAAATTAAAAAAATGAAAAGTGGAGACGAAGAAGGAAAGAAAAAGAAGTACAGCTTTTTAGGATACCTTTTATCCCAGCCAGATTTAACCAGTTCAGATGTCGACATCATCACCCTCTCTCTTTTTGGAGATGGTTTGAGCACAGTAAGATTTAGTATTTTTGTTAATATTTAATAAAATAAAAATTACTTTGATAGACGACCCCATTTTTGTTGAATTGTCTCCGCTCCTTAGCCGACAACCCCGAAGTACAAGAGAAGCTAAGGGCTGAGATTAAAGAGGCTGTGAGGGAGGATGGATCTCTGAAACCTGAAATCTTCAATAACTTGCCATACCTTAGAGCATTTATAAAGGAAGCGTTCCGGTATAAATTAATGAAATTCAAAACCAGTTCAAAATATACAAATTTCTCTTTCAGAGTTTACCCCAATGGAACAGAAGTCTCGAGGATTATTCCAGAGGACTTGGAACTCAGTGGCTATCTCATACCTGCTGGGGTAATGTTTTATTTTGCAATACAAAAATTTTCTAATATTGTCCTTTTAATTTCAGACCCACGTCAATCTGAATATGAGTGTTAACTTCAAGTCGAAAGAATTCTTCTCCGATCCAGAGAAATTCCGACCGGAAAGATGGATTAGAGGAGAAGGTGATAAAATCAAACAATACATTTTGACACCTTTCGGCCATGGTACCAGAACCTGTGCTGGTGAGATTAAAACATTTTTGATAAAAATAAAATGGGCTAAACGAAATTTGTTTCAGGAAGGAGATTTGCCGAACAAGATTTGCGTGTGTCGATATCTCAGATTTTGATAAACTTCCGACTGCAATCGGTGGCAGAAAAGCCACTGGAGCACATCTACGAAACACTTCTCTTCCCCATTGAACCTATTGGAGTCAAATTTGTGCCAATCTCTGTGTAAAAATTTAAGAAACTCAGTTTGTTAATTCCAAAAAAATTATATTTTTCTATAATCAAACAAATATGAAATACTTGAGACTGATGAAATTAAAAAAAAGCTGGAATTTTATTAAATTTAAATAATTTTTTTTCATGCAGTTATATTAATCATATTGTGTTATTTACAACTAAATATATCTCCTTGAAATCATTATAAAATTTAAGAAGAAAATATTTAATTGCTTGTAATTATTCCGTCTTTCATCGTCAGAGCTGCATAATTTAAACGGAAACATCAATTGATATCATCATAGTTTTTAAATTTTTAAATAACTTGATGATCGTTAAAATCCTTAGGAGCGGCAAATCTCAAAAAGATAGGCTGCTGCCTTAAAAGAAAAACCAATAAAGCTCAAATTTATGGTTAAATTGATACAAAATTGACCCTTATGGCATTCTCCAATAAGGTCTGCGGAATTTAACCTACTTTTCATAGTGTATCTATTTTGACTCTTTCTGGACATAAATCTCAAAGTAACAAGCAAATCATTACTGAATTGCATTTTAAAATTAAATTAATTAATTTTTAGATGGAGAAATTTCAAGAAAAATGGAAAATTCTAGAAGTTTGGCGGCGAAAGTCGGCGTTTTGACTGGGGCGGTGCCAGGTGTTTTGGTCCCGCGTGCGGAGCAAAAAGCGCGCACTTTCGTCATTGTTGAAGCAAAAGGCGGACACTTCGGTCGGCATGTCTGCTGCGCACCTTTCGTCGGCGAATTCGGCCCCGGCGACGCCGAAGCGGCGCCGCGTGTCGCCCAGCGGCGGCGACGCGCCCATCATCAACGAGTGGGGCCTGTCGTGGGGCTGGACGACCCCGGCCTCCTCCTCGGACAACGAGTCTCCGGGCTGCTCGGGGGGCCGCGGCGGCGGCGCCGAGAACAAGCGGGGCCGGCCCAGGGCCGACATGATCACGGGCCTGATCGAGGAAGGCGCCGTTTCGCCCTCGGCCATCAAGTGCAAATTCTGCTCCAGGGTTTTTCCCAGGGAGAAATCGCTCCAGGCCCATCTTCGCACGCACACAGGTGAGCCTTAATTTCTTAATTTTGACCCCCAACCTCGTGACCTGCAGGCCCAGAAATCTTTTCAATCCTGGAAAGTAAAAGTGGTTCCAGTTGTGCTACTTTTTGTCAAAATTCTTCAGGGTTTTGAATTATTAAAAGGACCACAAAGATTTTTCCAGAACTATTTTTTTGCTTTTGAAAAAGTTAATTTTTTAATTACAAATTTAGGAACATTTTCAGTTTTGTTATTAAAATTTGATTTAAATATCTTCAGATGTAACTGAATTGAAAACGTTTTAGACGAAATTCCATTGATTTAAAGTTTTTTGGCCTATTTAATAACTCGGAGACTCGATGGCGCCAAAATTGTGGCGTGGTCTTTTCTTTTCGGAAATCCTTCTATTCGTGCAGGAATTTTTCCAATTTTTTTATCGTATCACAATGTTGGGTGAAATTTGAAAGTTTTTAATTTTTTTCACGGCGATTTGCCTCAGGAATTGAGAAAAACCCTGAGTTTAAATGCCACGCTCGAGTGATCTTTAAATGGCGCCCTTCCGCCGCCGATCCCGCCAATTTAAATTCCACCCTAACAAGAAGTTTTTCTTTATTATTATGAAAGAAATTTTTACATGAACTCTTTTATGTACAGAGTTGAATTAGTGAATTATTTTCAATAAATTTCATCCTTAAATATAAAATGAAAATATAAAGAAATAAAATAAAAGTTACCAAAAATTTTAGTTTCAGCTTCTTTTCTTGAGACAGTTTTCAATATTTTTTTCAAAATTAAAATATATCTCGCTCGTTTATGCTATTACTGATTGATTTAGAGAGAAAAATTTATTAATTATTAATTTGTTATTTTTTATTATTTTTTTTTCTGCGAAGACCACCATTTTATGAAGAACCTGTTTTACCGCCTTTTAAATTTTTAACCCTTTTTAAGCCAAATTAATTTTAAAACCCGTTCACGGTTTTGTCTTTACAATAATGTCTTCAACTTAAATGGAAAAATAATTGAAAAGCATAAAAAATTTTAATTAATTTCGGCAAAACTAGTTCGTGTAGAAGTTTACGCGGGATCGAACATATGATCGGCGCGTCGTCTCTGCCCCCAGCGTGACCCTCGACTCGTTCGTACTTCGTAGGCAACGTGACAAAATTTAAAAAGCTTTTGTTTGTGGTGAAAGCAGACGATATCGATCTGGAACTTCAGCTGATAAGGAAACTTTAATTGTTAATTGGGCGCGTTTAAAGGGGCCTCTTTAAATGCGGTGGCGCCGGCGAATGATTCATGAATGGGTGCTGAGAATTGTGTATAATTATCAACGCCTGATAAGCCTTCTTTTGACGCAAGTCTTGAGATAATTATTGATCAAGAAAAATAAAATTTGATGAAAACCACAATAATTTTTTTATTTTTTGAATTTATTAAAATTATTAAATTTTTGACAATTGTTGCTATTTGATTTTTCAGGTGAAAGACCGTACGAGTGCGACTACCCTGGCTGCACAAGAGCCTTCACGCAAAGTGGCCAGTTGAAAACGCACCAGCGACTCCACACTGGCGAAAAACCGTTCCGCTGCTCTGAAATCAAGTAATTTAATTTGCATATTTTATTAAAAGTGATCAAATTTAACAGATAATTTTTTCCCACAGCTGCCCGAGCAGATTCACTCACGCCAACAGACATTGCCCTGACCATCCGAATTCCACCCTGAGGAGGTCCAACGACTTTGTTTTGCAGCAGGTTGCCAACACGGAACAGCCCACTGAGGTTCGAAAGTGGCTCGAAAGGTAATTTAATAAATTATATGGAATATATAACAAATTCCTAAGAATTAAGTGAAATTCTATAATTTAAATTAAATTATTATTAATAATTTGTAAAAACCAGTTTTTTAAATTCTCCAAAAGAAATTGAACGCGGATTCGGAAAAGAGCGAGAAAAAACAAATTGAAATGCCCGAATTTCAACTATTAAATGGATATATTAATTTTTTTCCTAAATAGATCAGGTTTTTGTTTAAATTTTTTAATTTTAAATTGAAAAATTATTCAATTATTTTTTTGGGAAAAATTCCAAATCTGTTTGGGACAATGAAATGAGATTTTCCTATTAAAAGTGGAAATTTTAGTTCGTTTTCCGAGAATTGGTTTTTTGTTTAGTGTCTGAATCCATGTTTAATTTCTTGTAAGAAAATTAAAACGGAAACTGGAATACACTTAACTACGCAAAAAAACAACAACTCTTAAAAAAAACGTACACATTTTTAAAAAAATCTTGTTTTTAATTAATAATTTAAATTTTTGCAGATATCTCCAGCGCCAACAGGAAGAAACGCCTGTTGCAAAGAATCCGGAGCAGAGCCCTGCCGCTCCACCCTCGTCCCCCAAGAAGCAGAGCAAGGCCCGCAAAGGTCTGCTCTCTGAAGTGGACCAGCAGGAGAACAAAACTCCCCACAACACCCCTGCCTTTGCGCCTCTGCCCATGTCGGCCGAGAAACCAAAACGGAGGTGGCTGCGCGAGGCCGGTCTGGACGGCGTCCTTCCCGAAGCCAAAAGCGAGTCGGTCCAGCTGGCCCGACCGCTGCGGTGGTCCGAGACGGAGGACTCGAGCGTCCACGCCGCCAACCTGATGCGGCCTTCGGTGCTCATGCTCGCGTCGTCGCGTCCGCCCGAGGAGGAGTGGCTCGGGGCCATGGCCCTGGTCGCCCTTTCCAACAACCAGAAGATCAACCAGCAGCACCAACCCCTCGACCTCGCCATGAACGAATACACTGCCCTGTAGAACTCTGTTTGAAACTGACTTTTAAAACAAAAATAATACGATTTTATCCGAAATTTGTCAATTTCATCGACTTGAGCAAGTTCTTTACTTTATTATATTCTTTTGTTGATTCTGTTGTTAATGCATCTAACACACTAGTCAGTGACAAACAATACTATCAAGCCGGTCGAATTCCGTCTCCAATCGAGAGATGTGTAAATTTTTAGATTTTATACGAATTTAGGTCGGATACAATTTTACGAATTTTAAAAGCATGCACAAATTAATGGAAATCTCTATTTTTTGTAATAACTTGATACGATAAGGAGCCTTACTATAATTCTAGCTATAATCACCTAAAGTACGCTTTCTTTAAATAAAATATAATCTAGATTTAAATACCGCAACGCGCTTTCCTTAAAGAATATTATTTACTTTATTGCGCTCCGTGTTCTGCTGCGCAATCCTAATTTTTACTCGAGTGCAATTCAACAAGTCTAAACATGCGTCCTTTTATAGATTCTATCTAATTTTAAACTCAGACTAAATGAAAAATGGTTTGGTAATGGTTTAATTTATATGTAACCCTATCATGTAAAGATATTTTTGGATATTTAATAAAATTACTTCTTTTAATCATAAAATTCTTATTTTATTCATACCCTGCAAATGCAAAGCTGCATTGTTTGGACTCCGTCGCACAAGTCAGGAAATTCGGGCTTGCCATCCTCGTCTGTCATCTCCGAATAAGACATTTCTTTGACAACCTCGAAACCAACCCTTGCAGCTAATTTCTGGGACGCCGCTGCTGTGAAGGATGTTTTGGTCAGCGGAATTCCGAGCCCTCTGCACAGCTCCAGCCGGGCTCGAAGGAGCAATTCTCCGAGACCGCGCCCTCGGTTTTCTCTTCCAACCGAAAGGCCCAACGCGTCCATGTAGTGATCCACGTGGAATCTTTTTGTATTATTTTAAAAATAATACAAATTTTCACCAAAAACTTACTGTTCAAAAACATTTACATCCTTGCCAAACTTTTCAGTGTGTTCGAAGACTTTCTTAATTGCGTGGCCTTTGATCATTTCAAGTATGGGAAGGTCAGGGTCGCCTTTCGATGACACGCTCAGCATATTGGCCCCGAGAATTATCGGTGGATTTTCAGGACCGACTTAAATTTCCAAAAAATATAAATTTATTGAAATAAAAATTATTTTAATATACCATTCTTCATGTCGGCCCCTGGCGTACCTTCAGCCAGGGCTACCAAGGACACCCTTTGGGGGAGCGAAAGGTCACGCCAAATCCACACCATGTCATCCAGGGAGGCCTGGTCTTTGTAAAGCTCGGTGCTTTTTGACAAAGGAGCATCACGACAAAGGTTATCCACCTTGATTATCATTATTTAATTTTTAATCCTATTTGGAAAAAAAATATGAAAGTTTTACCATGAAATCCAGAACAAATTGGTCAAGATCAGGGGTGATGTCGCGCACCACAAAACCTTTTTCTCTAATCCAGATTTTCGGAGGAACGCTTTCAGGTCGTTTCCACAGAGCCATTTTTTAGGAGTTTTCAGATCAGCTATATTTGTTCAAATGTCATCTTTTCACTGATATAGAAGCGAGTGCGATAATTTTTTTTATGAAATGAGATAAGAACAATTCTTAAGAAATTGCAGATTATGTTAAGATACCGCGGCGGGAAGTCATACCTAAAAAAAAAATACATGTCATCTTTGGATTCAGAGTTAATAAAAGATAAAGATTATTTATTTAAGAAATTTTAATTAATAATTTTGAGCTTTGACATAATAAAACCCAGCAAATTATTCAAAAAATATATTTAGAAAATAGAAACTTGAAAGAAATTTAGTTTAAGTACGTCTAGAATAAATTAAAATTGAATTAGAGTTTATGTGAAATTTCCAAAAATAGCTTGTAACTCGAAAAACGTTATTTATTGATTGAAAAAAGCAGTAAATAAATGAGAACCCCGTCGGTTTCTCCTTTCATTGTTTTGCCAAAGTAAGTGAGAATCAGGACGGAAATCAATTTTGTCAAATCAAGAAAAGCAACAAATCCTAATACACATGCGGAAAAGCTCTGTTGTCTTTTTTATTGGTCGAATATATAGCGAAGGCAATAATTCGAAAGCAATGATTCGTTCAGATTGGCGCCGCCAGCACAGAGTGTGCCCCTAGCAGTGTCGCTTTTGTCTCTTTCACCCGGCGGCAGAGTCAGTTTTGCGCCCCTAGTGGAGAGCCGAGGGTGGGTGGCTCAGCGGAAAAGACGAAACGCCAATTTGGAAAACGCTCTGGTTTATATAATTAATTTGTTACCCAACCTGCTGAAATGAACCGTAAGTTTTTCAGGAAAAAAAAACTTGTTTGAATTTTATGAAATTTATTTAATTCTAATTTACAAATTAATTTAAACATAAATTTTTCCCCAATGTTGCCACTTAATTAAGTTGTTGGTGTTTTTCTTTTGTCCCTTGGAAGTGAATATTTGATATAATTATTTTTTCAGCTAAATTTAGAATCGTTATTTGATGGAATTTTCATATATTTTAATCGGGATGATTAAAAACAGAATATTTTAGAAATTTAAGATGATCATTTTTTTAAATTCTTCACTGAATTGGATGAAGTTGAAAATTTATAAAAAAAAAATCATCATAAATTATAGTTTCAAGAAGTGTTTATTGGGTTCGAAATTAGGGCAACTATGCCCCATACATGAACTCATCCAAATAAATGCAAAACAAAAATTATATTTCAATTGATTAAGTTTTTAACAAGAAATCAGCTTCAACTTTTATTGTTACTAAGATATTTCTGCTCAATTTGTAAATAAAAAATTCCCCACAATATGTAGCAATATCTCGACCTCCTTCTTTTTTTCCGTAAGCGGATTAGACATTGTTAGAAGGGATCAGGAGAGTATATATGATTGCCAATTATTTTATCGTTTTTTTTTTTTTTTTACTCAAAAGACAGAATTTTCCGTTCAAAAACCAAAACTGAATTGTTTTCAATTTTTTATTAGAATTGTTTTCGTTTCTTTTCTTTTTATCAAAGCACTACTTGAGCTTGAATCAAGCGTGGGACGAGAGGATGCGCAAATAATTGAGCACTAATGAATTTCCCGCCCCTGCTTTTCCTTTCATTAAAAAACAAATCGATGACTCTGCTTCGCCTATAATTAAAAATAGAACTAATTTCTCGCTGATTTTGGGCGATTTTTTTCAACGCTTACGTAATTCTCGTCGGCTCTTTAAGGGTCGAAACCATATTTTTTTTCTGTCGGTCGCTAATCCAAGAATTCAGCGGCACTTGTCCGGCCTCCGCCGCCCATAACTCTCGACTTGGGTTCGTATTGCAAAGTCGTTTTTCCACCTCGCAACACCAGAAAAAAGCGTAACCTATTTCTGGTTTTAATCAAACTTTCCCTATACATGCTCAAATAATATCCAATAAATTTGAATTCAAATTTAATTTTACAAGAAAAATGATTAATTTTTTAAACGAGAGTTGATTCAAATGAAAACCTACTTGTGAATTTTTATTTTTATTTAATATAAAAAATATTAGACCGTTTTTTATTCTGTCAGTCACATATGCAGTCTAAATTATTATATTAATTTTTAAGAAAACATAATTAGAGGACAATTTTGGTGTAAGTGAGATTTTGAAAATCTTTTTGCAGATATCAAGTAAGAAAAGTGAGCGATGACTGAGAAACTCCACGAATATCAGGGCTTTGTGGGTCGGTTGCACGCCATCCGCGACAATTTTTCGCAGGGCTTCGCGCCTTACAAAGAGCGGTACAATGAGCGCGGGGGTGGTTTGGCCGGCCTTCGAGGGATGTTCTCCGAACAACCCGACACAACGCACGACTTTTCGCACATTTACAGGCAAGATTTTTTATATTAATAATCAAAACTTGAAATAAATTCATTTTTGTAGCAATAATTTGTGAATATTTGTAAATTAAAAAATCAATTTATTTATAAATTTCATAATATTACAAAAAATGAAGGGGTTTGTGATTAAAAATATTACAAGTGGCAAAAAAGAATCAAGTTCATTTTGTAAATTTTTGTAATTTTATTTCATAATTGACCTAGAAGAATAGATAACAATAATAATAAATTTGCAATTATAAATAGAAAAATTAGTTTGAATTATTAACTTTTTGCCGAATTGAATTTTTATTGTAATCCAAGAAGAATTACTTTTACAAAAGTAATTATAATTGAAAGGACGTCAAAAAATCTTCAATATTTTTCTGTAGACAAAAAACGAGAGGCGAGTTGGTGCGCATTTCGGCAGCGGTGATGGGCATCGAGTTCGCGTACTCGGCCGAAACGGCGTTCGTGTCGCCGACGCTGCTGAAAATCGGGGTCGCCCACCGGCACATGACGCTGGTGTGGGGCCTCAGCCCCCTGATCGGCTTCTTCCTCACGCCGGTGCTCGGTTCCTTGAGCGACCGGTGCAGCCTGCCGCTGGGCAGGAGGAGGCCCTTCATCATGGCCCTCTCGCTCGGCGTCTTTCTCGGTAAAAAAAATTAAAATTTCTATGAAAGAAAAATCAAATTAATTGTCAATTTGCTCACCAGGCCTGTTGCTTGTGCCGAACGGCGAAGCTCTGGGCTACTGGTTCGGAGACACGCACGGCATCGTGTACAACGCGTCAGTGCCGATGGAAAATTCAAAGCCTATAACTCGGGTAAAAATCGCTTTTTTAATTGATTCTTAACTTTAATTAATTTAGTAAGAGAAAATTATGAAACTTGGTTCAAAACGTATTCAAGTTTTGGATGAAAAAAATTTGTTCATTGATAATAAATCTTTTACTTGAAATTTGAATGCAAATTGCTCCAACTTTTCTCAAATAATAATTTTACAGATTACAATTCTGCCTTAGAAACTTCATAAAATAAATTACAAAATAGAGCAAAATCTTACAAATAAATATTTATTTTTATCTTTCCTATTAAGATTTTGTTTTTGTATAAAACAAATTTAAAGGTAATTATAACTTCAGGATTTTTTGTTTATTTATTTTTGCTCCTCTTTTTAGGAATCGATAACGGGGAGCCACCCTTGGGGAGTTCTCTTCACAGTTCTGGGCACGGTGATGCTCGATTTCGACGCCGACGCTTGTCAAAGTCCGGCCCGCGCCTACCTTCTGGACGTGACGCAGCCAGAGGACCACGCCCGAGGCCTCAGCACCTTCACCATCATGGCAGGTCTCGGCGGTTGCATGGGGTATGCGATGGGAGGCATCAACTGGGACGCCACCGCAATCGGTATCCCGATCAAATCTAAAATTAAAAAAAATTTTAATAAAAAAAAAAATGAATAGGTGTCATGCTGGGCGGCCACGTCAGAGCAGTTTTCACCCTGATCACGTTCATCTTCATCGGCTGCGTCGCGGCTACGATCACCAGCTTCAGAGAAATTCCTCTTTACCTTTTAACTGAGCAAGAGACAAACTTCACCGAAACAAAAAAGGTTCAGCTTTCAATCATAAAAGGGAAATTTTGAATTAATTTTAAATTTCCAGGAGCCTCAACAACGAGCACCTTTGATGCACCAAGCGAGTGTGATGTCATACGGAGCGACCGGAGTTCAAACAACTCAATTTCAGGTAAGAAATAGTTGATTATTTTAATATCAATTCTTTGATTTAAGCTGATTTTAATACTTGAAATATCCTTTTTGTGAAAAATGATAATTTTTTGTGAGATATTAAAAAAAAGTTATATTAAATGAAAAAAGATTTCTATTTTCTCAAATCTATGGATAAAAAATAGAATAATTTTAGCCGTCTTTAGAACCTCAATTAAAATTATAATTCTTGTTATTAATTTTTGTTAATTTCCGACCAATATAACCTAATTTTCCACCTTTAAACAGGGACTAATATAAATTAAATTATGAAAATGCCTGCGAAACAACGGTTATGCAGCACGCTCGACAAGGGAGTCGTGCCGGTTGCATAAAATCAACATTTTTTTTAAATTTCTGCAGGGCAATGACGAATATGGCGAAGAAATCTCTCAAGACCAGTACCCAAATCACCCAGATGGAGTTCCACCGAATCCTGACGAAAACGGCGGATTCCAAGATATCGAACCTCCAATCGCAACTCAGGTTTGTGTTTTGCAAGTTAATCCTTTATTTATATCAAATTGAATCTTCCATAAATTTTTTCCCTATCAATCAATTATTCACTAATGTTTAAAACGGAATTTATAAAAAATTATTTAAATTCAGATTTAACATTTGCCAATGTTATTCTAAATTTTAATAAAACTTTTGAAATTAGGCGTCCCTGCGTCACTACCTGCTGTCCATCGTCCACATGCCCGGTTCGCTGCGAATTTTGTGCGCCACCAATTTGTTCTGCTGGAGCGCGCACGTTTGCTACTCGCTTTACTTCACCGACTTTGTCGGCGAGGCTGTTTTCGGGGGCGACCCACAGGCAAGGCCGCTATGCCAAATTTTAATTGTATTGTAAATTTAGTTTTATCGCAGGCGGCTGAAGGTTCTGCGGAAAGAGATCTGTACGAGGACGGCGTGCGTTTCGGCTGCTGGGGAATGGCCATGTATTCGCTCTCGTGCGCATGCTACTCCCTTCTTATTGACAAACTTGTGCAGCGATTCAGGCAAGAAAAGAAAGAATTTGATTTAAAAAGTTTGATAATTCTTTTTAAAATTGACTATTTTTCTTTGCAAATTTTGTCATTAAGATTTAAAATAATGACCAAAAAAAGATTACTTTATAATATTCTGGATGATTCTCCGTTTATTTTATGGTTTTTTAATTTTTTCTTTCATTTTTGTGGAATTTAAATCGCAGCATTTATTATTTGTTATAAAAACAGGGCAAAAAGAGTTTACGTCGGAGGACAGTTGGTTTATTGCACTGGAATGTCCCTCCTGGCGCTGACGAGACACAAGATCGGAGTCATCGTCTTTTCCTGGACAGCCGGGGTCATGTACTCGACATTGTTTACCATGCCGTACCTCCTGGTCGCTCATTATCACGCCCAGAACACGGTAAAATAAAATAAAACACGTGTTTTTAATGTGAATTTATGGAAACTGTGGGAAAGAAACCAATCAAAATTGTAGCTTTATATTATGATATTAATTTTCTAATTTTTGCAATCTTGATCCAACCGTTGCCTTCATTCTGAAGATTCAATTATGTTTACTATTTTTAAGTAACAAAAGGTATCTTTTATTTTTGGTTATTACAATTTTTAAATTTCAAGATTATTTAATTCTGATTTAATGAAATTGAAGAAATAAGATTATAAAAAGTTGAAATTCTTCAGAAACTATGACCAAAATTTAGACAAATTTTAATTTTGAAAATTCAGTTCAGCGAAGAGGACCAACTGATGAAGGAGGAGACGGTGCCGATGGCCGCGGCGCACCCGCCACCGCCAACAGCACCGAAGCAACTGCGAGGTCTGGGCACGGACGTGGCCCTGGTGAGCAGCATGGTGTTCCTCGCGCAGCTCCTGCTGTCCGCCTGCATGGGCGCCATCGTCAGCTGGGCCGGCACAACCACGGCGGTCGTTTGCGTGGCCTCGGTGCTCAGCTTTTGCGGCGCCATTTGCGCCACGCAGGTGCTGTACCTCGATCTCTGAGCCCATCTCTCCTTGTTTCGTGTGTCCTATTTAACAAAGTGTGTAGCTCGAGCAAAGAAAATCGGTGTTAATATTAATGAAGAATAAAATTATCAATTAGCAAGTGAACTGATATTTTGTTTTAAAATCTAAGTTTTTTTCATTTCAAATTTGTTATTTCAGGATATTTTTGGAGATTTTATTAAATATGTTTAATTTTTAAGTGATAAATTTAATTAAAAAACAATAATTTGAAATAGGTTTTTTAAGCCAAAATAAGATATTATTCACAATTATTGACAAAATTGGGTCAATTTTTCATACAATAGACTTTTTTCAATCAAACTTGAGCCAAATTTTTAACTTAAATATGCAAAATTGGGTTTATTCTTAGTATTTATTAAAACAATTTTTTTCTCTTTAAATAAAATGTCTAATTTTAATCAACTTGATTTTGCTCTACAAGAAACAACGGTTTGTAACTGTCCGGCTCCTCTCGAAGGTGGCTGCAGAACGCTCTCGTGATCTTCAGGTCCATGATGTCCTCGAACACCCTCTGCATGGACACCAAGTCCCTGGGCGCCTCATACTGAGGAGGTTTCTGCACCGCAGGTCTCGTCAGATGCGACTTGTCCTTGGGCAACTTGCACTTCAACTGAGTTACCGCCCGCACGGCAACACTTTTGCTGGTCAATTTTGGCTGCGTCGGAGGCGAATAGGGTGGAATTCGGATTTCAAAAAGTTGAGCCACTTTTTCCTCGTCGATGACTGCGTTTCCGCCGAGCGAGCGATACCAATCACAAAACTCTAGGCAAATCTAAAAAATAGAAATAAAGTTTTGATTAAAAAATAAAAAACCGTAATTAGATCAATTTCAGTTTTTTTTTTTAAATGTTTGAATAAATTTACTTCTGAAGTTATAATAGCAGCTTTGTTATTCAAAGTCTCTCTAACGTCCCACAAAGGCAAATCTTTTGGGCCTCTTCGCCAGGGCCTGTCCTCAGGGTGGCTGAGCAGAAATTTTGAAAAGGCGTCCGAGGGCCTCCGTTTTTTACCACCCGTTTCCTCCTTAAGCCTAATTGTAAGTTTAAATCAACCAATTTGCTGGTCCATCTTTTGATTTCAAAAAACCTGATCGCAGACGGCGGCCGAGTCGAAATCGGAGAGGCCAAATGGCAAGTTTTGTGCAGCGCCGCCTTTTGCTTTGTGGCTTTGCTAGGGTGCAGGCACAACTTTCGCAGCAGGTCAACGCCCTTTAGCTCCGGCAGCTTGCCAAATAATTTTAAATCAACGCGACAAGTGCGGAAAATGATTAAAAACTCACAACAATTTTGTTGTCCTGCGATAAATCTATTTCAGGAGATTCCATATTGCGCGGCGCAGTTCTTATCAATGGAAAACAAACGCGCCTCGGTTGCTTGGAGACGCAAAATAGGAAACTTTTATAGGGTGGGTCCAAATATCAGAGAAAAAATTCTCGAAACGATTCTTGAGAAAAGATTCTCGAGAGAATCTGTAAAAACGATTCTCGAAAAAAGTAACGATTCTTAAAGTGTAATTTTAAGGGCAGAAACGTTCCTGGAGAATCCTTTCGTGAGAATCTTTTCTCGAGAATCGTTCCTACAGATTATTTGTTCGAGAATCGTTTCGAGAATCTTTTCTCTGATAATCGAACCCACCTATACACTTCTTGGTTTTTTAATAGAATAGAATTAAAAAAGCCTTCCAATTATGGTACGATTTGAAAACCGCAGAAAATGTGTTTTGCTTACTCATGCAGAGAACTTTTTTCTTATCAATCAAGCCACATCCTGCCCAGAGCTGGGATCGGAATAATAAAATAAAATTCGTTTCCCTTGGCTCGCGGACGGGCGTGTCAGCAGAAATGGGACCAAAATTATTGATTCTGTTGGTCTCAATCGGGACCACTTTGACCAGTGACCCGTGCCAAGTGCCGACAATCAAGACCTGCGGCGACTGCATTTCGGCCGCGGGATGTGTTTGGTGCACTTCTGTGAGAATTTCTTTTTATTCGTTTCAAATTTCACGTTTCAATTAATTGACAGAAACCGTCGAATGGAGAGTCGCAGTGCGCGAGTGCCGGCAAACCTCAAGGGTGGTGCGGAGGCTCAATCGTGGACCCAAATGCTCTCGTGAAGGTGGTGGAAAATAAATTGCTGAACACAAACCCTGGGCAGATTGTCCAGGTCAAACCTCAAAAGCTCAAGATCAAAACACGACCGGGTGAGAAAATAGATTTCCTTCTAGGCTGGCATTTTAATTGTCTTCTCTTTTGTAACAGGAAAGACGGCCAAATTCCAGATGCAATACACGCAGGCCAAGGACTATCCGCTAGATTTGTACTATCTCATGGACCTCTCGCAATCCATGAAAGATGACAAGGATAAGCTTTCGTCGCTTGGAAAAGAGTTAGCCGTTAGGATGCAAGCTCAGTCTTCTAATTTGCAAATGGGTTTCGGCAGTTTTGTTGACAAAACCGTCATGCCTTTTGTCAACACCATTGTGGAAAAGTCAGTGGAAAATTTCAAAATGCTTTTTAATATTAAGAATTTCAATAAAAAATAATTTAAAATTCTTATAATTGTTGATACGAAATGAACACATACTCATTAAAATCAAAGGACTAAAAATTTGGGGATCAAATATTAATAGTAAAAAAAGTACAATTATTAAATTTGGCTTTTCACAGAGCAAGAAAAACATAATTTTCTAATAACTAAATATTCTTATTTCCTTCATTTCACATTCTATTATGAATTATTAAAATGAACAAAATTAACTTAAAAATAAATAATTGTGCTTAGTTTTTTTTTTTTTAATTTCAAATGCAAATCCAGTGTACTCATTAGTAATGTTCGTTTATTAAAGCAGAATTTTTTTCAGCAAGATACCGTGTCTTGATTGTGAGCCTGCCTATTCCTTCAAGAACCATCTGCGGCTCACAACTCAAACGTCTCAATTTGCTGTAAGCCCGACAATGAATACCGGAAATCACTATTTCATTTAATTTTATTACAGACCTCCGTCGAACGAACCAAAATTTCTGGCAACGTCGACACACCTGAGGGCGGATTCGACGCCCTGATGCAGGTGATGGTTTGCGCCGAGGAAATTGGTTGGAGAAACGAGGCGCTGAAGATGATCATTTTTTCCACCGACGCCGAGTCTCACTACGCCGGAGACGGAAAGGTTTGCTTTTCCATACCAGGGTGTTTTTAATTTCTCTTTATACTGAAAAATCGCAACATTTTGAGCTGTTAAAACATTATGCGGAAATTCCAATTGTGACAAAACCAAAATTATCAGTTTTCTCCAAATTAATTCAGCTTTTGGTCATTGGTGGCGCTGATTTTGCTACGTTTTCTCATCAGCGTTTGCAGCGCCACCAACGAACAAAGCAGAATTAATTTGGAGAAAACTTTCAAAGAGAAAAATTTTCAGTTTCACACTTTTTCTTGTCATTTCGAATTTGTGTATTCATATTTTCTCAGGGGATGATCAAAATTTTGCAATTTTTAGAATAAATAGAAATTAAACTAATACTTGTGCAACAGCTTGGTGGCATAGTCGAGCCCAACGACGAAAAGTGCCACATGGATGCGAGCGGAAGCTACACACACGCCTTGATTCAGGACTACCCGAGTGTGGCTCAGGTTAATTTTTTTTCTTGAATTTCGATAAAAAAAAATAAACAAAATAAAATAAACAAAATAAATCAACAGATTAGCAACAACGCCCGGGAGAGAAAGATGAACATCATTTTTGCGGTCACTCAAAATGTGAACAGCACATACGTAATGATGAATAGAGGAATTCACGGATCGAAGACAGGAATCCTGGCCGGAGATTCGGGAAATATTGTCGATCTTATTGAAAACGAGTACAAAGTATGAGAAAAGAAGAAATTCGAGACAAGGAAAAATTATTATTATTATAATTTTTTTTTGCAGCAACTGACTCAATCTGTAGTCATGGACTATCAAGCGTCCAGCGACGTTACCATCGAGATGTTCAGCAATTGCGGTTTTTCTACGGCACCGCTAAAAACAAATAAATGCGAAGTGAAGAAAAAAGGAGATTCCATCATATTTGATATTAAATTATCTGTGAGATTTTGAAGAAAAATAATCTACATTTCTGATAAATCTGGACAAAATTTTCGCAGGTAAAATGCCCACTCGACAAAACCAGAAGAAACCAAAAGGTCTTCATTTCTCCACAATCAATCAACGAAAAACTGGAGATCGACTTGGAAATTGACTGCGAGTGCGATTGCGAAAAACAGGTGCCAAAAATTACTTTCTTTTCAAGATTGTTTTTCACGTTAATTATAATTTCAGGGCCAATTTTCGCCCAACGATCAAGCAAACTGCAACAGCCACGGCGACTTCAAGTGTGGCACTTGCGTGTGCCAACCTGGCTTTTGGGGATCAAACTGCAACTGCAACTCCAATTCCTCCTCGTTTGACGAAAGAGACAAATCGCAATGCGAGTTAAACGGACAAATTTGCAGCTCGAGGGGTGAGTGCAGATGCGGAACTTGCGTCTGCGACAACCCGTTGGTGAGTAAAAATAATGTGAAGAAAATTAAAAGCCCTTTTATTGTATATAAACAGGACATTGCAGCTTAAAAACATTTTTATAGTTAGAATGACGAAAAAATAGTCTCAATGATTATTTAAAAAAATTCAAGTTGAATTTGTATTTTATTTAAAAAATAAAATTATTTTTTTATAAAATTCTTTTAATAATTGTAAAATAAGTAAAGCTAAAAATCTTATCAATGGTTGTTAAAATTTATAATTTTTTCTCAAAATTCTATCGACTCATGACCTTCATAGAAATAAAATATTTGAGGAAAATATTTTTAAACATAATAATTTTTAACTCTGTTATTAGCAACACTTTGGAAAACACTGCGATTGCGACGTGAAGAGGTGCAAAATCGGTTCCAACGGCCGCGTCTGCTCAGACCACGGGACTTGCGGCTGCGAAGGGTGCGTGTGTCAGCCTGGATGGAGTGGACCGGCCTGCGGGTGCTCGGAGAACAAGGCCGAATGCACACCGCCGGGCGGAGATCAAGTTTGCTCCGGAAACGGCATTTGCGAGTGCGGCGAGTGCAAGTGCAGATTCATCCCAGGCAAGGGAAAGTACAGCGGAGTCTATTGCGAAGACTGTCCGGTGAGTTGAACCCTGAAGAAGCCAAAAGTAATTTACTAAAAAATGCGGAATTTGTGCAGAATTGCCAGGGCAAATGTGAAGAGCTGAAGCCGTGCGTCCTGAGCGTGCTCCAATCAAAAGAAGGCGAAACGCTCGAGATGCATCCTGACTGCGAAATTTACCACCTCTACAAGCTGCAGAATCTTACCAGTAATTAATTTGCTGATTTTGTTTTTATAGTTTTTTAGTGGTTTACTAAAATTGTGCGGGAAGAACTTGGCTTTAAATAATCGAACACTTGCTATATTTTGATTTTTAATTAGGAAATTCATTTGAAAATTACTCAAAAAATTAAAAGTTTCATTAAAACCCAGGAAATTAAGGCAAACAGAGCAATATAACCGGCGTGGATCGTGATTCTTCCCAATTCATTATCGAGACCTGAATGTTTCAACTGAACGTTCTGCTTGGTTGGGTCCGAATATCAAAGAAACGATTTTCAAAACGACTCTGGAGAAACGATTCTCAAGCAAGGATTCTCCAGGAACGATTCTTTAGTTGAATTTTAAAGGCAGAAACGTTCCTGGAGAATCCTTGCGCGAGAATATTTTCTCAAGAATCATTTTGAGACTCGTTTCTCTGAGATATTCCAGGTTTTAATGAAGTTCTTCATTTATTTAGTCTTTAAACGTCAAAATTTTGGTACAAATTCAATTCTTTAAAGCTAAGTTTTCTCACATAGTTTCTGGAATTGCAAATTGCATCAAACCAGAGAGCAGAATTGTAAGAATTCTTTCAACAGGTGAAGCCATTCAGGACAGTCTGGTCTCAAGTCAGCCACTGAAAAGCCAGAAGCGACAGAGGCGAGAACTTCGCAACAGCCTGGAAACCAATTTCGGGGGCGAGTCGCTGCCTGACCCTGAAGCGATCGCCAGTTCCAGACTCTGCAGCTACCCTCTGCAGGGCTGCACTTACTACTACCGATACTTGACGCTCAAGGACAAGATTCTGCGCGTTTTCATCAACGAGAACAAGGAGTGTCCGCCTCCCGTCGACATTTTGGGTATTAAGATTAAAGCATTTTTTAATTTAAAGTCTTGTCAACAATGATGGTTAAAATTTCCAATTGTTCCAAATTATTTTTGAATTTTTAGGCGCCGTTTTGGGTTTGATTGGCGCGATTTTGCTGGCTGGGATCGTGATGCTGATAATCTGGAAAGTGGCCACGACCATCCACGACAGGCGCGAGTTTGCCAAATTTGAGAAGGAACGCGAAGCGGCCATGTGGGACGCGGTAAGAATTAGAAAATTCGATGCGATTTGTGCTTAAAATAGAATTTTTGCAGGGCAACAACCCATTGTATAGAGAGCCGGCGTCGACCTTCCAAAATCCAACTTTCAGCGGACAATAATAATTCTGTGCACGCCTTTTTCTTGGAATTGTCTTTAAAGAATACTTAATATTTAAATTAATTTTATGACTATTTCTTTTAAATAAATTGCTTTTATTTTGTAAAATAAATTAAAATTGATATTCAGTAATTCTTAAAAATGAAAAACCTCTCCTTGGAAAAATTGCTTTTTTGATTACATTTTTATACAAAAGTGAAAGTATTAACATAGAAAAAAAATCATATTTTAATTTTAAATTCATTGTGCAGGTTTTGAGCATTTTGTGTCCGGTCACGTGTTTTGATTTTATTTTTAAATTTGTTAATAAAATCTAAGAATAGTCATTTGTCGGCAACAACACATTTTATAGGTTTTTGTTCCAACACCGCACCTTGCTCCAGTTAATACAGCAGCGATAAATCATAAAGCCAAGGTCACAAGTTCAACTTGTTAACATCTCTCTTTACAATGTACGACTGCAATTACACACTCATTATAGATTACAATAATTGTCAATCATCATTAATTTATCTACAGATTCACTCTCGCTTTTCCACTGGCCGCTGCTGCATGTGCGTTCTTGTACGGATTTGCCATGAAATAATTTTGATTTTAATCTTCATTCTGAATGCGTGATAATTTTTACAAGGTAAGTTGAAAATAATTAATTTCCACATTTAAATTTGAATCTTATCAATACAACGCACATTTCTTTTCTTTAAATACGGGATATCTTTCCGTTCCAAAATTAGAAATATCACACGTTTTCGTATTTGCTTTGCGCGAGAACACACAATCATCATCTTAAAAATGGAAGAAATACTACAATGTCACTTGATAAGTTCACTGACGACATCAGCCGCACCGAATATTCAATTACGAAACTCTATTTTGCTCGAAAATTCTGTTCTTTCTGCAACACGTGGTTTTGTTTCCTACGCCTGAGGTCAACAACAAAAGGTTATCTTTTTTATCAAGCGTTGCATTTATATTCCTTTCCCAATAAACAAATGCAAATGACGCAGAAAAATTTAATCGACTTTTCCTCAAGGTTTTCAAAAATCTCGCTTTTATTTGTTAAGCTTTTCCACTTTAAAATTTGTTATGTTTTTGCCATGAATATGCAGAAAAATAGAAATGACGACGTTTCCCATATTTTGGCAGCTTTAGTGCTCGTTGCGAAAGACCACATATTTGCACTGAGATCTCACAACAGCACAAAGTTAGCTGCTCACAACAGTCGACGGAAAGAGTGCAGCTAGGATGGAGGTAGAGCTGGAGGCCCAAGTCAAGGTTGAAAACGAACCAAAACAAATTTCCTCTGATCAAAGGGATAATTTTTGCAGAAACTTTTGTCAAACGAGTCAAAACAGAATGGAGATGTTCAAATTATCAGCAACAACAACAACAATTCCAAATTATCCATGAAAATCGAAGTTGACGAGGAGAATTTCAAAAACAACGTCAAAAGCAAATTGGACATTTCTGAGGACGAGCTCGAGCCTGGAGAAAAAACTCTCCACTACGGACTTGAAGACAATCCACCCTGGTACACTTGCATCATACTGGGTTTCCAGGTTTTTGAGCAATCTTTGAAAAAGAAAAAATTTAAAATTAATTAACTCAAATTTGCAGCACTATGTCACGTTTGTAGTTGGCATTGTTTCGGTGCCCGTCGTCATGTGTCCCAAACTGTGCATGTTGGAGGACGACGCGGCCAGAGGCGAGCTCGTATCAACCCTTATTTTCGTCTCAGGTCTCGTTACAATTATGCAAACGACCATCGGGGTTCGGTGATTTGACCAATAATTTTAAACAGAATTTCGGTCTTAATTTTAATTTGTACATTTCAGACTTCCGATCGTTCAAGGCAGCTCTTTTGGCTTTTTGGCGCCGGCCCTGGCGTTGCTCAACCTGCCGAAGTGGCAATGCCCGCCGCAGGAGCAGATTCTGCAGATGAGTTTGGAGGATCGGCGAGCTTTGTGGCAAGTGCGCGTCAACGAGGTTTCCGGCGCCATCCTCATCGCCTCCTTGTTTCAAATGGCCATCGGATACTTGGGTTGAATTTTACAATGCCATAGAAAAATAATAAACTTATTAAAATTAAATTTCAGGGCTCATTGGTTTGGTCCTCAAGTACATAACGCCCCTGACCATCGCCCCGACCGTGGCTCTGATCGGATTGTGTTTGTTCGACGCGGCTGCTCGCGAGGCGTCCGGCAACTGGTGGATCGCGGCTGGGTAAATTTCCAGTCAAATATTTACAATTTATTTTATATTTTTTGATCAGAACGATAGCCTTGTTGACCTTGTTCTCCTTGTACATGAGATTCCTCGAGGTGCCGCTGCCGCAATGGGGCAAAAAGAAAATCGGCGAAAATAAAAAGAGGAAGACGTTCCCGTTCTTCCAAATATTTCCTGTAAATTTTACTTTTCGCCAAAGATTACCGTTTTTTTGTTACAAAATGATTCAGGTCTTGACTGCCATGGTGATTATGTGGATTGTGTGCGGCCTTTTGACTGCGACGGGAATCTTGCCTGAGGAAAATCTGGCGAGGACCGACTCGAAATTGAAAATTTTGCAAGAGGCCCCGTGGTTTCACTTTCCATATCCAGGTAAAAAGTGAACCTAATTTTTGCATAAATATTCTTTAACTAACAAAAAGAGTAATAATTATTTTTTAATTTGTTTGAAATTTAATTTTTTTCTAATTTTGTCATTCTGATTTCAATTATGTGAGACTATGATGACTTTGTTGTTAATTTCTAAGCTTATAACAGGCTTTTACTGGATTTTTTGTTTCTTTTTTTTTTTTAAATTAGAATTTTCAATGGAAGGAAATGATTCTTTTTCTAACTTAGCATGTTTTTGTTTTACAAAATTATCAGAAATACTAGAATATAAATTTTAAATAATTATTTTTAATTTTGATGGAGTTAAAAACAATCAATTAAATTTAAAAAAAATACTCTTTTGGTCTTTCCGGATTATTTTTTCTAATAAAAGACTGCACCAGTGAATTGGCAATTAAAATTGAACTCCAAATTCCTCCCATTTTAGTAATTAATTATATTTTATCGCCATCTTAATTACATAGGACAATGGGGTTCCCCAACCATAAGTGCAGCAGCAGTTTTTGGCATGTTGGCCGGAGTAATCGCAGGAGCCATCGAGTCGGTCGGCGATTATTACGCCTGTGCCCAATTTTGTGGTGAACATTTTTTGCTTCCCTTTTCAATTTTCGTTAATTTTTTTTCTTATTTAATTTTGAAGAGGCGCCGCCACCACCAATCCACGCCGTCAACAGGGGCATCGGCACTGAAGGCCTCGGCTGCCTGATCGCGGGCATTTGGGGCACCGGCAACGGCACCACCAGCTTCAGCCAGAACATCGGCGCCATCGGAGTGACCAAAGTGGGCAGTCGAAGGGTCGTTCAGTACGCCGGGGTCATCATGCTGACCCTGGGCGCCTTCAGCAAGGTCGGCGCCTTTTTCGTCACGATCCCTTCGCCCATTATCGGCGGCGTTTTCTGCATTACTTTTGGAATGGTCACTGCAGTTGGTAAATTAAAATCATTCAAACTTTCAAAATTGGAAATAAAAATTATGTTTCCAGGAATATCTACTTTGCACTTTGTCTCGTTGAAGTCCTTCCGGAACATGTACATCATTGGTTTTTCCATTTTCTTTGCCTTGGTATTTTGTTTTATATGTTTATAGAATGATTTTAATTTCCATTTTATTTTAGGTTCTGCCAAGGTGGATGGAGAAGAATCCTGATGTTATCAAAACAGGAAGTGAATTCATTGATCAACTCTGCACTGTATTGCTCAGCACAAGCATGTTTGTGGGAGGCCTCATTGGATTCGTTTTGGACAATACTGTGCCAGGTGGATATAAATATTTTTGTTTAAATTTGTGTCAAAATTTTCTTACAAATTTAGGCACGGATGAGGAACGAGGATTGACAAAATGGAATAAACACCACGATGCGGAAGGTCTTGTCGAAAAGGACACGCCAACATGTTACGATTTGCCATTTGGCATGGATTATATCAGAAAGTATAAGTTTTTGATATTTATATCCTGCTCGAGACTAAATTTCCCTTATTTCCAGAGCAAAATGGACCAGCTATTTGCCTTTCATGCCAACATTCCGAAAACACTAACAAGTTAATTCATCTAGAATAGTTTCAGGAATTTTTGAGCTACCTCTAGAAAAGGGTTTTGGGCAGGAAACTTTCTTTTTCAATTTTGTAAAACTATTGATTTGTAGAGAATAAAAAGTTCATCCTACCTTTTAGTTGTGCCGTCCGTGCATCCTGATGAAGGTGGCGGCTTCTTTTTCCTTTTCCTCTCTCTCGAATTCATACTCGTCGATGAAAACCCTGATCGATTCCCACAGGCGGTTCAGTTTTTCCTCTTCTCTGTGGCGCAAATCCATGCCGACCAAATGCCTCAAGTTGAAAAACTCAGCCGGTCTTGATTCCTTCGGTAGCATGGACGCATATTCTGTTAATAAAAATTTCTTTACAAAACTGATGCAGTTATAAAGTTAAAAAATACCATCTATGTTCCTGAGCTGACTTTCAAATTCTTGGAACTGCGAGTCAGGTCTGTTGATTTTGGTGACAACAACGACAGTAGGTCTGCTCATCATTTTGGGATGGAACAACTGCAACTCCTGACAAATGTAAAATTTTCAAAATTTGATCTAGATAATATAAAAAATTACTTTGTTGAGACAAAGGTAAGATTCAAACAGATTCAGTCTCTTCTTGGGGCCCAATTGATGGCCCGTGGCGTCCAAACAAATCAAAAGCAAGCGTGTCCTTTTGATGTAGCTGAGAACCTGCTGTCCCTGTTTCTCATCCTGCATGCCGAGTCGAAAACTAGGAGTGTCGAGCACTCGGATCACCCTCAGATCAGGGTAGGTCATCTTTCTGACGTCAGCGTATTTTGTTGGTTCTGAAAATTTTAATATTAAAATCTATTGGTTCATTTTGAATTAACTACCAATTGGGGGTATTTCCATGGAAAGAGGAAGCGTCAAATGGTTCCACAAGGTGGTCTTTCCAGATCCTTTGAAACCAACGATTCCGACGTCTGCCACAACTTGCAGTTGTACCTTTGCAGTGACCGATTGACCTCCACGGATTCTGAATTCGTTCTTGGTGTTTCCGCCCTCCCCACCTTTGGCCACCAAAAGTGAGTGATTTTCCTTGCTAAGTGATCCTATGGTAAAATGAAACGGAATAAAATGTGAACTGAAAATTTTGTGGTGCGACGAAGAAACCTAAGTAATTTCCTATGTTGTCGTAAATGTTGACACCAACAGGGACGGGAATCCACTTGTCCGAACCTGCCCTTCCCAAACAGTGGTTCAGGTTGCTTGCATTTCCACCAGATTCGGCATGGATTTGATCGTAGGGGAGTTTTTTCTTCAGACCGACTAGTGATTCTCCTAAAAAAGATTAAGATGATGAAAATTACATTGAAAACTTTTACTGCAAATCACCTAACCTTTGGTTGCAATGAAATAAACATCGCCTCCTTTTCCACCTTTTCCCCTGAGCTTGGGATTTCCACATCCACCGACGCCGCCTTTGACGTTCAAAACGACAGAGTCGATGATTCGTTTTTTTATTTCCGGCTCTTGTTTCGGTTGCGGTGGAGTTTCTGGAGGACTAGATGTTTTCTTTACTCTTTCTTCAGGAAAAAACTTCATCTTTTTCACGGGTCGCCTCTGTAAAAATTAAATATAATTTATTACATGATGAAATTCAAAAAATGTAATATTGAAGCTCACCTCAAAAGCTAAAATCGCAGAAAATCGAACCATTTTGTGATGATTATAAATGCAGCAGCTTTGGGAAGTTTATTTTAAAATATTCAGGAGATTATCCTGGCAAATAATCTCAATTTCTTGAGTGTTTTTGTCGCACACGATGTACTTGTTTACCTTTTTATCGCTGAGTTCAAAACGAGCCAATCAAATCGCTGCACAGCAGTCACGTGATCAGTCACATGCTTGTCACGGCGAGGAAAAAGTTCGTGCTGGCACCGAAGAGATCGCGCTTCACGTTTATTGGTAATTTTTCAAGAAAGGGCCTTTAAATCTGAAAACTACCGGTATTTTTCAAATGTAATATACCGGTTTTCAGTTTTATTATTGACTAAAATAGCACAACGTCCGGGCTGAGCTTTTAATTTTAAAATATTCTAAAATTAAAAGAAATTATTTTTACATTGACATTTTTCTCGTATTTTCCCATCTTTGAGTTTGAATGCATCTGAAAAACCGTCTTATCAAGATAACCGAAACGACAACCGGTTGTTTGAGCGGTTTTGCCCTAATGGTCGGCCACTCTGTATGGCCTCTTATGGTGACAGCTGATGCCCAGGTAACTTTCTTGTCCTTTTTCCTTGTCAAATAACTCAAATCCCGACTGCTGACCGTTCTCCAAAAACACCTCAATAATCCCTCTTCCGGAAAATGGCCCTTCCTCCAGGGTAGCCCTCAAATTTAAGGGCAAAATCCGGCTTCGAAGTGGCAGCAACCCCGCCCATGATTTCTTGCTGTGTCGTTTCGCGTTCGGAGAATATTACGAAACAAAATTTCTGAGCCGAAACGTCGGCCATCCGTCGGCCCGATGACTCAGCCGACTTGGGATTCGCCGATTCCACGACCCTGAGACCTTAACCTTGCGTCAGGCCGCGACCTGAGCGACGTTTTCGAGTGCGAAATTTGCATACGTCTCCATTACGTGCTCGCCTGGCGAACAGCCTGCGGTGCACGTTCGACGCCGAATCTGGCCGAATTCGGCAAAATCCCCTCCGATGGCGCACGCACCCTGAACCTGAACACCCCCGCACCGATCAGGGCTGTTGCGTGCGTTTCGCACTGATTTTGACGCTTGTGACGTCAAAAGTGGGTTATTCGATAGAAAGAATAAGAGCAGCGAATGCATGTAGAAAGTTTTTAGAGACGGAGGGTTTCCTACTGCGTGCCTTATCGATTGTCTACGAAACTTGCTTGCATAGGGGCGCTTAATTTTTTTTAAAAATTTCATTTCATATAAGCCGCAGTTGTTGCTTTTATTTGGTTTAATTCGAAATCTGTTTAAATTGCAGGAGGTGAAATAGAGGCATCATGACTGTGGACATAGCCATAGACTGGAAGGTCTACAGAACTTGTGATCAGGTGCTTTTCCCTTTTGTTTATTTACTCTGTTTGTAATTATCAGTAATTATGTAAAAAAAAAAATATTCACTTTGCCACAACACTCTTGGAAAAAACTTGGGGTGGGCCAGAATTATCTGAGAAACGATTCTCAATAAAAAATTTTTGAGAAACGATTCTCTTAGGGGCAGCTTGTAGAATCTTTTCCTGAGAATTGTTTATCAAGAATTGATTCTCTGATATTTTGGCGCACCTTTAAATTCCACTTACCTTGAAATAAAATTATCAAAAAATCCCACTGCTGCATTTGGTGTGAAGTTAAAAACAAATTTTTTAAAGACATTGTATTTTGGTGATTAATTTTTTCTTCCCTTTTAACCTGTCCAGGGTGTAGCGGAAAAGATCAGCAGCGCTCTTGACTGTGGCTTCAAGGTGATAGCTTGCATTGGCGAATCAAAGCAGGACAGAGAGGCGGCGCAGCGGGAGCTCTTGCTCTACGGCCAGGCCTCGGTACTGACGGCCCGAGTGTCCAACTGGACCAACTTGGTTCTCGCTTATGAACCCGTGTGGGCCACGGAGACGGGAGAGGTTCCGGATCCAAAAGAGGTTTGTAATTTTCCAAAATTACAAAAAAAAATAACAATTATCTTGCCAGGTTATTGATGTTTTGACTCGTCTTCGGCTGTGGATTAGTCTGGCCAAGAGCCAGGAGGTGGGCGACTCGCTGAGGATCATCTACGCTGGCAACCTCACCACTGACCTGCTCAACGGGCTCAGGAATAATACGGATGGCTTTCTTTTCAAGTCAGAGCCTCTCCTCTTCTGCAGTATTGGTGAGAAGCCTTTTGAAAATAATTCACTTTGAATTTAAATAATGAAAAATTTTAGGTTCGCAAAGGATTGTGTCGAAAAACGGAGGAGGGGAAGTGAAAAAGGGAAAGGATCAAGTGACAAAGGTTGAAATAAAAAGGAAACTCTACGCGCTGCCTGGAGGTAGAACCAACAGAACCAGCAAAAAACTTATTACCCTCGACGACATCAGCCTTGCCCACCTTTTCTCCTACTTTTTGAAATTTGCGGTTAGATTAGAGGCATCCAGAACCAAGAATAAAGGACAAGCGGCTGACAAGCCATCTGTTCTGAACGATGGTACTTGAAAATCAGAGCCAGTTTTTGGGCCATTTACAAATTTTTGAATTAGATGATTGCGAGGAGGAAGAGACGGACGAGGACAACGAAGATGACCGTGATATTTCCTCATCTCCTGAGGAGCCTCAGTTGCCCAAATACGACCCGAGACTGGACGAATTGTTGAAACTGCGGGCGCAGCAACGACTTGATCTTCTCCTCCACATTTCAACTCAGTGCCAAAGAAAAGAATCAACCGATGTAAGTTGACTTTGAAATGTTTCGAATTAAATTAAAGTGGTTGAATTTCAGTGCATAGTGCCGTTGTGCAGCGAGATGAAATACGTGTGGAGTCACATGCAGAACTGTGAGGAGGCAGAGTGCCCCATTCCCTTGTGTGATAGAATAGCCAATATCGTCAGTCACTGGTCCAAATGCTATCTGGAGGAGGACAGGGAGTGCCCTTTGTGCACCCCAGTCAAGGAGAGGCAGACCAGGAAAAATCTGAAGGGTAAATTTTGATCTGCACCAACACAAGGATTGGTTTTACTTTCATATTTGCCCAGCTCGACGAAGACTTCCTCAGCGTCAGCAGCCTCCTAGTGCTAATTCAGTGCCCATTATGGATCCTCCGAGTCCCAGTAGCTCTATTTCTAATTCCCCAAAGCAACATGCCGAATCGTCAGTCCAAAGTTCCCCTGAAGTTGCCTCTAGTAATAAGGAAATGGACGCTGCGAAAAACCTTGACGATAAAGTATTTATTTTGAATTCATTGCTTAAGGGTTTAAAAATTGTTTTTATTTTAAGGTTGAAGGGAAAGAAATTAATGTGTCTGTGCGAAAAAAGCACAAGGGCAAATCTAAGAAGAGATCGCAAGGTTTCAACCGAAAACAGGGCAAAAAGTCTGGCCGAAAATCAGGTGGACGGGGCCAAAAATCGACTCAGAAAAGGGCTCAGACTCCTGAGGAGGAAGACGACGATGACGATGATGAAATCGATTCGGAGAACGACGATCCCAACAAGAGCAAAGACGAGGACGAAGATGGAGGGCCGGACGAGCCCCAACCTAAAAGTCCACCTCCGCCTGTAATGCAGGTGATTTAAATAACTTTCCAATTGAGGCATTAAATTTTCAAATATGAGTTCAAATGAAATGTTAATTTAATAATTTTCTTTGTTGATTTGTCGCAAAAAAAAATAAGTGTAATCTTGATCTTGAAACCTAGAACCCCTTAGGAAACTAAAAATTAAAATTTATTTTCACTCAGTCAAAGGAGCATGAACTGCTGCCTCAAGTACTGACTCCAACAAGACCGAAAAATGAGACCAGGAGGCAAGCAAAGTCCAAGGTTTGGACCCTTTCGGACGGCTCGGATGTGGAAGAAACCCTAGAGGAAGAGCTGGCAGCCATAACCGTGGCTGTCAACAATGTGAAACGATTGGTCTACACTCTGTTGCTCATCAGGACGACAGTCAGGTGCAAGGGCAACAAAGGCAGTCAGCTCGACGTTGAAGACTGTTGCAAGGTACTTGAATATCATGTTTTGCTGAAACAAATTTCACACAAATTTGCTTGCAGAATGTGACTTGTCAGCCAATGCAGGACGTGCTCAATCACCTCAGAATCTGCAGAAAGGGCGAGGAATGTCTTGTGGCCTGTTGCTACAGCGCCAGGCAGGTCATCTGCGGCTGGGAATTCTGCCAGGAGTACTGCAGCGTGTGCAGCACGGTTCGCTGCATCTGGAAGGACATCGACAAAGTTCCTGCTCCTGTTTTCTCAGACTGTCGCATTCCCGACGAAGATCTACACAAACTTATGACTGGTGAGTTTTTATTTGCGCCGATAATGAAATTTGCAGAATCATAAACTAAAATTGTCTTCAGGTGATTTGACTGTGAGTCTGCACAAGCAGTACGCGCACTTGGCCCAAAAGCAGCTGTCGAGCAAGAGGTCGTTGCACGTCATGCACTATGCAGGAATTTTGCTGAGGAGGCAGCAGCTCCTCCACCAGAAGCAGCTGCAGCAGCAGGCCGAGGAGGAACACTCGCTCGAACTTCACGACCTGCATGCCTACGACTGCATCATGCAGCTCAACATGCAGCAGAAATTGGAATTGTTGCTCCATGTGCACGAATGTGCCTCTCCGCAAATTCAGGTTGGCCAATTTTCTTCAGCACGACAAAATTTAAACGATTTCTACTTCGAATTCAAATTTTACCTACACCAAGTTCAGACTTTTCTATTTTAATAAATTTAAAATTTCAAAAATTTTCATTAAATTTTATATTAAATCAAATTTTTCCCAATTTAAGTTGAGACTTGTTATAATTCCAATTTAAAAAATGAAAAAATTTTGGATAAATTTTATTTCTAATTGAATTTTTGTAATTCAAGTAAAGACTTAATATAACAATATTTGGAGAGAAAAATTGTTATTTTTTGTTTCAAATCAAATTATTCCTAAATCAAGTTGAGATTCTTTTTAACTCCATTTAAAAAAAAAAAAAAAACAGATTTTTATTTTTTCCTTTGAAAAATTGTAAATTTTTATTGTCCCTCTAGTGTGATGTGGCGCTGTGTAGAGAGATGAAGACTTTGTGGAGCCACGTGTGCACCTGCCAGAACGTCAAGTGCGCCGCCGTGTGCATCACCATTCGCGAATTGAGTCTGCACTGGAACATGTGCTGCAACAACATCAGCGAGTGTCCTCTTTGCACGCCACTTGCACAAGGTAAAAGAAGTGACAAAATTCAAAGAGACAGATTTCTAATGTGGCAGAAACCGTAGCTCGATTTGAGCAGCAGGAGGCGTGCTCGAGTCCCAGCATCGACAGCACTTCGAAAGAGCACGAAATGCGCTCGTTGATCAGGAAAATGCGCACCCTGCTGGCGGTTTTCCTTTGCATCAGCGAGGAGAAGGAAGATGACGTCTCGTACCGCAAACTTTATGGTTCCTGCTGTGCCGTAAGTGTATTCGTCACTATTTAATATATGTATGTAGAATAATTTGATGGTTTATTAAAAAAATTATGGACAAACTTTTTTTATAAAATCTATTCTTGATTGATTTTATTTTTCTCAATAAAGACGAAATTAATTATTTGATCACTATTTTAGTATCTGGGCTGCGAGGCTGCCAAAGAGGTGCTGCACCACTTGCGGACGTGCACCCTGCTGGAGAAATGTGAGGTGGTCTGTTGCTACTCTTACCGGCAAATAATCTCTGGATGGAAATTCTGCGAGCCGACGTGCCGGATTTGCACGCCGATGCGCGAGCTCTGGGAGGTGATTGAGCGGGTTCCGTCGCCGCTGTCGGTCGGCTGCGACTGCACCGAGGGAGAGGTGTATCAGTACATTGAGAACAGCAAGTGACCCATCAACGGACAATAATCGGAAAAAAATGGCATCATCTAACCTACTATAGCACTCTACTGCTGAATCATTGCTGTGAACCGGTCTGTTTTGTTCTGTTTTTGTTACTCGCTTGCACTATTATTGTTGATTGTCACGAGTGGATGAACAAGAAAATCATACACAGTCTGAATGAGATTTCTCTAACAATTGTCCAAAGGCTGGCCCTGTGTAAATTTTGATTTATCTTTCTTTCCTCCCAAGCGCCACAAAAATAGACCTTCGGAATCCCTTCTGTTAATTTAATCAGATCTGCCTACAAAGTCATCCTTGAAATTCATGTAACCAATAACAGGACGTGTGAGCGTGTATATAAGATTTTACACTAATTTTATTTATTTTCGGTGTAGAAAGTCTATTTATCTTTCGTAGGCTAAAACTGCAATATTTTGGAAATTTATTCATCAGCTTTTCTTTTCGCATGCAATAATTGTGGTGAATTTTATTTGTCGGAAGTCAAAATTATTATAATTATGTACTTATGAGTTTTACTTTAGTTTTCTGCAGGAGAACTTTGGTCTTTTTTACTTTTATATAAATGCCACCGGTATGCTTAGCGACTTTTGTTTTTGTCTGATACGAACTTGTGTTTACGAACTAAAAGCCAAAATTAATTTGTGATTAGAACCTTCATAATAAATAATGCGATAACATTTTATTATTCATTTGAACGAAATCGAGGGCGAATGAGAATTACTGCGTGTAGATGTAATTTATAAATCTTATGCTGGCTGAGTCAAGCACATTTAAGTCGGTATACCCAAGAGTATATAACATAAAAAAAACTAAAAGTTAACGTAAAAATATCACGCTTGGTCATGGAATAAAAGAAGGAATTACTTAGTGCGTAAGAAGTGCATTGATTGATGTTTTGTATAAGGATAATATTTTTGTTTTGGTCGTGTAGATACTCTTAACTATGCGAATATATATTCATTATACCTATCAAGGTGGGGTGATTTTTGCGAGTGTAAACTAAACTGAGAACACACATTGATAATAATTAATTACCTTAATTGAACTGTACGGAATTCAATCATGTAGTTTTACGTATACTCACACGCGGAAGTGAATCCAGACGGAAAAGCCTTGTCAGTAATGTTAATTATCGAGTAATTATTAAAAATATATAAATATATTATTCTGAATTATGGTTATCCAGATTATTTGATTGAACACATAAATCATTTATTATGTACGCCATCATGCTGTTAAACCATTGAAAAAATCAAAACCCAAGCTCTGGTGTTTTATTTCATTTTAACCTGGCAAAAGTGGAGGAAGTTGAGATAAAAAAGACTTGCTTTTTGTGATTATAGTCAGCTGATTATATTTTGTCATTTCTCCTCTGTATAAAAATAGACAACTTTCACATAATTAACAGTAATCTTAGATGCTCTACAAACATTGCAGGTCAATCTTTTGAACAAGTTCTATTTTTGTCATAAACCATTCTATTTTATGCTAAAAATTTTGATATTTGAAAATGGAGTATAGTGATGCTTTTTAAATGCTTAATTGCAGCAGGACATCTTGGCATAATATTCAATAAAATAATATCAAATTAAAAATTATTTCGGCCCTTTTCCTATTTTCTCTTAATTTGATTCAGTTGGTTTTGGAGTGGCCGTTGGTGATTCCGTTCGCTGCTTTTGAGTTTACGTCTCCGTTGAACTTGGCCACGCCGTTGGTCTGTTTCTCTCTGTGGTAGGTGAAGAAGACCTCGTAGTTGCTGGCGTAGTCTGCGGGGAAGTCCTTGTGGACGAGGCGCGCCGCCAGGTACGTGGCGCCGACGGCCGCGCTGCTCTTCAGCTGCACCAGGGTGAGTTCGCGGATTTCAGGGTGGGTCGCCAGCTCGGCGACAAAGCCTGGCTGCAGGTGCTCCCAACTCAGCCACACCGAGCCTACGCACACGACAGGCAGACCGCCTGGCTGCTCCAGCAGTTTCTAAAAAAGAAAAAAGATGAACACATTTTAATGTTGCCCGACCGTGTTAAAAACAGGTTTTCTATTCCGGTATTTAAAGCAACATTTTTAAAAAATGCTCCACAAACTTGATGGTCAAAGGTTTAGGATAGTTAAATAGTTTTGAATTTAAGTAAGAAGGCTTAAAAAAACTGAATTTGTCTAAAAGTGGATTTCCTTTAAATTCTGTTAAATTCATTAGACATTTTAAATATTTTTTTCTTCGAAGATTTAAAAAAATCTCAAAATTTTCTCCTCTTTAATATCACACCCTTATTAAAAGCCATTTAATTTTTTTTTTTTACTGTTAGGATTTTCATAAGTACTACGTATTTTCTAACTTACTTAATTAAAATTTTATAAATATCGAAATTATAGCAATGAAACATTTTTTTTGTTTTAAATTCTCTTGATCTATAAATCTAAATTTAATACTAGAGATGCTACTTTTGTTATAAAAACAATAATATAATTTTTTAATGTTCAATTATTCTTACTGCTTGTGCTTTGGGCCAGACGGAAGCGACGAATCGAGCCAGATCGCGGCCCGCCTGCTGGAAAAGCCATTTCGAGAGGCCATCACCTTGACTGGCCGCCAAGGACAGCTTCTTGCAGAGTCCGGCGAAGAAGGATTTCTCAAAGTTTGTGTAGCAGTGCTGCAGCAGGCCGAATCTAAAATTATTTTACTCCAGTTAGTTTCACTCGAAGAAAGAAAAGAAATGCGGTTGAAAGACTCAAAATTATATAATAAAGAGATTTCTCAATCGAAAGGAGATCAAAATAGAAATTTTTACACTGATCGCCGACAAGCTCTTAAAATAGTTGGAGCATATTTTTCTGGCCCCGAATCTCGGATTTTACGACTGTGCGTTTATTATTGGTACCTGTCGGTGATGGAAAAGTGGTCCTTAATCAGCTGCCAGACGAGGTCGGTGCTGTAGGGTGTGTCGGTCAGTCCGTCCTCTTTGTCGAAGCACGTCTTGATCGCCTTGTGGGAAATCCAGTAGCCTGGAATTTATATATTAAGCGCGCGCCTTTAGACATATTTGTACGTAATTCATTCATGCTTCATTTGAAAAGTAACTGTCCATTTTATATAAATAAGAGGGGCTTTCGTTTATACTTTCAAAGAGATTGCTTTTTATATCACGCTGCTGCTCGATTGAGTAATGGCAAATATAATGAGAGAGCGTACGTGCGATTTTCGCCATGTGCAGGAAAAGCTCAGAAGCCGTGGCGTTTTTCGCCGGCGGCAGGAGCGGAAATTGAATTCAGCGGGGGTTCAACAAAGGGAATCCGTGCAATGTCTCTGCGTATGTAGCAGAAGAAATTCGTGAAAGAAAACGAGCTGCGGTGGATGTTTATGACAGTGTCCCAAAAATGAAGTTAGAAAAAAATAAGAGCAGGAAATTTTGGAACACATTGCTGGCGTAAATCAATTTGGGCAAAGTTAATTTCCCGTCTTTCTTATTCAGCACATCCCAAAAATAAAGGGGACAAAAGTCAAATTTAAAGACTGAAATTTGATATGATAAAGAAACAAAATAATAATTAAAATATGTCTCATTTCCTTTTTAATAGTAATTAATTTGCTGGATATGACATTAATTAAAAAGCATCTCAGAACATTTTACAAATTTAAAAATAGATTTTTCAGCCAAATCAGATGAAATTTAAAATTTAATAAAATCATTTTTTTAATCAAACAAATTTTATGTTAACAGCTGATTTAACAGTCAAAATTCTAAATTAGCTAGTATCATCATGAATATTATTGAATAGAGTATCAAAAATGGTGGTGTTAAAAATCTCAAAGTAGCTTTCTTATAGGAGCAAATAGATTGTTATTTGCTCAAATTTGTGTTTTAAATGATTCAAGAATTTAATTTTAATTCCAAATTGCTATATTTGGGTTTATTAGTAAATTTTAGTTAATTTTCAGCAATGTTTGAATCAATAATTACCATTCCTAGACTTATCAAAATATGAATAATTTTAAAGTATGTAAATTTAAACATTTGCAAAAATCGGTAAATATTATCAAAATAATTGATAATAAAAAAAAATTAGAATAAAAACTGAACGCACCGCTGCCTTCGTCTCCCAAAATGTAGCCCCATCCGCCGCACCGTCCTTCGGAGCCGTCGGGGTTGAGGAGGAGCGCGTTGGATCCGGTGCCGGCGATGATGACGAGGCCGCCGTGCTCGAGGGCCGACGCGACGGCGCCGACGGTGTCGCTGCACACGTGGTACGCCCTGCTGAGGTCAGGATAGGCCTCGTGCAGACCCTCGCGGAGACGCTCGTTGCCCTCGTGGTCTTCGCAGCCGCTCAGGCTCAGCCCCTGAAACCAAAATGCGTCAGCCTTTTTGAGCCCCTTTTGAACCAGCCCACGCGAAATGCTTATCGGCGTTGCTAACAAACACATGGAGGATGAGATAAAGCTTGTTAAAATTTTAACAAAATATGAACATAACTTGATCATTTTCAGACACAAAATTGCCAACGTCAATAGATTTTCTTCTGTTGAATTAGATGGTTATGTGATTAATTTTTAAATTTATTTACTATTTTATTAAATTAAATTCACAAAATCAAAAACCGAAAATTAAAATTCATGAAATACTTAACATTTAAATTCACAATGTAGATATTTTTAATGGGAAAAAGCTAGTCTATTTTTTGATAAGCCTTTTTTATAGCTTAACTGTTTATTTAAATTATATATAATAAAAGACTTTAAACTTTTTCTAAATTTACCTAACATCTTTGTAATTATTTTTGATAAAAATAAGCACTATGAATTCTAAGTTACTTCTTGCGGCGTCTCTCGAGTCTTAAAATTTTTGTTCACTATTTTCCCTTTAGAAATAAATCTGTACTTACAAGTGCCGCCAAGGTGGTGTTTTCAGGCAAATTAGCTTTTTGCTTCGCGTCTTGCACCATTTTGTAGATCCGCTTCTGACATTCAACCATGCCGGTCAGCTATTAATAAATTTATTATTGATTATTTTAAGAGGACCATAAAGATGCTCAGCTCACATAGTGATTTGTTCCGGGGCCTCCGCATTCCACCAGTTTGGAGCCAAGTCCGTTGTAAAGAGCAATTTTCGAGTGCGTGGCGCCTCTGGAAACATAAATAAACCTTCTAAAAAATTGCAAAATTTATTTGCATTCCCTTGAAAGACGTAAAACCCAACATGCTGGTACATAAAATAATTTAATTTAATTATTATCGTTAAAAAAATGTCGAAAGTTGCCTCTGTGTCGCAAAGATGCACTTCTCATTTGGACTCGAGACCTATGAAAAGTCACTTGGAAAAAAACTCGTTTGGTCGGCACTTTTATGAAGCGGGGTCGAGGCCTTTTGGACATTCAAATGAGATAAAATTAATATCAGCAGGTCAGCATCATCGGTCCAAAACGCATAAAACAAAGTTCAAAACTCATCAACTTTCCTCAGCAGGGGCAAGAAAAATATATAATTTTTGTAATCGAAAATTGTGTAAATATAAAAAAAATCATTCGTTTTTCGCAAGATGTTTTGTTTGCATTCGTGTCGCAAAAAAGCTGCCAATTTCCCTAAGATGACTGACGTTGAGCAAGAGGGGAGAGCACGAGCAAAAGATTATCAACGCACTATTTGCATATTGATGCATAAAGACGTGCCAAAGTGACAGGCGAGAGAGAGAGATTTGCGAGTGGCGCCGCGCGAGTTACGTAAGAGATGAATTTCACTTGGAGGCTCGTCCCAGTTATAAATTTGAAATAATTGACATTTCCACTTGGCTCAATCAAAAGTGCGACGGCTCAATAAATTACGAATCAAAGGCAATCAGAGCAAACTGCCGAAAGGGCCTTGGCGAAATTCGTTTCGGGTCAAAGTCAACTGCTGCTGAGCTGCGCAAAAATCTATTACATTAATTTTGTAGTTTTCAAATTCCTTTTGAATTAAAAAAGTCAGTCGCATTTTGATTTGCTGTTAAAAATAGTCAAACAATAATAAGATTTTGGTAAAATTGGTGTAATTTTTTATGAAATTTTTGGTTCTTTTTTAATCAGGAAACTATAATTCTAAATATAGAAGGGGAATAATTGTGAAATTTTATATTAATGAAAAGGCGATAAAATAAGAAAATACTCAAAATGGGTTATTTTAGGTAAAAAAAGAAAATTATTGTTAGTTTACTAGAAAAAAATGAGTGATTTTGAGTAATTTTAAAACCTCAAATTTAAATTTAAATGGTAAAATTTGGATTTTTTTTTTATTCATTTATATTATTTGTGAAAGAAGCAAATCAAGTAATTAGGGGGATTCAAATTTCTAAGAAATTTAACTGTAAAATTTTTAAGAATTTTGATTAATTCAATATTTTTTACAAAGAAACCATTATTCAAAATTTAAAACCATTTTCTAGGCTGCTGAGCAAGTGTTCCATTTAATTTTTTTCAGAAGGTTGACATTATTTACTTTTTTGCAATCAAGGTCGTGTGGGTGTGACTGAGAAATTAATAATCGCATTTGGAAAGAACCTGTCCCGCGAGGGCAGGCGCCGTTTGATCAATTAAATGCCTTCGGAGAGCAACAACTTATATCAGACAAAACCGGTAAAATATTCATAAAGCGTTATTGTATGTCTTACGCGCGGAATGCCCAAACTTTCACTCTCCAATGTTTTGAATGGATTTGCACTTCTTGTTCATTGTGGCGGTTGAAATTTGATAGACTTGCTTGATGGAAAATTAATGACATAATTGTCTTTTTAAAAAGGCGTGTCTGCAGGTCTATTAAGCCTGAGTTTATCCATTAATTAAATAATTACTTCTTATACTTGTCAGACATTTCTTTGTCTTGCCAAGCGTCTAACCGCAGATAAAAAGAACTTAAAAATTTCCCAGCAGAAAAAATTTTAGTTTAATTTTTTTCAATTAAAAGATGATCTTGACAATAAAAATTCCTCATTTCACAAAAAGCTCAAATAATTATCAAAAAATATTAAATTATGTGTTTTTATTTCCGAAATTTAATTATACAAAAGGTTGGCGTTGCTGTGAAAATATTTATAATTATTAAAGATTATATTTTGATTTTCAGGCATATTTACTGTTGATTTTTTTATTATTATTTAAATTAATTTTTTTAAATTTATATCCCACTAGTCAGTTCATTGTACTGAATTTTGCATCTCAATACAAAATACATTCGCGTGTCTTTAAATGACTTCTGATAAGAACAGCAGTGAATGGCGTATTTATTCAAAAGATAATTTATAATTTTACGACAAGAATCAACGTGTCCCGCTATCACCGATAGACAATGAAAGAGACGTTAGCACTCATAATAAATTGATAATTTCTAAGTCTCGAGTGTCTTTTGCAAATGTGCCACTTGAAATAATCGAATTTAAACACGTGATTAATCAATTTTTAACATTATTTATAGTGGCAGATAAAATGTGACATAAAAAAAGACGAAGATTCAATCTTGACTGATAAGGGCGGCAGGACAGACAGAGGCGAACTTTGACCGAATGATACTTTTTTGCTGATTAACATAGAGACAAATTTAATTATACGTAACAGAAAGATATAAATAAAATATTCTGGAAAAAGTTTAGAATTTTTGATCAATTTTAAATAGAATTCCTTTGATTTATAAAATTGTATCTATGCGCAATTTTGAAGCCCATAGCAAATAGTTTCGCTTGCGTCATCGTGTCAAGATTGGGCAGTGGCACGTGCGAAACACGTCGCCCCCTTGAGACGACAAGTGATTGAACATAAGCGATCGGTCGTCAAGATAAAAATAGTTCCATAGTTTTTTCGTGAAGCTCGCACCTGCTCTGACCATCAACATGATGTGAGAAACTCGCTCTGCTTCAAATTCAAAAGAGCTGCTAATGAAACCTGGGGCAAGTTGAGGTCGGTTCAGTGTTTGGCAATGTTTTGCCATAAGTGAAGCAGGACAGCTTTCATATCTCAAACGATTCTTAATTGAAGAAAGAGAGAACTAGTCAATTTAAGTGTTTCCTATTAGCATAAACACCTTAATTTGAATATATATGCGGGTCATATTTACACAGGTGAAAATCTATTTTTCCGGTAATGAGGCTCTAATTTTATTATAAACCACTTTTGGGTACAATTTATAAGTAAAGTCTTTATTAAATGAAAGTAAAATAATTATAAAATTTAAAGGGAGTCTAAAAAACTAAGTAACTGTAAACGAGATTTAAATTGTATGTAGAAAAATTTTCCTGATAAATAAAATAATTTGCTTTGCTGGAAGTTTTATGTAATTAAATTTTTAGAATGAATTAAAAAATAATTAAAACAGAAAAAAGAATTATGCGAATAGGGTGTGAAAATTTGATTTCAATGAAAATATCACACAAACTTAGAAAAAATTGAGAGAATTCTAAAACTATTTAGCTAGAATAAGTAAAATTTATTTATTTTTAGTTAATTAAAAATTATTGTTGTTATAAAGGATTTCTTTCTAGACGTTCAAACAATTGCTCCTCCTTTTTTTAAGCTTCGTATTAAATTATAAATCCCCGATAAGACAACAACTCTGCTCTCTGCAATAAAATTAATACGTTTCTCGCCCCCAATCGCACTTTATATGAGTAAAAAAATAATCAGGTCGTGCATTTGAAATACATACAGAAGAGACTGCAATTTGGAATGTGTACCAGATAATATAATGGTCAAATATTTGGGCGCACAAACTTTCCAGGTCAACAAACTCTCTGATCAAAATAAATTATTTCCTGATCAAAAAATAAATAAAAATCAAATTTTACAACCACTTATTTTTTCTTTTTAAATAATAATGTGTAAATTTTGGGACTTCAACGTCTCTACGAATAAAAAAAAATTAAGGTGTCAAGTGATAAAAGAGTGTAATTTTAGCACACAAGTGAGCGGCGGCGGCGCATGCCTATAGAAATGTGGTCGATTCGTGTCGCTGGCACTTCTGCATGTGTTTCTTTCTTTCTTTCTTTTTGCAACATTAATTTAAGTAAATTTAGAGCAAATTTCGCTTCGATAATTAGACGAGCCGAGCCGAACTCACCCTTCAATGCCTCCGAAGATGGTGTCAGACATTTTGCACCCCTGTGTTGTGTGTGTTCAGTGGCGAAAATCGATGAAACGCGAGCTCAACTTTCTCTGCGGGCCAGCGGCGGCGACAACACTACTCGCTTTTCTATTGAGCACCGAACCCGACGATTCCCTCCCCTACCGCGGTGCAGCCGCCGGCCGAGGGGAAAGAGGGCAGCGTCACTCGACGACACGCCATTGGCTCGCGTCCTAAACCCGACCAATCACATTCGTGCGCCAAATTTCGGCCGCTGTCGAGACCTGCAAATTGACATTATTATTATTTGCGTTGATCGAGTAATTTATTGCGATATTTGGATAAAACCAGAGGTTTCAATTAAAGCTTCTGGACCCTTCGTCTAGACCGAAAAATTCACTGATGCAAATATTTTTACAGAATAATATTTGCATTCATTTGAAACTTTAAGTTTTTTCAAAATGAAATAAGAAGCTGAACGGTTGAGGAAATTTCAAATTTTCTTAAGATATTTTTTTTTAAAATTCTTAACTAAATAACTAATATTATCAAAGCTATAAATTAATTAAGCTATGGGCAAGTCAAAAATGTAAAAAATATAACAGATATAAAACTATTATTGGGTACTTTTTATTTAAATTTTAGCTCAATTTGTTTTCAATGAAATTCCTTAACTGAACTTAAATTTCCACATGATTATCTCGACAAGCCGAATCCAAATTGTTCCCGCAAACCGCAAATTCTGAAAAGTTTTACACATCAAAACAGAGTTGAATAATATCCAAGTCTGTGGTTTTGCAGACCAAGTGGTTCCCTCTCTTAGCCGCCATCGAAATTTGAACGTCCTACTTTCACCCCTCCCTTCACTGACGTCACGAATCTGATTGGCTTTTTCTTCTGTGCTTATCATTGCTTTTGCCAACATAACAATATTAGAGAGATTTATGAAAATGTTTTACTAACGAATTTTAAAGCGTTTAATAAGATTCAAGAGTAATGTTAATTAATGAAATATCAAATTTTACTTCAATTTATTCAAAATTTGCATAAATCTACGTGATTTACTACGAATCATTTTTTATTTGGTTGGCAATTCCTAATCTGAGTATGACGTTTTGTTGATTTCCAGATAAATCAAATCAAAACACGACAAATGTGCGCCACAATTTTTCATTGTTGAAAACAAGCTCTTCCGTCTTAGAAGATTCGAAGGTGAGCAGATTTTAAATTATAGTTTTAATTGGAGAAGAAATAATTTGATTTTTTGATTACAAAAAGAAATGAGCTTGCCTGGGGACAACGGCTTCGGCGATTATCGTCGTCGGCCGAACCAGCCCTTCCTGATCGGCGTGTCCGGAGGGACGGCGTCCGGGAAGACGACGGTGTGTCGACGCATCATGGAACGGCTGGCCGAGGAGGCGGCGCAGAAACACGTCACGTGCATCTGCCAGGACAGTTTTTACAGGGAGCTGAGCGAGGCCGACCTGGCCAAGGCCAACAAGGGCAACTTCAACTTTGACCACCCGGACGCCTTCGACAGCGAACTCATGCTCAAGACGCTGACCAGCCTGCTGCAGGGAAAGAGTTGCCAGATCCCCCAGTACGACTACACCAAGCACTCTGGCATGTCAAAATAATTAAATCAAAACGTTTAAATAGAGTTTTATAATCTGAATATTTCTAATTAATTGGACTAAAACTCTCCGAGCAACAGTTAGATTTAGAGAGATTTCTGTTTAATGTGATAATATCTGAATTATATAATAAATTTTGTTTCAATTTAGGCGGTGAAATGGTGACTATTCACCCTTCTGACGTGATCCTAGTCGAAGGAATTCTCATCTTCTATTTCCCCGAACTAAGAAACTTATTTCAACTGAAGCTCTTCGTGGACACGGACGCAGACACAAGGTTGGCTCGGAGAATCATGAGGGACATTAAAGAAAGAAAGAGAGACCTGGACACTGTCATCAATCAGTACACCAGGTCAATTTTGCAAAAGTTTGTTCTTTTTTTCATCTGATTAAATGTAAAATTTTATAGATTTGTGAAGCCGGCCTTTGAGGAATTTTGCCTGCCCACCATGAAGTACGCTGATGTGATTATTCCGAGGGGCGGCGAAAACACGGTGGCAATTAATTTAATTGTCCAACACATCAGGAATATTTTGCACGAAGACATTTGAGTTGAAAATTTGAATTCAAAACTTATATCAGTTTTAGTGATGATTTTTGTTTTTTAATTTTTAAAATCTGCTTGAATCATCCAAATATTAACAAATTCATACGCAATTGAAAAATTAAGCAAGACTGAATGCAGGACCAAAAAGCAATTTATGATAAAGTAATATTATGTAATTATGAATGTGTGTATTTTGCGAGTCAGAAATTTGAAGCATTTCATCAACGTTCCTTCTTCTTATTCTGGTAGCAAATCGTTTTCAATGTCCTCGTCTAAAATGTCGTCTGCTATATTTCTACCCGAAGTATGTGGCCTCGTCGCTGCTGAAAGTAATTTCAAATAAATATAAATGTTGACTGTTTGAACGAAGACGATTCATTTACAAGAGTGGTCCTGAATTGGGTAATGAGTGCTCGTCGAAGGCATGGCTTTGTTGGTTTGGTCGTTGAACCCAGCCAAGCTGGCAGCAGAGCCTCCTCGGGACGATCCCACACTTTTCCTGGATCCTATTTACAGATAAATTTTATTATAAGAGATGTAAAATTTGTCCTTAATTTAGAGATGATGCAAACTTTTAAAATTGATTTTTTTTTTAATTTTACTTGAATTTGCTTAAAAAAATACTTAAAATTTATTTTAATTTCTAAATTTATCCTTTTTGTGATAAAATGGGTATTCATAGGATTAGGAAACTATTTTAACATATAAAAAATTTATTTTACTTTGCTTCAAAATGAATTCTTTGCTTATTGTGTAATTCTAATTCAAAATAAGTGAAATTTAATTGAATTGGACATTTTTGCAGTGAATTGTAAATTATTTACATACTTTTTATAATTTGAATCATTGACTATTGAGAGTTTTTCTTGAACTCTCGTAATTTTTTTTCCATATCTTTTGTTTTATTTATTAAACAAATTTACAAACTTCAGTAGAAATTTTAAGTTTAAAATCATGTAATTGAATTCAAAGTTGCTTATCAAAAAATCTTTAAAACAAAATCACTTCCATCGTTACTTTAAGAAAGAAAATCTAATTATTAATTTTATATAAAATTAAACAAAAAATGACTTGTTAAATATATTTTCTTTGGATTTTTGCTAAAAAAGCCTTTGTTTCCTTTTTTCAAGGCGAAGCAATTAGGAATGCTAATTATGGGCCCACCTGGTCTGCTGCTATCAATCCTCTCTTTGACCATGCGCGCCTTTTCGGCCTTTTTCAGCATTTTCGCGTACTCGGCCAGTTCGGTCTTCATGCCGAGATCGGTGCAAATGCGAATCAAGAAGCGCAAACCTGCCAAAAAAAAAAAATTATTGCAATTTTCCAAAAATGTGAATATGACTCACACTCGAGGTTATCGGGGAACTTGTGGAGCACAGCTTGATAGTGGCGCAGGGCCTCCTGGTGGTTGCCGCCGCGCCGCAGACACGAGGCAATTAGCAGCGGCCACCGCGGCTCCGTCGGTTGCGCCAGGACGGCCCTTTCGTAATGCTGAATCGCCTTCTCGGGCACCTGCATCTCGGCGTAGTACGCGCCCAGCCATTCGATCGCACTCAGGCTGCTCGGGTAGAACCGCGACGACTGAAATTCAATTAAAAAAATTTATAAAAAAAAATTAATAAAATTCTTGGTGAAATTACAATTTTGCAAATTTTGACGATTTAAAATTTTGTAAGCAATAAAACTTAAAAAATTTCTCCAATATAAATTCTGACGGATATCTTTGCAAAAATTGTTTCATGCTGATTCAAGGAGAGAGGAAAACGACATTATTTGAGGCTTTTGTTGTTTTTCCTAACTGGATTTTAGAAATTTTCTTTTGAAATTTTTTGCCTTATTTACTTGAAATGCTACGTTTTATCATCAATATTAGGGGAAAAAATTAATCTATAATTTAATTTTACTTGAACAATCAAGAGATTAGGTTTAATAAGAAACTTTACTTGAAACATTTTTATGTAAATTTGAAACTTTTAATGGTCCTTTTTTAAAATAACTCTTTTATTTAATCAATTTTCATTTAGGAAGAAATTTTACGTTTTTAAAAGTTAACCAGGAATATAAATTTTGATTTTCAAGCAAATTTTAAATGATTTACATTCTGCACTCACGTCAAAGTAGAACTGGAAGGCCTGCTGCCTGTCGCTGACGTGCAGGTCGCCGACCTTTTGCAGAATCCCAGGGTCGGTGGGGACGTAGCCCAAGAGCTGCTGGTACCACTCGTTGGCCTGCTCGAAGTCGCCCAACAACTCCTGCAAATTGGCGATGTGGTACAAAACCTGCGGCTCCGTTCCAACGATGCTGTGCAACTTGAGGAAACTCTCCAGCGCGTCCTCCAGGTTGCCCTGACGTTTGTGGGTCAAACCTGAAAAAATAAATATCCAAATTTCAGGACGAAATAAATAAAAATTAGAGATAATTAAAAATAAAAAAGGCAATATATATTATATAAATATTTGGTGATTTTAGGTGATTCTAAGAATCCAAATTTTAATTTGAACATACATGTTAATTATTCTTTAATTTATTTAAAACCACCCATTTTCTGTGAATTGTTTTTCAAATTACGAAATGTTTTTTATATTTTTTATAATTTCTCAATGAAACGACTTTGACCGTAAAACGAAAAGCAATATAAAAAATTGGGCTAAACTTGCGCATGTCATTTGTTAAGATCCTGACAGGCGAAAAGGCAGCCAAGGTGAAAAATGCAAGCGTGACAAAAGAAGTGCATTTGGGTGCACAAAAGTGAAGGGCGTGGATGCGGCCGAGCAAAAGTGCGTGACCTCTCACCAAGGTTGAAGAGCGCACAGAAACACGACGGGTCATTTTCGAGGGCGCACATGAAGTAGGAGCGCGCCTTGTCGAATTCGCCGTGGGCAAACGCACACGAGCCAAGGTTGACGAATGCGTCCGCGTTGTAAGAGTCCGTTTGCCGCGCCTTCTCGGCCCATTCTTCGGCACCCGAAATATCGCCTTGCTGAAAATTTTTTATTATCATTTAATCATGTAAATAATTAAATTAAAATAATTGCTCAATCAATTTGATTATAATTAGCTTTTAAATTTTTTAATTAATGATTTCCCTAAATTTTTACCTAATTAATAAGGGTTATTTTTAAGAAAAGATTTCCCCACAATCAATCACCCGATTGCCCATTTCAAAAGTGAAATAGGAAATTATGCAACCAGCTCGGCATCGACGTGAGCCCCGTTGCATAAATCTCGAATATCAAGGGGCTGTTGGGAAACAAAACTTGCCAAATAGGAGAGGAAAGATAGGTTGGTGGCCGCCGCACTCGCGGTCTTGGGCGATTCCGTCAACGCGTGGAAACTGGCCATCGCCGACGGAATGTCCCTTTGCCTGAGGAACACGTTCGCCTGGTTCACCTCCAGCTCGCCGGCCAAATTGCTGTAGTTGGACCCTTTCAGAGTCTCGATGCACCTGAATTTTATTCATTCAACTAGAGCGTCATAGATTTCAACACTTCCTGCGTGATTCTCGGAATTAAAAACAAATAAATTCGTACCAGCTGAATCCGTCGTCCAAAACGCGTGCGACCAGTTTGACTGCGGAAAGGATGCTCTTTTCCGCCTGCTGCTGCATTTCCCTTTCAACTTTCCGCAGCTCGTCGTTTCGAATCCCCTCCAAATACAGATTCGACCCGATTTCATCCTGCTCAATTTGAATAAGTTTTCAAAATATAAATTTAAAACAAAAATAATTACGTTAGAGGTCGCGTATTTCTCTTCGTCGTCGATGTCCAAATTCACTTCCAGCAAGAGGCGGAAACTGCGGCGCAGTTTTTCCACGTCTTTCACAACCATGTAGCAAATCGCCATGTGCAAGCCTAAATGAATTGAATGAGCTCTTGCTTAATAAATTTTCATATAAACCTGTTTTGAAATTAGGTTTTTCTTGCATGATGAACTCGAAACTCATGCACGCGTCCTGATACTGGCCCATTTTGACGAAGAGCAAACCGATGTTGTGCATGATTTTGAGCCGCAGGTCTTTGTGGGCGCTCGGAACCTGGTCCAGGGCCATTCGATACAACTTGACGGCGCGTTGGAATTGGCCGAGCCGCGCGTGAATGTTGCCCATGTTGATTTTCAGGCGGCTCGCGTTGCTGAAAACGCGATTCTTGGTGATCGCCTGGTACACGTTTAGGGCCTCCTGCAGCAGCCCGCACGACTCGTACTGCTGCGCCAGGTTGAACAGAACCTGAGACAAATTATTAGGAAAAAATTGAAATTTTAGTTTGATTTTTATGCGCACAGAGAAAGTCAGGTCGACGTTTCTGTTTTCGGTGAACCCGGTCTGCTCTTGCATTCGGGCCAGCGTGCGTTCTTTCGAAGACGCTTCCTTGGCCTTTTCCAACGCGAGTCTTTTGTCGGTTTTCTGCACTTTGTACGAACTCTCGACCAAACTCATTATTTTCAACTCCATCTTTTTTATTTTTTCTTCGGCGGATCTATGGAAATTAATAATTAGAGACTGATAATGAAAGTAAAAAAAGTACTTATGTATTATTTTGAGATTATATTGAGGAGAAAAATTTATATTCATATTAAAGTGATAGTCTTCTTTGAAAATCAATTTCAGATCAAATAATAGGTTCTTCTTAAGCATTAATTTACCTCCGCAATTGTTGAAAATACTCTATTAATTAATTTTGTTAAAAATTACTAAATTAATAATTTCCCTCTTTTTTTAATTTGTAATTTTAGTAAAATGTTCAACTGACGTTTCTTCCTTTGCCGTTGTTGGTGATGGACCCGCCGTGGCCTGGCTGAAAGAGTCGAGTTTGCTTTTGCCCGAGGTGTAGCCGGCCCCTCGAACCGCCGTCATGGGCCTCGCCGTCCCCGAAGAGGCCGTGGTCAACCTTCGGGTCGCCAGAGCCGACTTCAAGTGCATCGTGCTGCCTTCGCGATACTATTTTTTTAATTGTTTTAATTCAAAATAATTTTAGTTTTGAATTTATATTTACACCAGTTCCAAGCCGCATGGGCATGGCCATTGCTTGCTTCGGGATTTGCCCGTTTCCCGTCAGCATTTTGTGCAGAATGTCTTCCTGATACTGCGGGTCGTACGGAGAAGACGCCCCATAACCGCTGTACAGGTCGTCGTCGTCCATTCTCATCGAGCTCAGCATATTAATTAAATTTACCTAAGAAACTTTGATCTCTGAGCAAATGTTTAATTTTACGAGAGATGAAAACAATCAATTTTTCATATTAGTTCCAAGAAAAACACCATGAATTACCTTAATTTTTTTACGAACTGAAGAAAAGTTTTAAAGAAAAACCAAACTTATGGACCTAGTTCATTGAAAGCTTGGTTTGTGCAAACTGCCGCCCCCGATTCAAACACTGGTATGCGTCGAGGGTGCTTTTTGAAGGGGTCGTTTGTTTGGTTACGCGTGGGTGAGCGGCAGCTGGCGCCCTCGCCGGAAGCACCAGAACATGCAATTTTTCCCATTGTTTGTTAAATCTGATTTTCCTGACAGTAAAAAAGGATGAGAAATTAAAAAAGATTTATATTAATGAAATCTCTTTTGGAGCCTTAATTAGCATATTTTTTAAATTAAATATTTAAACTTTTAATTAAAAAGATATTTTTATTTTAATCTTAAATACAATTTTTTTCAAAAATATATTGTCTTTGAAAGTCAATATCAGTTTTGATGATTTATTTTAAATTTTCCGGAAAATCTTGGATTATCACCTGCACCCACTTCATCTTATCCCCTTGTTTGCTTAAGCTTGTGAAGCGTCAGCGCCTCCCAAATCGAATTTTTAATTAAATGTTTGAGCGGGCGAACTTTGTAAGAAGCGCCGCCTCCAGATTTATTTTTTATAACAAATTTCCAGGTTTTTTTGCAAGAAATGAAACGCAACTCTCTTTTTGCATCATATAATATATTCCATTGGTTTTTATTTCTTAGTAACTGCTGATTTTCAGAGTGGTTTCCAACATCTGCCGACCCACATTTTGCACTACATTTCATTTTCTCGTAAACACACTCATACGATTCCCCGGAAATTTACAGCAAACGTACAGCGACTGTTGTTCAAACAGATCATTTTTCACGTTTTGTAATAATTATACGGTGCGACACACTCTTTGGCAAATCAAGAGGACACATTTTTTATGTTTATAAAATTCAACAAAATTCTACACAGACGACACAAATTCTTTCAATCCACTTTTTGAACATTAGCAACGCACAATTATATTCCCCTTTTTATATCAATTGCGCATTCAATAGGGTCGTTTCGCAGATGTCAAAAATGTGCAGAATAATAATATGTTATATTTCTCACGTTTGGTCAACAATCGATCTTAAAATCAGCACTTTCTCAACTCTCAAATGGAAAAATGGCACGCACTCTCTATTCTTCTTCTTAAAACCGACAGGAACAAATTCGCTTCTTTGCATAATCGACATTGATTAAAATCAAAATATATATTAATTAAAATTAACGAAAAAAAAATCATCACCTCCTCTCACGTGGCTCGCTCCATTTATGGCACATTCATGATTAGACGCGACTGTTTTGTGTGGATGTTTTGTATTATTTATAGATAGATAGGTAAACGTTCACAGGTAAAACTTATGTAGGGGAAAATTTGTACCGGGGCGACTCCCCTCTGTAAGTTTAGGTTCTTTGTTTCTTGTTGAATTGCAAACTAAAAATTATTATTGGCAGACAAAAAAAAACAAGCTGATTTTTCTTTCGCATTGGTCAATCACTCAGGGTCTCCTAATCTTCAACTTTATACATTAGAATATGCACAGTTAATTTAATAAGACTATAATTTTTTTACTTCAAATTTTTACATAAGCCAATGTGACTTTGCACCTGCGAATTAGTCACAAACTGACTAATTCTTAAGGACAAACAAATGTTCATAAGTTTTTATACTCGATCCATTAATTCACTTCAGAATTTTCCCAATTAAAAAGAATTCCAAATTTGCAATTAAAACATTTAGAAATTATTCATAGGACCCAATCACATTTTTGCTTCTCAATTTGATAAATATATAGAAATTATTTATACAATAAAATAAGAAATTGATCTTAAAATTTCCCACAGTTGCGATGATTTTAGCAGAGTTTCAACGATGACCATTCAAATTCCTTGCATTTATATTTTACAGATAAATGTACAATTAATTTATATATGCACATGTATAGTGTGTGTGTGTTTGTTGTGAATATGAGGTAGCATTACAATATAATTAAATATCCATATAAAATGATCTGTCCACATTTTACACATGTTAATTTCTAATTAGTAATAATTACACTTGATGAGCTCAACAGCAACACTAAAATACACGAGTGAGCCTGCGACCAGAAAACTCGCCCGTTTTAATTCTCAATCAATCCCAGGCTCTCTAATTTAATCGCAGAGGCACCAACAATGACCATTTCAACAAAGATAAAAGGCGACACTAACCAACTATGTGCGATAGCTTTCGAAAAAGAATTAACACTGCGGCGATGCCGTTGATTTACAATCTGAACAAACCAACGCATCACGACAGTTTTCTTCTCTTAATCCTTAACCAGCTTAATTTTCTCTCTAAATTTAATCAATCTCCGGAACTGTTCCCGGAATTGGCGAACACATAATTTTTTTTACATGACACACACACGAAATTGCTGCGATTAATCGGCGTATAAGGAAACAAAATGGATTAGGTAGTAAAAGTCACTTCAACATCTACTTCTTTAAACTTAAATAAGGTTGTCAATCAACTCCCTCGGCCTACAAACGTACACAACATTTACCAACACGTGTGTTTGCGTGATCGCCGCGCATGTCTTTTTCGCTTCCGTCGGAACCAAAAATCAAACGGCGCCTTTTGCATCTCGTTGCACCTCGACCTGCAACAATAACAGAAAGAATTTGTGAATAAATTTTGTGAAAAATGAAGTCTCTTTTTATCATAAAAACGCGACTTTTAATTTAATAATTCCCAGAAAGAAGTTTATATTTAAATTCTATTGATATAAAATCAAATTTAATGAAAATTTAATACTTATTTTGCCTTAAATTTAAAGCAATTTCAAATCAAGTATTTGGCGTAAAAATAGAATAATTTTCTTAAGAGTCTATAATATTTTTAAACTACAATTGACTTTATATAGCTATAATTATTTCAAATAAAATAAATACTAAAATTCTGTAAATATGCCACCAAAATCATTGAAATAGCTTAAAAATTAAAAGAAATGGCAATAATTTAAACATTTATTTTTTATAAATTCCAATTAAGGATGCCCTAAGTCTCCCATTGAATCAAAAAGATCCATTGTCACAATAAATTGATGATAATTTGACAAAATAAGCCTTTCCCACTTGATATATTCAAGAAATTTTTGCCACCTTCATTTGCGACCTTTGCCAAAAGACAAAAAATAATGCATGATACAGCTTTTTTGACTTGTGCGTTTGCATTAAATTTGAATCAGTCGTGGGCGATTTGCATACTTGGGAAAGTCGGAAGTCGTGCGGACGAATGGAGAGAAATATGTGTACATTTCGCTTGGAAGAGAGGAAGCCGGCTTAAAAATTAGTCTAGACTCGGGAGAAATAAAAGAAAATAAAATACACGCAGCCGAGAGAGACGAGTGAGTTTTGCTTCTTCTTTTTTTTTACGTCTTTCTTTATTCGGGCATCACACAAATCGATGCGTAGTTAAAGTGGAAAAGTGAGTCAGTGAGTAAAAGAGAGGGAAAGTCTCATCGCTCACATTTTCTTTCCCTTTATTCGACACGGCACCGCAAATTAGCATAGATTTCACGAGCTCGCTTTATACACTTTACCCCTCTCGTGGCATAAAAATCCGCCCTGATAATCTGCCTGGACCGAGTCAGCGAGTGACTTTCTTTTCGAATTATTTTATTGTATATGCCGGCCAAAGTGAGCTACTTCGCAATGGACTCGGCAGGTCCGGACTGGAAGCCTCAGTCAATTAGGCTGAAATAATTTCCTGAAATCTGGAACAAAGTGAGTAAAAAAGTAAAATTGCTTAAAAATTATAAGAAAAGAATTAGGCAAAATCAATTAATTTTTGCAACTTTATCTCATATTTTATAGATTGATAAACATTGTAAGAATTTTAAAAGATATTGACATTATTTTTAGGAGAATTCTTAGTTTTACTGGAAATAGATGATTCTATGCTAAATTTTATTGTTGAATTAAGTAAAACCAGAGCTAATTGGAAAAACTGTAGTTCTAAATTTTTAATCAAAATAATTAAAAAAAATAATAATTTTGACTTATGTTGAATTATAGAAAAATTTGAAAAAAAAAAGTTGATTTTATTCTAAATATTTGCATTTTGATTTTTGGTACGTCTCAGTCCGTGGCTGGGGAAGCTGCCTGGCGTCCGCGTGTGTGCTTTTCGGCAAAAATTGGCAGCGTGCCCGAAACGAGGGTGGGTGTGGGCGCCGCTTGCAAAGGTTGGCGCCGGCGCCTCCTGTGTACAGGCGCCGTAAACCATTCACGCACGGGCCCGACTAGCAAAGTATATCGCTGCAGACAAGAGCGCGCTCAGCCCCCTAATATAATTCAAAATTCGCCCCCTTCTTCCTCTCACAATCGCTGCTCTCTCGATAGACCTGCGAGAGATTTTTGCCCAGTCATCCCGCAAACAGCCCTCGCCGCTTTTCTTACATATTTTTATGTACTCGCGACTATGTAAACACTGGCTATGTACTATCGAAAGGGAAGAAGCAAAAGCAAAAGGAGTTGTAGATACTTTTCTTGCAACGGCCACTTTTGCTAATAGAAAATTAAGCTGCTGCTCCCCCCATAAAGTCAGATCTGATTCTTGATTCATGTCTGCGTTCATTTTCAAGAGGAATCTTTGGATTTAATGTTAATTGTTAATAAACAACAAATTGAAATTTATTCTCAACAAATCAAGAACAAATTAACAAATCTTTTAATAACAATGGAAAATTTAAATCTGATGCAATTAGCGTGTATTGATATTATTTCAAAATTAGATAATTTTCAGTTAACTAAAAATTGCATCCAAATAATTTCAACAACAAAATGAAAAATAATCACTCATAATAATAATACAAATATAATGGTGCCATTTTTAAGAATGATCCTTCTTAAATCTTCTGAATAAAAAATAATTAAAATTTCAGTAATTGTAATTCAATTTCTATGATGCCAATCAACTCAAAAAGATATAATTGTAAGGAATAGCTTGAAATCATTAGGGGAAAATTTGATGAAAACATTTTATATTAATTAGAGAAAGAATTGTTATATAAAATTTGCGTAGAGTAATCAAAATGAAAAAATTTTTTTTACATTTATTTTTGGTATTATTAATTTGCATGGCTATAAATACAATTGAAATGGTTAATTGACTTTTATCTGCTTTCTCCAAAATTAGGTTGAAAGGGGGTGCGCTTTTTTGTTCTTTGTGCAATTCGTGCCACGCTCGGACTGTTCATTTCATTATCAGAATTGGTGCGAGACCATAAATCGGCACGCTGGGCGCACAAGTGATGTAGATAGTAAAAAGCAGCCTCTCTCTCGCTGCAAAATTTTTCTCGCAACTTTGCCCATACTTTATTATACGAGGAGCAATCGGCGGCGGCGGCGGCAGCTCTTTTCTCTCTTTCTCTCTCTCGATATACGCACCAATAAAAAGCATAAACGACGAGTCGCATCATAAATCCGGCGGCGGCAAACGAATGCACCTCCACGTATAATTGCAGATAAGAAAACAAGGAAAAAAGTCGTGGCTAATTCCGAATGAATAAAGAAAGTCCGAAATATATCGCCGGCGCTATCTCTATCGCGACGCCAGTGGACCCGACGCTGCACCCCGAGAGTTCCCACGCAGCCTCCCTTAAAACGCCACATTCTTCTCCGTAAATCTTGGAGGCGGCGGCGGCCCCGAGTTCTTCCCAAGTTTGCCCATAATGGAATTACTGTATGGATGCTCCACAGCCAGACGGGCTGGCTGCAGCGGAAAAACGGGGCTGAAACCACCCTCGCCGTTTACCCTCTGGCCTCCAAAAGTATCGGAAAAAAGAGAAGCGATTCTTGCTTATGCAGGTGCAATTCAAATGCAGAACGGAAATTGATGCAAACAAAATCTAGCAGGAAAGTAGGAGAATAGGGAAAATGAATTTTTTTAGGAAACGTCCGATATGAAGCACAATATGTTTTCCTTTCATATTATATTAAATGCTTTTAGCAGCTTTTATTGGTAAATTTTGCTCTTTTAATTTCAAAATAGTTTATTTAAAGTACTATAATAATAAAATTTAGTGATTAAAATAATAAAAATCTCAATAAGTTCCTTAGAAAATTATTAATTTTGAAATTTGTTGCAAATAACATCAAATTATTAATCAATTTATTTACTTAATTTTTTTCCTGATTGCCAGTCTGATCAAATTCACATTGGACGGCAAGTCGAGGGTAAAATTATGTTTCAGCCCTTAGCACGCATTATCATGTTGTACGTCTTTACACTCGGAAGACACGACGGCATCTCTCTTGCCTTCTTAAAATTCATATTTCGCGCCCCCTCGACCGAGTATTTAGTCTTGTGTCAATGCAAATTGATGTGCGGTGTAATCTGGTTGACAGGCGCGCTGCCGAAATGTATGCAGAGCGCGTCGGCTGCTGACATAATCGAATTATCCAAAATTTCAAAGACGCGTCACACATTAATTTTTAAATCAGAGTTTTAATTTCCTGAAAATTGTCTGAAAAAAAATGGTAAACACGATGACGACGAAAAAATAATTCTGCCGCGAGCGTATTATCAAAATCTATCATGTTATTTTCTCTGCGGCTTCTTCGTCTTCTCTTCACACTTGACGGGGTGAAATAATAATTTTCTATTTGAATGGGTGTTTACAACTTTTTCCCGATTGCTCTGTTCGGCTAAAAGGGGTGCCGGTTAAGATTAATTGTCGGACAGAGAAAGAGCATCTCATCATCATTATCCACTTGTCAGCCTCCGACGACGCCGCCGCCGCCGCCACCGCATTCTAGCCAGAATATTTTATTATTTTTATTAATATATAAAACCAAGCCGCTTTACCCAAGTGACAGCCGCGCTGATGCTCAACACTAATTTATGCGCACAAAAAATCAAGAGTGTGACATTCTCGGCAGAGCCTTTTTATTCGGTACCGCGCACGCAATTTTCATACCAGATTTAATTTCAAATTGTCTTGTCAAGTGCATTTTTTTTTCAAAATGTAATTCGATGAAAAACTGAAAATAATTTTCTTTTTTTCATATTTTACATTTAAAAATTTCTTTTTCTTATTTATAAGAAAATTATATCCTTGCAAGTTTTTTCCTCAACCAAAGTTAATTCTATCCAATCTTTATTATTTCAACACAAAACTAACAAGAATGATGTTCACCTTAACCAAAATTTTGGTTTGTTGCGCGATGACATTTACGTGCAGCCCAATTAATTACTTTTCCAACACACGTCTCTCGTCGAATTAAAACAAAGCCACGATTAATTCCACCGGGATCCTTGGAACCCACCGATTCTTTCTTTTTTTTTTGTGTGTCGAGTTGGGCCGTTTCTAGCTCTGCGCTGCATAATATGCAACAACACGCAGCCTTGGCCCACTAAATTTGGCTGCACCGTTCGCTCTGCCTCGAATGCATTCTCTCTCTCCTCATCCAAGTGCATTCGAATTATATATTATTATGCAGCCGAAATTCACACGCGGCGACGCAGAACCAAGAAGGGCAACCGCTTTTAACGCACGTCAAGATCAATGCTAAAGCCAAAATTGGAATTGCTTTTTAAACAGACCCGTGGCTGTATAATTATAGATCATTATCTATTCTATCCGCGTTACTTATTATTTTTATTGATTGGATATAAATAATTTCCTTTGTAGAGAATATATTTTAATTTTTGCTAAATTCAAATAAAATATAAATTAAATTTCGTGGTGAATTTCCAGAAATTTTATTTTATAGAATGACTATTTTTGGGAAAAGATGGACTTGAAATGACTTCTTTGAAGAATTAAACTTAAAATACTTAATTTTATTTATAAATGTTTCCAAAGAAGACACAGCAAGTCATTATTTTCTTTAAAATTTTATAACGTTTTAATTTGTTTTTCAAGCTGTGATTTTCTCGCCGAGTTTTGGAATCCACGTTAATTTTATTTCAAAAACATTTACAACTTTTTCGAAGTAAAAAAAATTTTTGAATAAAATGGAGAAGTGTTCACTGCAGTCGAATAATTAAATATCTACACAATCCTTTGACCCAATGAAAATTTGAATAAATCAAAAACTACTTTATTTTAAAATAAATTTAAATTGGAACCAAATTTGTAACGAAATAAATTTTGAATGAAAAGATGCAAGCACGAACCTGCTTAGTGGACCCACGAGTGTCCGGAGGTGACGGCCGGCGTGTAGACGACGCCCTGCTGGTTGGGCGGGGGCGGCGCCTCGAGCTGCGGCTGAAGATGCTGAAGGTGCTGTAGGTGGTGCAGGTGGTGGAGCTGGTGGAGGTGCGGGTGGTGCTGGTGCTGGTGCGACGAGAAGTTGAACTCGAGGTTGCCGTCCATGTTGAGCTCGTGGCGAATCACCTCGTCCACGTTGCAGTCGAAACCGCCGTCCAGCGGCTCGATGTTCAAATTCAGGTCGTCCAGGATGGCGCTGTTGGTGTGGTTGTTGAGCGCCCCCATCAGCTGGCCCATCATCTGCGACGGCGTCGGCGTCGTCCGGCCGCCGCTCGTCTCGCGCATCTCCACGTTCTGCACCGTCGCCCGCACGAATCCTCCGGACAATTGTTGTTGCTGAACCGCCGCCTGCTCCGGCGACGCCTCGCCCGGGGACACGTACGGCGGCGTCAAAGGCTGCCAATCACAAATTTTCCAATTAAAAAATAATTTTCAAAATAAGACAAGTTGAAAAATTAGTTCAACTGAAGAAGCAAAATACTGAGTTTGATTTCGATCTGATATTGAAATAAAATCCACTAACCTGAAATATAGGGCAGAGAAGTTTGTCATTTTGATCAATTTTAAATGTTAATCCAGATTATTTATTTATTTTAACTAAGAAAATTGTTCTTTATTATCTTTCTGTGCCTTAAATAATTAAAAACTATTAAAATCCAGTAAATTTAGGCAATGTTTCTGTTCCTTGCCTTTGAAAAAACGTAAGAGAATGAACGAGATCCTTAATTTTAATTTTTTAAATTCCAGATTTAATATAAAAAGACTAATTAAAACTCATTTTAAACTGGCATTAAATCACCTTATTAGGAACAGAAAGGTGGATCCGAATAATGAGAGAATCGCTTCTCGAGAATCCCTTCTCAAGAATCGCTGCTAGATTTGATTCTCTCATATAAGACACTTTTTCAACCAATCAATTAAAATCTAAAATAGTTCTTATTACATCTCACAAAGGATAAAAATGGTAATCCAATGCGCAATTGTAAGATTTGGTTTACACCCTGTTAATTTGGGCTGTCAGTGCCGTTCAGCGGTTGCGACAGGTGCGGAAACTCCCACCCCGAGCCGGAGGTGCGAAACGTCACCTCGGATGTTGTCTCGGGACGATTTCTTCGATGCTCGTCTAGACTCTCCACCGCATCCCTTATTTGTGCAAAGTGGGAGGCAGTTCGCCGGAATAAGTGTTCGTACAAGGAAGGGCTTGTTAAAATGATACTTCATAAGAAATTACTCTTGGCTCACAGAGCACGCCTCTTTTGCGACGGCAAAAATAATAACACGCACACGCTAGCAAATTCGCCGGCTAACGATAAATAAACAACGTCCCACACAACAAATATGTACATGCCGTGCGCTCACTTTTCAATTCGGGAAGACAAAATAACCAAAATCGGTCACTAATTTTAATTTGTTGGAACCAAAAGAGGTGGGAAAATGTTTTTACCGTTTAATTGGCTTCTTTTAGTTCATTTTGTAAGCAAAAAATATGCTAAATTTAGATTTTTATCTGTTCAAGAAATACTTTCCCTCCGTTTTTGACTGATTGATGTTTATGGGGAAAAAATTAAAAATATAAATTATTGTTAATATTAACTCAGCCCAAATAAAACATTTAAAGTAACACTTTAGGTTCTAAAATCTCTATTTACTAATTGAGTAAATTTAAATCTATTTTTATATTAAAATTTGAAGTTTCAACTAAATAAAAGAAATAAAATTCTTTTAATTAAGCTACTCAAATTTGCATGGAATTTAAATATTTTTTTAGAAAATTTCTTTTGCATTTTGAATAATTTTTGCGGCTCGTCACGTCCGTATTATTTAAACAAAAACAGCTGCTTTTAACGCGGGTGATAACCGGCCACATCGCGGACAAATAAATAAAAGTTGTGGTGCTGAATTCAGGTAGCAAGTCGGCTCTAATTTGGCGAGGGCCTCTAATTTAGCGTGCGCGCTCTAATCGGCGGGGCACAACAATTTTCACCTTTCTCAGGTGCACTCTCAGGGATATGCAGGGAGGCAAGGCCAGGATTGGCCGCTGAAGTGCATTTCCTCGCCGCAAATTCGGGACAAGGTCGAAGCTGCTCTCACTTCTGCAGCAGGCGATGCACTTCAGCATCGCACGAGAGCTGCAGCCGCGTTGACCACCAAGGTGACCGGCCTCAAAAATTTCTTCATCGCGCCAATCCTTCCTTGTAGTCGCCGCGCGCGCACCTATGCCTGCTGCTCTATCTCTTTGTGCAGCTTGGCACATGAAACGCCACCTTATTGCACACTCGGTACATTACAATGAGCCGTCCGCGCTATTTATAAATCTTCTCATTTCTCTGCACTCAACAGAAGATACGAGTTTCTCGTTTCCCTCATCCTTGTTTCAATCAAAGTATTATCACAATTTTTAAGAAACAAATAATAATTTGTTGAAAAATTTCTCCCAATTTGATCAGTTTAAGTTTTTTACTGACCTATTGATTTGATTTTTTCATCTTAATTTGGCTGATTGAAAAGTGATTTGGTGAAATTTTTATAAATTTTGGTTGAAAAATATTTTTTATAAAATTACTTGTTAAATTTAAAAAATTCAGTCTTCCCGACAAATTCAAATTTTCTTATGAGATCTACGAACAGAGAAAATTATATACCATCAAAATTGGGCCGTTTTTTTGCAAAAGCAGTTTATCAGCTAAAGAAGTTTTTGAGTAAAAAGTCTTTAAAGATTAATCTCAGTTTCTATGCAACCGACGTGGCGTGTAAAAAAATCAGGGTGCAATAAAACCATCATCAATGATTCCGCCGCCGTCGCCACTGCGGCGCGCGCCCAGGTAAAACCTGCGAACGCGACAATAAAACGTGCAAGGAAGGTAGAAATTCCCAAGAATAATAAAGCTAATCATTCCATTTTTAAATACCCAAATCGATTTTGTTTCACAATTTTTGTCAGTTTCTTGAATTTGTTTGGTTTTTCCTAAAACTGATTTTCAAAGAAGTCGAGGCACTTCATTTTTTTCCCTTAAAAGTTCAATAATATTTTTTAAGACAAAAAAATTTGTTATTATCATGGCGAATTTTAACACCTTTTGAAACAAAGATCTGTTGTTGTCCAGATTCCAGATGCGGGAAAACTTTTTAAGGCAAAAACATCTTTTTAACTTCCTTCCTTTACTTTTCTAAAAATAAAAAAACAAATTCTATAGAAAACTTGTTGCGTAATTTTTATATATTTATGGCTTGTCCGCATTAGAAAAAAATAGATCCGCCCCAACAATATTTGTTCATTTTCAATCAGGGATGCCAATCTCATCCCCTAAGAGTGCATCTTTAAAGCGAAAAATAGATTCAAAAGAGCCGCATGCACTTTATTTTTCAATATCAGGAGCAGGGCAATAAACGTGTTTTCATTATAGGACTGCGCCGTCTCCACTGAGGGTGTTTTCCCGAATTTGGTCAAAGTGTCAGATATTCAGCTGGTGAATTATTTTGTTTTAAATGGCAAAAATATTGTAAAAAAAATTGTTTTTGCTTTGCAAGATGAAACAACAACATCAGGTTTAGAAAGTTAGGGAGACACATTCACATCAATATGAAGTTTCATAAAGAGATTTGATTTTTTTTTTTAAATTCACTTCAAAATAAATTCTGGCAGAAGATCTTTGCGAATTGTTTAAAATCTGTCAGACTAAAACAACTTTTTTGGCATCAAAATGACAATTTCCCCGTTTTTAGAGACTTTAATTGAAAAAATTTAACACAAGAAGGTGAATTTCTTAAAATTGAAAAGCAGACTGACCTCTTTTTTGATGTTGTAAAGGTTGCAGGTGCACGCCTGGTGTCGGTGCAAGAGACACCCACTCTCAGGGTAGCGTCTGTGGAACTCGTAGGGTGGCGGCGGCGGCGGATATGTCGTGGGCTGCAGGTGCTGTTGGTGGTGGCCCAGGTTGTACACGTCGCTCAGCTTCATCCCCTCGGCCAGGTTGCCGGCGAGCTGCTCCGGGCCGTACCTGCTCTCGTACTGCATGCTCGGACTGTACTTGCCAACCACATCTCCTACAAAATAAAACGCAAATTATTAATAAAAAAAAAAAAAACAAGCCAATAGTAAATTTACATTGAAAATTAAAAAAAAAAAGTTTTATTTATAATTTCAATTATAATCAATATGAAACTTTAATAAAAGTATATTTGTCAACCAATGCGATCACTTTTTAAGCTATTTAATTGATGGAAAATATGCAAAATTGATTATGCTAATTTTAATCTAAAATTGAGATTCTTCATTACAATAAAAATAAATTAATCAAATACAGTTTTGAACCTATTTGGAATTTGTTGAAATTTGTTAGAAATAAAAATTGGTGTACTGACCACTCTCTTGGGGGCTCCAGGCGAGTTGCGAGTCGGACTCGACGGCCGGGATGGGCGAGAGGCGTCCGCAGGAGGAGGCGTTGGAGGAGGCGCGCGGCCGGAACTCGGGGCTGAGCTGGAAGCCGGGGTGGATGGGCGAGTCGGGGAAGAGGTCGAGGCCCTCGGAGACGCTCGAGCTGGGGCTGGGGGTGGCGTCGAGGCCGTTGCGCAGCGCCTCCACCTTCTTCTTGACGCGGCCGCGCCGCTTCTCGAACTTGGACGTCTCCATCGAAGTGGCGCGGCGCCGCGCGCTTTTGCCCGGCTTCGCGTCCGGGTTGATCATCCACCACGACGACTTGCCCGTGCCCTCGTTCTGCACCCGCATGAACCGGTTGTGCAGCGACAGGTTGTGCCGGATCGAATTCTGCAACACGCCAAAATCCAGCAACACACAATCAGCATTTTTTCGCAAATTCAAAGCAAATTGATAATTTACAACCGAATAAGCGTTTCGAATAAGAATTAGACTTTGATGTTGGAAAATTAAGAGTCCTAGGCTAAAATAAAAGTCCTATACTATTTTCCAGTTTTTTTTTTTGGTAATTAAATGCATTTGCAGACTTACTTTGCTATCAAATTGAACTGATTTTTTTTTTATTCATTTCTCAACAGAGAAGTTAGTCAATAACAAAATGACTTTTTATTTTATTTATTATAGATCTCTTATCTCTGAAATAATAATCTGAAAATCGTGAGAATTGTAGAAAATGCAAAAATAAAGTATTAATCGTTTAAATTTGATTGCAAGAAGCTCAGTAAAAAATTAACAGAAGTGGACTAAATTTCACAGCCCTGTTAATTTGGAATATGACTTTACTTAAATTAAAAAATTATAATTTTTTTATCAGAAAATAATTTATGGTAATTTAAATTAATACAAAATTAAAAACAGCATAAATATTAATTATTTCTCAGGACAAATTACTCATTTTGGTATCATTTTAGTTCATAAAAAAAAATCAGGACTTCAAATTTCATTTTCCGGGATTGACGTGTTTTGTATTGATTGTTGGAATGGAAATTTCTGTTGTTCTTGTGCAAGGTAAGGAAACTGGCTCGGCGTAGGTGCTGCGGAGGGGGAGGAGGAGAATGTCCGGCAGGTACGGATGAGCCAGGTCGTGTGTAAGGCGCATTCATTATCTGCTAATGGAGAGGCCCCGGGCAAGGTTACCCGCGTCTCTGCCTGCCTCTCTCGCGGGCGCAATAAAAATCATTATTTGTCGCCGCACAGACTAAAGAGCAATGAAGAAAAACACGGGGAAAAGAATTAAGGAAACAATTCGAGGCGCGCGCGCGGCTTCTGGAATTACGCAATTTAAAAGTGAACTGGGCGGGGATCGAGCAGGGATGCGACGAGTGCTTTCGACACTCGCGCGCTGCCAAGTTTAGATTACAAATTAGTTTTGCGCGACTTGATTTTCTCGCGCTGGGCTTCTTCTTGCATGTGAAATAAGTGTGCGTGCTGGAAAAGAGATGCGCCATATTTGTTGTGATGATGCGCGCAGAGCAATGAGGACTATAGATTGGAAAGCCAGGGGCAAACCTGGCATTAAATTAAATACATTTTTCCAAAACTTGTGTCAATACTGAGTTAATTTTATTTACTCAAATTAATGGGCTCAATTTTATTTCAGAAAGGAATTAATTGCCGAGAAGGAAACCTTCTTTGATATTAATTATCAGTGCGAACCACAACTTTTCAATGGATAATGATAGCCGTATTTATCAGTTACCACGAATAATCTGTAAACCAAAGCCACAAAAAACTAATCTGGACAAATTTCCTTGGCAGTTGATCATATTAATTGAAAAAAAAATTGAATTTTGATAGAGGCTTAAATTATATAAGTGTTTTTCCTTGTAATTTAAATGGTCTTAAACTTTTAATTCACTTTAAATCTTATAAAATTAAATTAAAATTACTTTAAAAATAAATTCAATCATCTTGAACAAATTTCCATAGTTTTTTTTTTTTTTAATAATATTTTTTCCTATTTGAAAATATTTCCTCCTTCACACGATTGAGGAAGTACTTGTTGTGTCATTATGAGGCTGATTCCGCCACTGCCGAGCAGGTTTGTCAACTCTGTGAGCCGCGTAATAGATGGGCAAAGTTTAGTCGCAGCAAAGCAGAGCTTTGTCATTATGTTTAAATGTTAATTAACATACATCACGTCAGGCTTTGCTTTTGAAAGGCGGTCGGTCGCATTAATAAGTCGAAAACTAGTGCTTCGTTCGCCCTGCGCTTCTTCGGAATGCATTTCTTTCGGCGCATGCATAATGTCCTGGCTTTTGTCGTCGGCCAGCATCAATTTTTCACCGCACACGGAATTCTCGAGTGTTTGACCAGCAGGCCAAGTCAATTATGGATGCACCTGCGCTGACCTTTGAATGTGTTCAAACGAAAACGGGGATTTCCATTGATTATCATTTTGTGGCCGAGCGACTTCTTTGTGTGGCCAGTCGGTGGAAGCTAAATTTCCTGCCCAGCACAGAAAGTTTCACCAATTCCAACAGAACTTTCATGAATTTGAAATAAAATAAAAGTTGATAATGAAAACTTAGATATATAAAATAAATATCATTTTATATTTTGTTGCAGCTTGATTTTGACATTATTTAATTAATTAATTTTGTTCACAATTTTAACATTTTTTTATGTTTAGTTGAACTAACTGTTTAAATTTTTTCTATATTAATATTAAGATTAGAAAAAAATAAATTCCATAAAACATCAATAAATTAATAAAATATTAATAATTAAATAAACTACAAACTATAAATTAAGAGCTCTATAAATAAATATTATCATAATTATATTGATTGTAAAAAATTTTGGACCTACACAGGCTCCGAATTTAACGAACAAAATTATAAAATTGCACTCGATCCTCGGCCGAGAGTATCACATCAAGTGCGGCGGCAGTTATTGTCATTATTAGAATTTGATCTGACGCCGCCGCATCTCGCTCAATCGTGCGGTCTAACGAACAGAGGAATGAACCCACATCAATTGGCCCGCCGCGATTGTCCCCGATTGATTTACGACGGCCGTTTAAATGGAATTAATTGCCCCTCGCATGCACATAAATTAAACGCTACAGGTCCATTTCCAAGAGTGCTGCTCTCTTCCCTGCCTTTTTTATGCACACAAGAATTTATTTTCCCTGGAAAAAATCACTCGCACATGCCTTAGTTCACACCTTAACCGTCGAGGCAATTAATTTGCTTCAAAATTTATTGGCTCATCAAGTCGATTTGCTGCTTTTGTATTAAATTTGATTACAAGAATAATAAATTAGCTAAATATTTCCATCTTAATTTTTTATTTACTCAAGATTTACTCGTATATTTAATGAATTTAAATTAAAAGTTTTATTTATTTTGAGCTAAAAATAATGTTTAACTGGTCAGTCAATTAATTTTTTTCCGCCAAGTAATTCTAGAAATTTAAGAATTGTTTTTTTCTTCACTCTTTCCATAAATTAACTATTTTGAAATGTCATTTTTTGTAATATTACTATTTCATACTTTTTTGTTCGAAATTTCAAAGTGTTACATAAACGCAAAAATTCGCTAACAAGAGGAAACTCCTGTTGCTCTTTGCATCAAAAGAAGAAACTTGATCCAGCACACATTGTGCGTCAGTTGCGCGTCCGAAGGGGGTGGTTGCTTGGTCACTCAGCGGCCGGGGGATGGATGCATCAAGGTCAAGCATCAGCTATTTTTACAGATCTTCAGCTGCCATTGTCTGGCATCGATTGCAGCGCAGCATCCGATGGGGGTGGAATTTTTCTTGCCTGTCCACGGGAGACGAACGATTCGAGCGAAAGAAAAGGGGTTGAAAAAGGTGCTTTTTTGACAGGACGACACGATTTTTGGTCTAGACTCGTCTTTGAATTTGTGCGTTTGCGAATGAGTCTCGAGAGCGGACAAAAGTGAGCGGCATGAAAGGCAAATTGGGGCTGCGCTTTATTTCTGGGAATTTAAACGCCACTTAATTAGCGTCGCGCTAATTGCTAATTAGCTGCTTTTTGTCGCTTTCAATAAACGTGTTTCGTTTATACAAATTTATTCTTATTAGTTGGAAATTGACTCTTTTTAAAAGGCAATTGATTCTAATAGCAAAATTAAAAAGGTTCCAATAATGAAGAAAAGTTTTAGAAAAATTATTCTCAGTTTCAAAGGATGTTTTGTAATTTAAATTCATTTATTTAAAATTTCCTTATTTTTAAAAGATAAAAGCAATAAATTTTGAAAATATCTAAAGGCGTCAAAAGTGAGATCTGGTCGAATCAGAGCGATGTGGATGCCTTTCAATAAAACAATCAACTCTCGAGAGTGACGCAATTTGAAGGAATAAAAAATCAGATGTTAGATGCGGATGAATGATGCATTCGGGCGATTCAAAAATGTCAACGAGGGTCAAATGAACGAGGCCGCGCGCAGATCAAAACGCGAGACACGGCAGAGTCTGATGCAGTATAATCTGAAGAGGGAATAATTTATCATAAAACGCGCAATCTCGCTCCACATGTGCATCTCTCGAAGATGTTTCATTTCAATTATTTTATTTAATCCGAGGACACAATTGGACCAATTAAAATACGGAGGAGCAGCAACAAGTGCTGGATTGATTTAATTAGCTCAAATTTAGTAGAGCTCAATTTAAAACGAGGCTTGCATCGCGGCTCCAAAGGTCTCAAAAGTCAATCGCGTTAATTACGAATTTAAATGCGAGGATGGAATCACAAAAATTAGTTCGGCTTTAAAATTTAATGTTCAAATTAAAAATAATAATTTTTAAAGAAAATTTAAAACTTAACCTTGACAAAAAATTATTCTTTGCAGCATAAAAAGTCATTAAATAGGTTGACGAAAATGAGTCACGCTTTGTTTTCATTCTCAGTGTCAAGTGAAATCATAATACAAGGAATTTTTGTGAAATGTATCAGTAAAATGCGTTATAATTATTCGTTTTGCTCCTAATTTGAAAAATAAAATTCCATGAAAATTCCATATGACAAAACACAATGAAATAGTAAAAGGCAGAAAGCGGAAGAATGATGCGGTCATTATTGATTAAAGATCACATAAAAGAGAGAGATATGAAATAATTTATATTTATTTGTTCTGTGCTGTTCTTTTACGTTTGATGTTGGCTACAAATTGGTAAATATGAATTTCCAGAAATCTTTAATATGGCGCCAAAAATCAATTGCTTAGTAGATTTTTTTCTAATCAAAGCTTTAAAAACCTTTAAAACTTATTTAAAAATTAATTTTCATCGTTGTGAAGAACTTGAATTCGGAGAGTCGAGCATATAATTATTAAAAGGAGTTCATAAAAGGGGGCATATCATGT